TTGCTACTTCATAACTGTAATTTTGCTACTGTTAATCGTAATGTAAATATCTGTGTTTTCCGATGGTCTTAGCCTCTACAGCAGCGGTTCTCAGCCTGTGGGTCTCAAAATAATTTTATGGTTGGGGGTCACCACAACATGAGGAACTGTATTAAAGGGTTGCGGCATTAGAAAGGTTGAGAATCATTGTCATAGACAGTATTATCTTTGACTCCCCTCCTGCTCATTCACTCTGCTTTTCTTGCTTGTCCTCAGATTTGCCAGACACTCCTTTTTTTTTTTTTTCTCATTACATCTTTCTTCACTTTTAATAAACTCATTGTTAATGCACATATTAATTGAAAGCTGCTCTGTGGTTTAAAAAAAATAAAGTGGGAGAAATGTCTTCTGATACTTATTGATTTATTTAACAATATCCTCCCAATTCCTCATTTTTTTAAAAAACATATTTTATTGATTTTTTACAGAGAAGAAGAAAGAGGGATAGAGAGTTAGAAACATCCATGAGAGAGAATCATTGACCAGCTGCCTCCTGCACACCCCCTACTGGGGATGTGCCCGCAACCAAGGCACATGCCCCTGACCGGAATCGAACCTGGGATCCTTCAGTCCGCAAGCCAGCTGATGCTCTATCCACTGGGCCAAATTGGTTTTGGCATCCCTCATTTTTTAATAAAAGTGTAATGAGTTATGAATACATGTTTCATCTTCGCATGCCTCAGGCACAGTGCTGGTGTATACCAAGGCCACTTTGATTAGATATAGCTACTTCCTCTAAGGCTTTTGAGAAAGTTTAGACATCTCCATAAAATAGGCTCCAGGCTGCTTTGGTGGTTGTAGAATCTTTTCTCTCTCTTAGTTGACATTTTTATGATATGTCACTATTTAGTGGTAGAAGCTTCTTCTTAATTCTGGTAGTTTTCTTTTGATTTCATAAAGCCTCCATCTTCCTGTTCCTTGACTAATGTTTCCGGTTTCCCATAAGTTTAATTTTCTACCATTTCATCTTCTATACTTCCAGAGCAATCTTTTAAAGAACCAAATCTCTTCTATTCATTTTCTTGCTTAAAACTCTTCAGTAGCTTTTTTCTCGTTCAGGAAATCTAAGCACCCAAGAATGCTACATCTGGTCCTTCGTCTCCTGTATCTTCCGGTATAAACCTGTACCTGAGCTACAGTGGTTTGCTCACTGTTTACTTCTTATTCAATAGAAATAAAATGTGAACCACATTTGTAATTTTAAACCTTCTTGTAGCCACATTAAAATATTTTAAGGTGAAATGTAATATATTTAGTAAGTTTTTAAAACATAATAAAAATTCAGTAGTGATTTAATTAATTAAATCCAATTTGTATTTTACACTTATAGCATGTGTCAGTTTGATTAACCACACACTTCAAGGGCTTGGTAGCCGTGTATGACTAGGGCTACCGTATTGGACACCGCAGTTCTGATCTTTGTCAATATTATTCAGTACATTTAGTCTATATTGGCATCCTTGGGACTCATCTTAAATATCATTCTTCCTGCTCTCTATCTTCAGTGAAAATGAGGTCTTTCTAGGCTACATTTGTTATTTTATTATTTTAATTGTCTTCTTTAATCTCAAACCTCATGATGTTTTATTGCTTTTATGACTAGTATTCTTGTTCAGTAAATGGGAAATTAGATCAGCAAGTTTGATATAAATTTATTTATATTTATAGTAACTGAGTATAGAGTCATGAAATGTCTTCCAATGAGTAGCACATGAGAACTTATAGACTTTGTAAAATGCACAGGAATCATCATTATCTCTTGGTCTTTTAAATAAGGTTAATGGGTAGGTGATTTCTGGATAGGCCCAGTGCTTCTCTGTCAGGTAGCTATGTTTTACAAAGCATTTTCTAATAATGCAGCTTGGAATTTAACAATGGATCTTTGAGGAATGCTATTCTGTTGGGGAATTGTACAATTTTAAACATTGTTTTTAGGGTTAATATTAATACTTGCAGAGCCCTTTGCATGCCCTTCTCTTAAATGAAATAATGCTGAGATATGGATTGTAAGGGGCAAAAAGTTCCAGATAGTCAAGTTTCTTATAAAAGAGTATATTTCCCTATTAATCGTTCTTAGTTGTGAAAGGTTATTCTTAAAGACTAAGTTTTTAAACATGAGGTGAGATCTTGAACTTTCATATGATAATGCTCTTGTGCTATACACACCTGCATTTGTGACAATCTGGATTCAAGTAGGCCTCTGCCACCAGCCTGCAAAAATTAATTGGCCTATGAATATTTCTTAGATAGATGCATAGGCTTGTCCCAAAGCATTATTTCTTACATTGGAAAGATCTTAATAAGAATATTGGCCGGGGGGCTGGGGAGTAAGAATATTGGGAAAAGTTTGGAGATTGATGAGTGAAACAGATATCTTGATTGTAGGACTGGACTTCTTAGACCCTTCATAAATATGCTTGTTGTAAAGAACTAAGGAGCATATAGTATAACATTATTTTCTAAGTGATTCAGCTATTAAACCTCATACCCCCCCCTTTTTTTTTTTAATTCATCCATGAGTATTATTCCAAAGTATAAAGTTGAGGAAGTGCTGCCCTCACTAAAATACTGAATTTGGCTTTGATGAAACTTCATCTGTTCATATATTCGAGGGAATCTGAGCAGCAGTGATAGTGTTCGGAAGGCAAATGTATTCATTTATTCCACAAATACTTAATGTATAGGTTCATGTGTAAGCACTATGCTAGACCTTTATTGGGTAGTAAAAGTAAAGAAACAAGTATATCATTATAGAGTTGCCTGGGTGTGTGTGTGTGTGTGTGTGTGTGTGTGTGTGTGTGTGTGAGAGAGAGAGAGAGAGAGAGAGAGAGAGAGAGAGAGAGAGAGAGAGAGAGAGGAAGGAATTTAGATGCAGAAATAACATTATCTTTGTATAATTGGTATATAGATAGCATGAATGCTGCATTCAAAGAAATGGAGGGGAAAAAACAAGTATTTCACTTCCATTGATTTCTCAGCTTGTCTCCCATATAGATCCTTATGTTGGGAGTTTTTTGTTATCTAATTTATATCACTTTTTACAGTTTTCAGTGCTTATAAGATAAATGCTTATTCTCAGCTTTCCATTATAGATCAAGTATATTAGTATTTGTCACAAGGCATTCTAATAATATTCATTTTTGAATCTTGATTACATTTTTTCATCATAAAAAGTCAGATTGTGTACTGTGTTTATAGCAACTGTTAGTTGCTAAGCGTTATAGAATTTCAACACATTCCATTGTCTGTGGCCATTTTTAAAAGAGAAGGTAAGAGAAAATTTCTCTCACACACATGTGTATGTGTTTTCCAATACATACATAAAATGTCAAATTATTTACAGAATTGATAGAAGAATGCTTTCTCCATTTGAAAATAAAGTATTTCAGCTAGATATTGCAGATAAAGCTATAATTACTTTGGATCATCAGTCCCGATCTTTCTTCTTCATTAGAAATATATTTTTTACAGTTTACATATTTGGGACATGTAGTGAGCCCTCAGGTGTTAGCTGTGCAATCACCATCATTATTATTTCCATTGGATAAACAGATTGAGGGGATTCCTAATGAAAACCTTAGTTTTTGAAGTAGAAAACAATTGCTATATTCTTGTAAAAACATGTCCTCTCTCACTTTTACACTGAGCTCCTTAAAGGATGGGTCCATCCTTTTTCAGCATTATGTTACCAGCAGAGATCCTGGCACAAAATAAGAGTTTATCAGAGAGTACTGGAATCAGATAGATCTGAGTTGAATTTCAACTCCACTACTAACTTGAGTGTGAGGTCTTGGGCAAGTTGCAAATCCTAGTGCTTCAGTTCTCATCAGTAAAGTAGGGAATATAATAATGCCTGCCTTTTAGGATCTAGTGAGGATGAAGATTGCTCAGTACATTTTAAGTATCTTTTCTAAGCCAATTTACAGATTTTCTCTTCTGGCTTTGGCTTATTGTGTTACTTTTATGAATGACCTCTTTAGTCTTATCTCTGTAGGAATCTGGGAATATAGAATATCTCCCACACCACAACCAAACATCTGACATTTTGAAACAATTTTCAGTTTTTACCTTTCAATCTATTTCATTCTTACATGACATTTAAAAAATATATTTTTGTTGATTTTAGAGGGAGGGAGGAAGAGAGAAAATATCAATGAGAGAGAAAAAGCATTGATTGGCTGCCTCCCACATGCTCCCCTACTGGGAGTCAAACCCACAACGGAGGGGTAGGGTAGGGGGAGCATATGCCCTGAGCAGGAATCAAACCCCTGACCTTTTGGTTCATGGGATGACACTCAACCAGCTGAGCCACTCTGGTCAGGGCGTGTTTTTTTCTTTGTATCTAAACAATAGAAACAAAGTGGGAGGAAGATCTCTGAGTTGAGGACTCATTTCCATCAATATATTTATATTAATTTTTATTCTGTATAAATATTTTTTAACTCCAAGTGTGACTTCACTGATCTATGGGCTATTTAGAGGTCTGTTTTATAATTTGCAAATACATGATAATTTTCTAGTTGTCTTTTTTTCACTTATTTCCACCTTATTTGCACTGTGATCATGGGATGTTATCATTTCAAGATATTACTGTTTTATTTTGCTATTAGCGATCATTTTGTATTGGTGTTTGTGCCCATATGTGTTTATAATACTATTCCCTCCCTTTATGGTGGAAACAGCTGATATTTCTGGTGAGGGAAGGTTTTTCTCTGAAATACCATTACGAATAGTAATCTTTTTTGAAAACTATTCAGTGGGTTTCCACTGTAGGCTTGCCTAATAGTGTCAGAGTATTAATTTAGTTATCATTTCCTAAAAATGGAAAATTCGCGTAGAAGTGAAGTTGTACAGTGATGTACATCAAGCAAAAGTTTGTTGTAGAAGTTGCATTGTGTCAAAAACTCTCTTATAAAAGTGGTTTGATATTTAGAATATCTTAAATTATTTTTCTTCTTCAGCTTCCAGCCGATCTTACGAAGATGCATATCACAGACAACCCTCATCCACAGGTGACTCATGTGTCTTCCAGTCATTCTGGTTGTAGCATCGCTAGTGACTCTGGGAGCAGCAGTTTATCTGATATCTATCAGGTAAAACTTTATGTGTTATGTATATGGATTTTTTTATTCTACCAAGTATCCCGTGCTTGTGCTTTAGCTGGTCACATGTCTTTTATTTTTATTTTTTTAAAATAAATCTTTATTGTTCAGATTATTACAAATGTGATCCTCTTTCCCCCCCTCAATTACTCCCCTCCACCAGGTTCCCACCCCACCCTCTGTCCTTTCCCCATGCCGCCATCTTGGTTTCTCTGGTCACATGTCTTTTAAGTAAGGTTTGAAATTCAGGCATAATGTTTTGGGGAAAATATGCTTTATTTACCGTTTGAGAGTTGGAAGTCTAATTAAAAAGGTGATCCATTTTTTGAGGGTGATTAAATATGACCCAGCAGTGTATGGACATAGTGGTCTTTTATTCAGAGGAAACCATATGTTTGTCTTGGTAAAAATTAGTTATTGAGGCCTCGGTGTGGCTCAATGGTTAAGTGTTGGCCCACACACCAAAGTATCACAGGTTCAGTTCCGGGTCAAGGGTACATACCTATCTGGGTTGCAGGTTCAATCCCTGGCCCTGGTCAGGGTATGTGAGGGAAGCAACCAATTGATATGTCTCTCTCACATCAATGTTTCTCTCTCTTTTTCTTCCCTCCTCCCCTTCTCTAGACTCCCTCCCTTCCACTCTCTTTAAAAAATCAGTGGAAAAAAATATTCTCCTATAAGGATTAACAACAAAAAATAGTTATTAAAACAAACCTATAAAAAGGCTGATTTTTATTATTACTATATAAATCTTCTATAAGTAAGATCATGAAGAAAATTAGAGTTGCTTTTGTATTTTAAAGGCTCTATTACATTTTCTAGTAGCCACATTAAAAAAATAAAAGGAAACAGGTAAAATTAATTTTAATAATGTATTTTATTTAGCACAATATATTCAAATATTATCACTTTAACATTTAACTAGTATTTAAAAACTATGATGAGCTACTTAAATTTTTATACTGTTTTCAATAGCCAGAATTTATTATAAATTTACAGCAGTAATCTCAATTTAGGCTAGCCACATTTCCCCTTCTTCCACCCCTTCTATTATTTCTCCTCTCCAGTTTTTTTTTTTTTTTTTTTAATATATTTTATTGATTTTGTACAGAGAGAAAGGGAGAGGGATAGAGAGTCAGAAACATCGATGAGAGTCATCGATCAGCTGCCTCTTGCACACCCCCGACCAGGGATATGCCCGCAACCAAGGCACATGCCCTTGACCGGAATCGAACCCGGGACCCTTCAGTCCCCAAGCCAACGCTCTATCCATTGAGCCAAACCGGTCTTGGCATCCTCTCCAGTTTTATCTCCTACATGTCTGTCTCTGCTCTCCCTCTCCTCTCTTCTTCCTTCCCTCCCCCCCCCCCCGCCATCTCTTCTCTCCTCCAGATGACTACTTTTCCTACAACGATTCTTTCTCCCATAGCCTTCCTCCAAACCCCCCTCCCGCCGAGTATATGCACATACACATATACTTTCTTTTATACTGTATCACTATTGTGCCTTTTCTATTTTTAGATGTGTTTGGATATACAAATATTTAGCATCATCGTATCGTTGCCTACAGTATTCAGTACTGTGACATGCTGTACAGGCTTGAAACCTAGGAGCAATAGGTTACACCACATAGACCCACTGTGTAGTGGGTCTGTAAAAGTGTACTCTGTGACCACATAAGCACAAAATTCCCTTACTCCTCAGAACATATCCCTGTCTTTTAGTGACACATGACTGTACTTTTAGATAATCTGAGGGGTACATTTAATCCCCACCTGTATTTTTTAGCTTCTATGTAGGACGTAAACATGTTCCTAAAAATCCTGACGTTTAATTTTACCTTACAGCTTGCTTTCTTAATTCAGAAATCTGCTGCCCGGTCTTCTTTAGGTCCCTGGTGTCACATTTCCACTGGGATGTTCTTTTGACATCCCTTCTAGCTTTGTCTACATGTTTTTTTCACTTTAATATTTTTGTTAAGATTATTATCTGTGCTGTAGTCAATATCTGTTATCTTTGTGTGTGTTTTTAAATTTTTACTTGAAATAAAGTACAAAAAAAAACCCCAAAACAGTTACAACTTTATTTAAAAAGCTTCAATGCTTCACTGTTACCTAATTTACACTCTTCATTTCAAATTTATATTCAAGCCTTTCCCTTCTACCCACAATTTGCAAATTTGGTTTTATATCCACTATTCTCCACTTGCACATTGTAGATCTGGTCCATGACTAACATAATGATTACTCCCTGACCATGTACCTTTCCCCAGTTCAGTGTGTGGTGCTGCTGTGAGCCAGCAGCTCCACCTGGATGACGTTTCACATTGTCTCACGTCTTGGAACCTAACAGCAGCTTTTCTGTGTCATGTCTCTTTCTCTTCTCATGTTTGGTGTAGATATGTTATGTGTACACTTGACTTTTTTTAATCATAGTACATTGTGGGGAGTAGAGCTTTTTCTTATTTGTATATCCCATGCTGAGTTAAGCACAATTTTAGCACTTAGGAAGTAACCTAGAATTTTTTTTCAGTTAAATTACACTTATAGGTAGAAACCAGTATTGTTTCCAAGACTGAAGCTTGATTATCTGATAGGAGGCTTTACTTTGCCTGCCTGTCCTGTTGTAGAGATTATGGAATGGGCCAGCCTGGACAGCACGATTTGAAGGATTGATTTTACAGGATTCTCATCCTGACCAGAAAGACAAAGAAGAAACATAACGGCTAAGTGGTCTATGAATAAGGTTGAGAGAAATACTGAAAGTAGGAATGCAAAATATAGAAGCACTGAAGACCTAAGATTCTGGCCTAATACTTGCTCTAAATTTGAAAATGTGATTTTTGTAGATTTGTGTAACTTTTTGTTCTAACCTGCAGTTCCTTTATTGTAGTTTCATGTTTATCTGGATGCAAACAGGAAAAGGAAATCCTCTGGTGGTTTATTTGGGGAAGGCCAAGTCATCAAAAAATCACCTGACTGTCTGCCTCACCAAATTATATTTATACATACACATGGAGACTTTCATTCTGCGGGAAAGGAAAAACACAAGAAGTTTAATATTTGTCTTATCAGCCCCTCCACTGATAATACTTTTTTTTTTATTTGGACTTAATTCATTTAGTAAAATCTTCTTGATGGTCTGCTATTTTAAGGGTTAGGATAAAGTGGTTGAAAGGCCAGGGCTCTGATCTTTTGTGTACCCTACCTTCATGAATATGGCATATCTTTTCACCTACCTTTTTTTATAACAGCTTTTGATATCTCTGAGGCCCTGTTGAATTTTATTTTTGACTTTTTGCCTTCTCCTTGTTTTAGTTTGGGTATTTTTTATTGCCCTTCTTCAAGTTCATTCTTCTTAAAGTTTGGGGTGTTTTGTTTTTTTTTTTGAGTTCTCCCATTTTTTCCCTAATTATTTTTGTATTTTCTTTTAAATCTTTCAACTTCTTGATAATAAATGTTTATAGATCATGTCTTCTAATTCGTTTATCTCTGTCATTCCTGGACCTCTTTATAGTGATAGATTTTTCTCCTGTGATAGATCACATCTCTCTATAGGATAGATCACATCTCTCTGCTTCTTCACCTACTTAGTAAGTTTTTGTTATGTTGGACATTGAGGATACATTTAAAAAATTCTTATCGAGTTACTGTAGGATTAAATTTTCTGTTAAGAAGTTGTATCCTCAGAAGCATCATTCAATGACTTCCAGTCCTGGTGGTGGTCATCATATCTAACTTTACCTAAAGACATGCTTGCTTTTGTTTTAGTCAAGGAATTAGACTTTGGACTCCATCTATGCAACTCACTTTATTTTACTTATTTTTAAATTACCAAAACTTTTAATTTTCTAGTATGATTTTGGCCACTTTTTTTTTCATTTTTATTCTTAATTCTTATTTTGGCACCATATTTCTCTTGTATATACTTAACATTTTAACAGTTTAGTATGTTCTCACAACTAATTTTATTCATCGTTTTGTATCCTACTTTGAAAAAAAGACAGGCAGAAGACAATTGTAAGGATACATTAAATTCTTTTATTTGCACATGGCCTTAAAAGTTTTCTAAAAGAGTTCTTTAGTAGTCTTCTCCCCATCCCTACCCATGACTTCCATTCTCTCTAAGGAACTATTTTCTTAAATGTCTTCACTCCTCAAGCAGACGACAATACCCCTATTGTCCATATAATTGAACTACATTTTGCTTTTTTTGTTATGAGCCATCCATCTTTTTATCACATGTAACCTAAAAGTTGAAATAATCTGGGTCAAGGGATGAAAACCTGATGAGGACAAGGGTAGTTTAAAAACTCAAACTTATAAGGTAGGTTGTCCTTGAGAATTGATAAAGTGGAAAAAGGCTATTCCTGAGCTTCTGTATTCTGAAAAATTAAATTATCTTGTGTGCAAAATACTGCTTTGTTTTTTAATACTACTTTCTTGTATTAAAATCAGTGTATGTAAATAAACTTGTGGAAAAATCATTTTAGCATGTACAGATGTTTAAAACTACTGTCTTTAAAAGGGGATTGTAATCTGCTAGCATATTTGTGGTTCTGAAGGTATATTATTCAGAAACTAGTAGCCCTGCACACAAATCCATGTACCAGTAGCTCTCTGTGGAGCCTGGCCACCCTGTGCCCACTGCCTAGAGGCCCATCCTCGGCCACGTGCAGAATGCTTGTCTTGTCAGCAAGTATTCCACCAGGCCACTCACGCTGCCCTCTCTTAGCAGCCACTCCCCTGGGACTGGGGGAGTACAGGGGGTCTGAGAGGATTGGGCAGCGCCATTTTGTGGCTATGGGCGCCGCCATCTTTGTGACAGAGTGATGGTTAATTTGCATATTACCCTTTTATTAGATGGTATGTACTCCACTAAAACCATAAAAGTCCATAGCCAGAAAATAACTCAGGAGAGCATACTAGTCATAAGGTAGGATTGCTCTTACATTTTCCTTAACAGCTTGTCTATAGATCTCAAGTTGAATATTTAATCTGGTTTAAATTAGTTGTTTCTTAAAGCTGTGCAAAAATCCGAAGGAACTATAAAACAGAATCTTAGAAAACAAATTCAGTTGTTGGTATCAGTTTTAACTTTGAATTAACAATAGCCATAAAGGGTAGTTTATTGATCCACAGAGAAAGCAAAGACAGTTCCAGCCTCAGGGAACCTGAGGATGCTTGCCAGGTGCGTCTGCCCATCTCTCTCTTGTCCTTTTGTGCCTGGTAGCTTGCTTGCTCTTCCTCCCTCTCTCCTGTGGTATTCCCTGTCAGATGCTCTTTGTGTCATGTCTTATCCTGCCTGCTCTGTTTCTATTGCTTTGTTGCTCTGTCTTCCTATGTCTGCCTCTCTTGTTCAGTGTATTTCCCATTCCCCTGCCTCTTTTTCTGCCTATAGTTATATTTTCTCCCATGTTGCTCTGCATCACATTCTTCTGATTCAGGAATCAGAGAAAAAAAGGACACTCTGCCCTCCAGTTCCAATTACAAAAATCCAGACAAAAGGTCTTTTTATCTTAGCTTACATAGCCACGGACTGGGCACTGTTCCCACTGTAATCTCTGGGTTAAGTTGGAGGAGAACAGCAATTCCCTGAAAGAAGGAAGATCCTCTTCTGTGCAGAGTAAACAGTAAATGTTTGATAGGAGATGAGACTTAAATATTTGAAGATTATGTTCAACTCATTTTTTCTGCAACTGCTTCAGTATTCATGCTTTTTTATCAATATGTATCAAGAGAGTGCAATATTTAGAAATTTGCCAGTGAATCCACTTCAGGACCATTTTATTTTCTAAAAGATATCTTCATTATTTTTTATAACTGATATTTAAGTTTACAGGTGTGGTTTTTTTATCTGCGAGTTCCTTTATAAGTATCTGAGACTAATGTTTCCAGAGTTGAGGTTATAAATATAAGCTTATATTAAAGATTGGTTAAAATAATTTCTGTTCTCTTTGATTGACACAATGTTAGATTCAAGTAAGACATTGGGAAGTCATGAATGTTTGTTGAGTCCTTCACAGTTGGTCTATTTTAGCACTTTTCAGTACTACTCTTTACCTCTTTTATACTTCTCTTCTTAATTTACATGATTACTTACCTTACTAAATTCTAAACCTTAGTGGTGAAAGAATGGTATTTTATATACAGCACCAAGTATATTAGTAAACTTATAAGTACTTATAAAATGATTGTTGGTAAACTGTCTTTATTTCTTGCACTTCATGCTTTAGGAAATGTATTTTTTAGAAATGGAAGTATTTGTAGGAAAACAGGTATTAAAACATTTAGTGATGTTTGAGTCTCCTAACCATTTTCTATTTATCAAGTCAGATATATCACCTAAGTGTCATACCATGGAATGATGAGACTATTTTAGACAGAGAGAAAACATTTTATAAATAAGTCTCATTTTGTTTTTGATACAACTTAAAATAATGCCTAATTCTTTATAACATTTGGTATTGAGGGATAGTTTTGATTAATTCAGACTGTGACATAATTTTTATAACATGAAGGTTTCTTTCTGCAGGCGACGGAAAGTGAAGTAGGAGATGTAGATTTAACACGTCTTCCAGAAGGACCTGTTGATTCTGAAGATGAAGAGGAGGAAGATGAAGAGATTGATCGAGCAGATCCACTGCAGGGGCGAGATCTTGTCCGAGAATGTCTTGAAAAAGAACCTGCAGACAAAACTGATGATGACATTGGTAAGAAAAATATCTGATCACAATAAGGATTTTATAGTTTAATTTAGATATACTTACCTATTGCTGCATAACAAATTACCCCCAAACTTAGTAACTTAAAACAACACACCTTGGGAGGCAAAGTGGGGTGTAATACATAGGGGACATTTGTAATAGAGTCAATAATTAAAAAGCAATACAAGCCAAAATTGGTTTGGCTCAGAGGATAGAGCGTCGGCCTGCGGACTGAAAGGTCCCAGGTTTGATTCCAGTCAAGGGCATGTACCTTGGTTGCGGGCACATCCCCAGTAGGGGGTGTGCAGGATGCAGCTGATTGATGTTTCTCTCTCATCAATGTTTCTAACTATCTCTATCCCTTCCTCTCTGTAAAAAATCAATAAAATATTATAATAATAATTTAAAAAGCAATACAGGAAAACCTCTCACATCTTCTCATACATTTTCTGGGTCAGGAATTCAGGAGCAGCTTAGCTGAGTGGTTCTGACTCCGTGTCATGAGTTTGTAATATGAAGGTTGAAGTCATCTGAGGCTTTGCTGGACTGACCTAGAGGACCTGTTTCCAAGGTGGCTACTGACATGGCTTTTGGCACAAGACCTCAAGTCCCCACCATGTGGGTCTCTCCAGAGGCCTAAATGTCCTCGCAGCATGGCAGGCGGCTTTCCCCCAAAGCAAGTAATTCAAGAGAGTAAGGCAGGTGCCACAATGTCTTTTATGATCTGGCTTCAGGAATGATATATCATTATTTCTTCAAAGTTCTATTTGTCACACAGAGCAACCCTCATATAACATGGGAGGAGAATGCATGAAGACATAAATATCAAGAAGGAGTTGTCATTTAGGGCCATCTTTGAGGCTAGTTGCCCCAATAAGAGAGCTTGTTTAGAGAGTCTAACGGTAGCACAGACACTCGTAAGCCCTTGATTGAAGAACAGTCCTCCTCTGTTGGGGATGGTCGTCCTTTTCAAGCGTGCAGCCTTGCATGGATGCTCATGGGAATGTGAGGGAAGAAGGGGTCACCAGCGTAGCTGACCACATTACCTGAATCAACCCTGAAAGTCAAACAGATGTCACAGCCAGACCACTCTCCCGTACATCCTGGCTGCCCAAATTTATAAAACCAAAGCTTTGATTCCATTAAAGTGGTTTTCCCGTTTGTGCTTATAAGACATTTAAAACATAATACATTGGTGTCCAATGTCTGAATTAGCTTTTTTTTTTAATTTTCTGTTATGAAAAATGTTTTTCTTTAGCTTGAAGAAGTAGATATGTTTATAATTTCTGGTTAAAACTGAATTTTCTTCTATGTAATTTGTTACAGAAGTAGTAACTTCCAGAAGTTAACTAATGCTAGAGAAAGAAGAAAAAAAATTCTAAAGATGCTAATGTTAATTTTAAAGATAAAGATTACTTAGTTTCGTTATATATTATTATTTTTTTTTTAAATATATTTTATTGATTTTTTACAGAGAGGAAGGGAGAGAGATACAGAGTTAGAAACATCGATGAGAGAGAGTCATCGATCAGCTGCCTCTTGCACACACCCTACTGGGGATATGCCCGCAACCAAGGTACATGCCCTTGACCGGAATCGAACCCGGGACCCTTCCGTCCCTAAGCCGACGCTCTATCCATTGAGCCAAACCGGTCCCGGCCGTTATATATTATTGATTCAATTAAGATTTTATCCTAGATTTTTCTATATATGGTTATACTGCTGCTGTTCAAATCAGAAGATGCTGGTATTAATAGTAATCATAATCTGTGTGAGTATAAGTCAGTACATTTGAACATGCCTTGCCACTCGAATAATATATAGTTAAGTAACCTGCAGTTTCATATTGCGAATATTATCTGGACAAAAACAAAGTGCTTTTTTTTATGATGAAGAATTATATACTATCTATTTTCACAAAGTTTTTTTTTTTAATTGAAATATAACAAACTCCCAATTATCTGTGGGTGAATAGCACCTTATTGTTACTTCTGTGTCAGCCCATAGCTGACTGCTTATATATGTTTCTTCTGAATATTTATCTTTATTATTCATGTATTAATACCAGGGAATAACCTAAGGCACGCACTTATAAACATTTGTTGGTTGAAGAATTACCTTGTGTTTCATTGAAAAATCTTGAACCAAAATTTACATTTGTTATTTCTAATTAATTATTAACATTTGTTAATAACATTTGTCTATTAAACTCTAGCCCAGTAAGAATTAGATGAAATGCTTTTTCACTAATCTATTAGATCAAAAGACATCACTGTACTAACCACTATATAGTGGCATCTCAGGCTAGGAAAATTAAATAACTCTCTAGCCTCATCCAAATCTATAGTTTCCCAGTTCTATCTGGAGTTTGTGAGTTCTGATAACTCCAATGTGCCTATATTTTCATGTGAGTCTGAATACATCTATTAACCAAATAACTCATTTTTTTAATCAGCATATATCTTGTGCCTTGATTTCTCTACTTTAGCAGCATATATTCATGAGTTGATTGAGAAATTGGGCATTGAATTCTAGATTTATTATATGTTTAAAGTGTCCTTGATGGTCTCTGTACTACAATTTCTGTTTTTTAATAGAACAATTACTGGAGTTTATGCACCAGCTCCCCGCTTTTGCAAACATGACCATGAGTGTAAGGAGAGAACTCTGCTCAGTGATGATTTTTGAAGTGGTAGAGCAGGCTGGAGCTATTATTCTTGAAGACGGACAAGAGGTAGGTTAGCAAATAAATGTTACATATTATATAGTATGGGAGGTAATTTTCAGAATAATATAATTTCCATAAACTTGTGTGAATCTTGACTTAAAATTTATACACTTTGATTTAAATGAACGCCGAGTTTTCAGTTGTTAAAATTTCTTAAGAGATAGGTTTTTAATTTTATTTTTGTATTTTGTCTTAATTTTTATTTCCTAGTATAGAATAAATGTTTAATAGTTAATATTTATTGGACCACATTTGTTTTTACTTCTCAAATTAAGCCATAAGGTTTTTTAAAAATTCATAATTATTATTCTATTTGTATATTTATATCATTTTTAAAAATGTTTCTTAGGTATTTACTCAACTGTCCTTATCCCTTTTGTATGTTAATGTTCTTTTAAAAAAGAATGAGGTCAGATGCCTCCCAGGGGACTGCTAACAGCTAAGGCCTTTATGTAGCAATTCTAATGTCCAGAAATGCTCCCTGGCAGTCATGGATAGGTGAGGGGAGAATGCAGAGAAATTGAAAGGTATTATTGCTGTTAGAAAGTAGTACTTCACTATTTTTCTTATCAAACTGATAAAAAATGCTGAGATAGTAGTCAGTGAACATTATATATATTGCCAGTATTTTTTCTGGAAAGTCATTTAGAAACTTTTAACATTGGCCCCAAAGTATTAATAGTTTTTTACCTATTATTCCCCTTATGAGTGTCTTTCCTTGGGACATTATATAAAACTCAAAGATTTATGCCAAGAGGTGATCATTGCAGCATATTTATAATAGTGAAAAGTGGAAGTGACCAAAAGTAATACAATTATAAGAAGGGGTTAACTGAATTATTATAAACCATGGGATGTGATATTATGTACATTAATATTGAGTCATTTTAAAGTTTGATGGAAATGCTTTTCAAACTCCATTTGGTGATTAAAAGAAGAAAGAGTAAAATAAGCTTCGATGGTTTGCATAGACAGGCATCAGGTATTACTGACAGTATTTAGTAATATAATCAGACCTTCCCTTTTTTAAATTATACAAGTTCTATTTATTGATTATTTTTCCAAGTTAACATATAATTATCTTTTTTATTAAAAAAAAAAAAAAGAATTCTTAAAACCTGTTTTTTTTTCTCTATAGCTTGACTCATGGTATGTTATTTTAAATGGCACTGTAGAAATCAGCCATTCAGATGGAAAAGTTGAAAATCTCTTTATGGGAAATAGTTTTGGAATTACTCCCACTTTGGATAAGCAGTACATGCATGGAGTTGTTAGGACTAAAGTAGATGATTGCCAGGTAAGCTTATGTCTTTGGTCATGCACTCTTATTTGTTGACTTAAAATGGCTGAGCCTGTTTTTCCTTCCTTAAAATATAATAGCTTTATTTGAAAATTATCAGTTTCGAAAGTTCACAGTTAATAAAGGAAATTAGATTTTATATCTCACATATTTGTGAGACTGAACAAATTATAAAATTTTTTAAGAGGGTATACCAAATATTGGTTTGTTAAATTTCTATCTGATATTAACCAGTTCATTCTTTTTTCTTTTCTTCTTTTAAATAAAGGAAAGAAATAGGAACTTCTAAGTTGTTTCTAATTCCTGCTTCATGTTTTCTTTGCATAGTATCAGTTTTGAGAGTAGTTCACTTCTCCTTTTAGAGCAGAATTCAAAATCAAAAACTCCTTGGTCTCTGTGCATGAATTATTTATTTTATCTTGATTTTTGTTAAGAATTAAAGGGATTAAGTCAAAAAGAACTGATGCCACTTGATTTTCTACCTTTGTGCTCTGCCTTGGTACATAGTGATGTATTTATGTACTATAGATTTGTTAATTGTCCCCATGTTATTCTTGGACAGTTTGTCTGCATAGCCCAGCAGGATTATTGGAGAATTTTAAATCATGTGGAAAAAAATACCCATAAAGTTGAAGAAGAGGGAGAAATTGTTATGGTGCATGAGCATCGTGAACTAGATCGGAGTGGAACCAGGAAAGGACACATTGTAATCAAGGTGAGTGTTTTTACTTATTATTCTAGTGACTGGTAAAATAAAGCTTTAATCGTGACTAGAAGGCTTTGAACCACTTTTTGAGTAGTGCAAGATAATTGATTAACTTTGAAATCTAATTGAAATAATTGGTACTTTTTGCTTTTTTTACAGTTGATTTTTACACATTTTATTGATGATGGTTGACATTGCTATTTAACATCAGTATGGATAGGATATTATTTTAGGATATACTGGTCAAAGTTCTTCTCCTTAAATTCATTTTGTGATCCATTGATAATAGTTAATTTCATCAAAGACGACAATATTTAGAAACAACAGAAAATGAAAGGACCAACCATAAAGGCATAAGGAATCTTAGATGAAAATGCAGTGCTTAGAGGATCCTTATAACGTTGAAATAAGCATTAACTTCTCTGAACCTTAGTTTTCTTGTCTGAAAATGCAGATGATATGAAAGGCTTTATTAGGGCTAAGTGAGGTAAATAAAAAAGATTGCACATTGTAGAATCTGAGTACTGATGCTCATGATGTTCTTCCTTCTAATTCCCTCTTTTCTACCTCATACCCTTTTGTCCTCTAATCACCCCCTCACTCTCCTCTGTCTATTTAAAACCCTCTAGATATAAAATAGAGCAACCCTAGTTGTAAGAGAAGAAATAATCACGTTTCTCTTTTAAAGTTAATCTTGATTGCAAAATAAGTGTTACAAATGTAATCGCTTATTTAATAATAAGAGGGACTGGTGTCAGATAGGAGTCAGGCTGTTCCTCAGTTTTTGTTTGTTTTTTTCTATGATAAGTATAAGTTTTGTATGTAGAAAATTGAGCATATGAATCGATTGCCTGGTGGTACTTATGGTCTTTAATACTTTATTTTTAAATGACTTTTTCAAATTTATAGAGAGCTCCCTGACTCAGATTCTTCAAGTGTTAGCATTTCACTGCATTTCTCCATTATCAGCAGTCTCTTTCTGAACCACTGAGAGCAATCTGCAAATGTAATGCCTCATCACTCCTAAATATTCCATTATGTATTTCCTTAAAACAAAAACACTCTACTGTATAAATAGCATAGAACCTTTCAAGCTAGGAATTGAGCATTGGTAAAGTAAAACCATGTAGTCCACAGACCCTATTTAAATTTTTAGCAACTATCCCAGCAATAGATCTTTTTTCCCTTCTGGTCCAGGATCTTACCTGGGAACACAGGTGCCTTTAGGTCTACTCCAAGAACAGTCTTTTCCTATTCATATTTTCAGAAGTTATAAAGAATACAGATCTTATATTTTGTAGTATGGCCCTCAACCTGCATATATCTATTCAGTGTTTCTTGATGACTTGACTCAAGTCATGCATTCCTGGCAGGAATTCTACATAAATGGTTGCTCTTTTCAGTGCCTTATATCAAGGAGCACATGTCAGCCTGTCCCACCACCTTAATCACCTGTTTGTAACTTTTTTCATTGAAAAGTTACCATTTACCCTTTGTAATTGATAAGTATTTGGAGGAGAGATGTTCTGTAGCAAAATGTTCTACAAGTCTCTATCCACCAGTCCTATTGACTATTCCTGTCTAAAATGGTAATATTCCTATTTCCACTATTTTTTTCTACATTCATTGTCATTCTATAAAGATGAGCATTCTTTTATCATCAGTGTTGTTTCAACGGTCAAATTTTCCCAGAGTTGGCCAGTAAGACTCTCTTAAGACTGATTCCTGTATCCTTAAACACACACACACACACACACACACACACACACACACACAAAAAAAAAAAACCACGTTTTTATTGATTTTTAGAGAAAGAGAAGGAGGGAGGGAAAAGGATAGAAAGATAGAAACATCTATGAGAGAGAAATTTTGTCAGTCAGCTGCCTCCTACACACGCCCTACTGACCAGGAATTGAACCGATGACTTCTTGGTTCCTGGGTCAACAGTGCTCAACCACTGACCCACACTAGCCAGACTCCTGTATCCTTTTGACAAACCACTGACCCACACTGGCCAGGCTCCTGTATCCTTCTGACATGTCACCATCATTTTTTGAGTTTCCTTATTATCTAGCAAAGCAAGGTGTTCCAGGTTCACTTTATCTTTACAGCTTTGAAATCATTAACTTCTCTAGAGTTTCCTGGATTATTCTAGTGGAGAATAGCATTTGAAAACCAAGATCTGGGCATTTACTCATTGCCACTGAAGTATCATTGCTTTGCAAGCAGGTCAAGTGGGCTGCGAGTTTGACGTGCTTGTTCTAGTGCCTCTCAGGCAGAGCTAAGAAATCTATAATAATAAAAACGTAATATGCTAATTAGATTAGACTACCTTCCAGATGATCTTCCGGACAAAGCTGGGGCTGTGAGGGAAGCCTGGGTCCAGGGTGCTTGCTGGTGGCGGGAGGGAAGCCCGGGTTCCGGGTGCCAGAGGGAAGCCAGTGCTGGCAGCCAGGAGAAGGAAGGCCTACTCTTGCACACATTTCGTGTGGGCCTCTAGTATATGTATATTTTAACTATAAATACACACACATCTATAACTTCTGTATATCCATTTATCTGTAACAATCTTGAGTTCATACCAATACTTCCAATAATTATTATACAATAGTTTTTTGTTAGGTTTGGTTTTTTATATATTTTTATTGATTTCGGAGAGAGAGGAAGAGGGAGAGATAAAAACATCAATGATGAGAGAGAATCATCAATTGGTTGCCTCCTGCACGCCCCCTACTGGGGATCAAGTCCGTAACCCAGGCTTTGTGCCCTAAGCAGGAATCAAACCCTGACCTCCTGGTTCATAGTTCATCACTCAACCACTGAGCCATACAAGCCAGGTTACAACAGTTTTTTCTAGTTCTTCCTTTCTATATTTGTAAATAACTTTCCCAACAGTGGCTCTTTTTACGCTTTGTATAATTACTTATTTGCTCATCATAACCAATCTCTACAGCCAGCAATCTCCTTCACCAGGCAGCTCTATCCTCACTGTCTCCCAGTATTCAGCTTATGGAATGCTACTGAGAACTTCAGTGACGTGCTTTTACATGACTCTATAAAGTTTTAAATATATGACCTAGTCTCCATAGCTCTCCTGTCTCAATGACTTAGCCTAGTCCCCACAAGTATCCTGCCTCAATGATTTAGCCCAATGATTTTCAACCTTTTTCATCTCATGACACAAACTAATTTTTTTAAAATAGATTTTATTGATTTTTTTACAGAGAGGAAGGGAGACAGATAGAGAGCTAGAAACGTCAATGAGAAAGAAACATTGACCTGCTGCCTCTTGCACACCCCCTACCGGGGATATGCCCGCAACCAATGTACATGCCCTTGACCGAAATCAAACCTGGGACCTTTCAGTCCGCAGACCAACGCTCTATCACTGAGCCAAACTGGTTTTGGCTAAACTAATTTTTGAAATTTCTGTGGCACACCAAAAATATTTTTTGTCAACGTGACAACAAAATAGGTATAGTTTTAATTCATTCACACCATCCACCTATTGTTGTGTTGGTTGTTGTCATATTTTTATTTGACAACATGAGGGAAAAGAATTCAGTGCCCCTGACTAGTCAGGTATTGCATGTTTTAAAAATTATTAGTGCACATAAGTTGAAAATCACTCATTTAGCCAATCAGAATAATGGCCTTCAACACGTTGATCATTTCCACCCATGACTTACATACATGATCTAAGAACCAGATTTTAAGTGACTTCAAATCTTGATTAGCCTAATAATAAACCCAGTGTGGTGCTCGTAGATTGTTTTGGAGGGTGGGAGAAGATTGGGAATGACCTGTGTTGCCTTTTTCCTTAATTAGGTTAAATGAAGAGCCTTGTTTCTGACTTCCTGTTAGAAAAATTATTTACATACATTGGTAGTAATAGGTACTTAAAAAAAAATCTTAGATATGAACACTGTTAGGATTAGTGTATGTTTTCTATTTAGTTATTTTGATCCATGAATTGTTTGGATGAATGAAACAAATTAAAAGTTGAGGTTATGGACAGCAGTCATGTTTTTATATTTGGCTTAGCATCTGGTTTATTTCTGTATTTGTTCTGTGTACCTACTTTTTGAAAAGGCTGCAAAAGTAATTTTAACATTGACTGAGAAGCTCAAAGATGAGCAGTAGGTAAATGTTATTTACATTCCCTTTTATAAATTTAGAGACAGGCAAGCAGTTAATACTCTTAGTTATGTAAAAATTCTAGAACTTCTGGTTCCTCTAAGATGGTGAATTAGCATAGAGAAACTAAAGAAGAGGAAACTTCTATTCTGGGAAGTAGCAACAATAAAACAAGCTCTCCTGAACTGGTGTGTTATTCCTGTAGCCTGAGACAGAAGATAATTTGCAATAGATTAATTAATTTGGAGGAAAGTTGTCAGTGTTTTGTTGTTGTTGGTTGGTTGGTTTTAATGGGATTTATATATATATATATATATATATATATATATATATATATATACACACACACACACACACACAAATATATTTTATTTTATTTTATTATTTATTTATTTATTTATTTATTTATTTATTTTTGGTTAATTCTCATCCGAGGATAGTTTTCCATTGTTTTTGTTCTTTTTTTGTTTGTTTGTTTGTTTTTTGTTGTTGTTGTTGTTTGTTTTTTAGGGAGAGTAGAAGAGAGAGGGAATGACAGAGAAATATCTATATGAGAGAAACACATGAATGGTTGCCTCCTGTACAGGCCGGGCAGGAAAACACCCTGCAACCGAGGTGCGTGCTGGTGACCTGAATGGAACCCGGGACCCTGTGGTCCGCAGGCCGGCGCTCTATCCACTGAGCCAAACTAGCTAGGGCTAAAAATATATTTTTATTCACTTTAGAGAGGAAAGGACAGGGTAAGCAAGATAGAAACATCAATGATGAGAGAGTATTATTGATCAGTTGCCTCCTGCATGCCGTCTACTGGGGATTGAGCCTGAAACCTGGCATGTACCCTTCACCAGAATCAGACTCGAGATCATTCAGTCCACAGGCCAATACGCTAGCCACTGAGCCCAACCGGCTAGGGTAGGATTTTTTTGTTTAAAGTTTTAACTCTCAACTCTTCCTTCTGTTGCCTTGGGTGAATCATCATTACATCCCCTCTTTGCAGTAAAATTGGCAGTAACAGTCCACACCAGAGGTAAATCAGTGAAATTTAAACCCCCTGCTACAATGAAATGCCAATAAAAAAAAAAAACAGCTACAGCAGAATAAATTTTTATTCTTTTTCTTTTTTTCTCTGTAAACCTGGGGTGGGGAGCCTTTTTTCTGCCAAGGGCCATTTGGATATTTATAACATCATTGACTTACTGTAATTCACTTACTATAAATTTATATTGCTATGAAAAAAAAAACTCGTAGATTTACTGAATTTCAGTTGCTGCCTGCGGTTGCCTTGGCAGGGCCAGCCCAAATGATTTCAAAGGCCTTACACAGCCATCAGGCTGGATGTTCCCTGCCCCTGCTCTAAATCTGGATGCTGATGGATTATAGCCTATAGAGACTACCTAATCCCTGAGCTAAGTGTTTTTAGGGAGACACTCTTCTTTGAGGACTTGTCTAATGGAGTGGCTACAATGGGAAGTGATTAGTAGCAGTTCTTTCATATTTGAGCTATTTGTTTATTTTTTAATCTTTTCTATCTTTGGATTTTTAGGCAACACCTGAACGTCTCATCATGCATTTAATAGAAGAGCATTCCATTGTGGACCCAACTTATATAGAAGATTTTCTATTAACTTATAGGACGTTTCTTGAAAGTCCTTTGGATGTTGGAATTAAACTATTGGAATGGTTTAGAATTGACAGCTTAAGAGATAAGGTTTGTATTATAAGTGTAAAGGACGTGGAAGTGATTTTAACCTTTAAATTTTATTCATAAAACCTTTTGCAGTTGATAAATTAAATGTTTATTTTATTTTTATAAAATTCAACTCACCTAAAAAAAAAAAATAGTGAGCTAGTATTGATGTATCTCTGTATAGTTAATTTTATGACAAAACTAGAGGCCTTGTGCATGGTGGGGTTGTCCCTCAGCCCAGGCTACATCCTTTCCAATCTGGAACTGCTGGCTCCCAACCACTCACCTGCCTGATTGCCCCTAACCATTCCCCTGCTGGTCTGATTGATGCCTAACTGCTCCCCTGCTGTCTTCATCATCCCCAACTGCTCTGCCTTGCCAGCCAGATCATCCCCTGCTGCCTTCCCCTGCAGGGCTGAGTGAGGCTGGGTGAGTCTGGATGCTGCAGGGACTGGGTGAGGCTGGATGCTGGGAGGCTGGAGGCTGGATGCTGCGGGGACTGGGTGAGGAGGGGCTGAGGAGACTGGTGGACTCCAGCTGGATGAGGTGATCCAGAGGGGACTGGGGGACTATGGCTGGCTGAGGGGACTGAGGGACTCTGGCTGAATGAGGCAGGGCTGAGGGGACTGGGTTCTGCCATCTTGTGGCTGTGGGCGCCACCATTTTGTGCGGGCATGACAGTCAATTAGCATATTCCCTTTTTATTAGATAGGATAGTGTGTTAAAAGTGGATATGAGCCTTATAAGACAAAAACAAAAATAAGGCTGTGATGTAGCTGCAAATTCAGAGAACACAATAGCCACATGAGAGTATTGCTGAACTTTCTCAAAATATTTCATTGTTTCTGAAAGATATTTAAAAGTTGATTAATAGTTTAGAAAGAATATTTACCAAGTAAATTTTTTAAGAGGGCTTAAATTGTAAGCTGCAATATAGAATATGTTGATTTTTCTTGTCTTTTTTACCTTAGTTTATATCTGCTGTGCCTTATTTAAATCTACCTTTGAATATTTTTTGCGTTAAATAGTTTTCTATTTTAAGTAGATTATCTTAACCTCATTTCTTTTTTATTTTTTAATATATATTTTATTGATTTTGTACAGAGAGGAAGGGAGAGAGATAGAGAGCTAGAAACATCGATGAGAATCGATCAGCTGCCTCTTGCACACCCCCTACTGGGGATATGCCCGCAACCAAAGTACATGCCCTTGACCGGAATTGAACCCGGTCCCTTCAGTCCCCAAGCTGACACTCTATTCATTGAGCTAAACCGGTTTCGGCCTTAACCTCATTTCATGGGTATATATATATATATATATACACACACACACACACACACACACACACATATATATATGTGTGTGTGTGTGTGTGTGTGTGTGTTCTCATATATATATCTATATATATCTATATATATCTATATATATATATATATATATATATACACACATATATAATGGAAAGACTGGTAATGCCTTGCAAAATGGTGGAATTCTGTTATTTTAAGAAACATTAAAGTAGGTCCATAATTGCTTAGTGTGTCTGAATTATATTTTAAAGGAAATAAGTTAGAATTAGCTGGACTGCATTATTCTATTGTTTAAAAAACTAAAATGTCCAAAACTATAGGCTTACCCCTCCCTTTCCCCCCAGGATTATAAAGAATTACTTTGATTGGTGGGGAAATAAAGGGTGCTAAGAGTGAACAAAAATTATGTAGTGACAACTAAATATCCACGTGCCAAAGAATTAACTCAAAGTGGATCAGAGACCTAAAATAAGAGCTAAAACTATAAACTCTTAGAAGAAAAAAAGGGGTACAAAAATCATAACCTTGGATTTGGCAATGTTTTCTTAGATACATGATACTCAAAGCACAAGCAATAAAGGAAGAAATAGATAAGTTGAGTTGTATCAAAATTTAAAATGTGGTATAGCAATATAACAAAATATTATTTAACCATAAAAAGGAATGAAACACAGGTATGGTCCTTGAAAACAATATGCTAAGTGGAAAACCAGACATAAAAGTTCACATATTGTTCAAAATATCCACAATACTACAGAAAAGCAAATTAGTGGATGCAGAGAAGCCAGAATAGGAGCTAACTGCTTAATTGGAATGGGGCAGTGAAAATGTCCTGGAACTACCATGTTTCCCCGAAAATAAGACATCTTCCAAAAATAAGACATCCCCTAAAAATAAGACCTAGCGCAACTTTGGGAGAAAAAATTAATATAAGACACTGTCTTATTTTCAGGGAAACAGGGTAGGTAGTGGTGATAGTTGCACACCACTGTGAATGAGCTAATTGCCAACATTTAAAGTGGTCAAATAGTGGTTTTATGTGTATTCTATCACAATTCTTAAAATATATGACATACTTTGCATAGTTAGCTAGGCACATTATTCAATTCAACTTCCATTTGCTAGCTTTTAATTTTTCTTTTAATTTGTGACACAAAAAGCAATTCATAACTTTGAAAACTCGCAGTATTTATAAATGAAATAAGTTTCAAATTTGTTTTTGTTACAATTTTAGTTAAATGGTCCTGGCTATGGCAACACTTTTTATACGTTTGTCCTCAGAAGCTTGCATTTTAGGATACTGTCTGAAATATATATCTCATGTTCTTACATGTTAATATCTAGGTTTGTGTATTCTCACTAAGGACAGAGTCTTGGTTCTATGTTACTTTTATTCCCAAGCTCAACTAAACCATGTGTCTCTGTTAGAATGTCCCTTTTGAGTACAGGAAAGGAAAGAGGGTGTTAGTCATGTGTGGGAAAGGGAAGAAAGAGGGTTAACCTTAAAACTTAGTTTTGGACGTGTTTTTGGAATCTTTTGTGAAAGAATGTCTCTCATAACCTCATATGCCTTCATGTTTCCACAGGTAACACGGATTGTCTTATTATGGGTAAATAATCATTTTAATGATTTTGAAGGTGATCCTGCTATGACTCGATTTCTGGAGGAATTTGAAAAAAATCTGGAAGATACGGTAAGGCTCAAAAGAATTTATCTTTTTTTTTTTTTTTTTTTTTTTTTTGAGTTTAGGGATTCCTCCCCCATTCTCCCCAGGAACAGCAATTCAGAACAGCTTACATCTTGTGTCTTGAATGTCTGTTCTGAGAACTTTCATATTCATATTCTGTTCTATTCATCTTCTGCCACTCCAACCCAGAAAAACATCATGCTTCCTCCTGACTTTTCTGTTTCTGCTATAAGACTAATGATAATATTTTCTCCTAGTCACCCAGGCTTATAAACTCCTGTGCATTTGTGGTCTCCCTCTCTGCCTTGATTTCTCTTGGTCAAGATGTACAGAGTTGCTCAAGTGACCTGGGTCACTATACACATATTTCCCATGTCTGTCTCAGCCACTTCTTCTTCTTTTTTCTTTCTTCTTTCCTTTTTCTTCTTCTTCTGCCATTGATTTTTACAGAGAGTGGAAGGAAGGGGACAGGGGAGAGAGAAGAGAGAGGTGAGAAAAAGAAACATGGATGTGAGTGAGACACACCGATAAGTTTCCTCTTGCATGCGCCCTTACCAGCGGCAGAGATCAAATCTGCAACTGACCATTGACTGGGAATTGAACCTACAACCCTTCTGTGTGCAGGTTCACACTTTACCCACTGAGCACACTGGCCAGGGCTCAGCATTTCTTCTTCACTCCCCAATTTAGGCCCTCATTTTCTTATGCCTAATCTGTTAGAAAAGCATCCTAGAATTGTAGTTCTAGTCTCTCTTCTTTCTAATTCATTCTTTGTGGTCAAAAGATTGTTTTTAAACCACAAATGAGATGCCTATTACTCTGTCAATAAACCAAAGTGTTTCCTACCAAAATAATTCTCCACTTGTATATTCAGGTCTCTCATGTACATTTTTAGCCTTTTTTCTATGAACCCTTGATTATAGCCAACCAGGTTACTTTATCTTCTTTTCTAAAGTTCTCTCAAGCTGCAATTCTCTTCTTCAAGTCTTCCAGATGTGCTTCAGGGCCTGTCTTAGATATATCATTTCTACATTAGATTTTCTGAGTCATCCTTCTGCATGTGATTTCACTTGTTCTAAATATTTAACACCTAAAATAATCATCTCAAGATGCTCGCAGTAGCTATTTATAAATATATTTTATTCTCCTAGCTAGATATAAAATTTTGAACTGCAACTGAGTTGTCTTTGCTTCAAGTAACTGCAATTTCAGGAAGTAAATAATAAAATAGCTGAGGAATCATTGACTAAATTAACAACCAAAACTCGTCACTTGCTATATGTGAACTTGGACAATTGCCTAACTTTTGTGCCTCAGTTGTCTTGTTTTATAGATAGCCGTCCCTAGTATTTATAGATAATCGTCCCTAATTTGGAATGTTATGAGGATTATAATTAGCTAATGAGTGTAACAATCTAAGAACAAAACGGGCACATAGCAAATGCTCAAGAATTATTGTTATTAGTTATAGAGTATAAGTAGATTGAGTTGCATAAAGAGCGGGAAATTGGCAGACTTTTGTCCCTTTTTCTATTCCTTGGTTCCTCTAGCCTTTTGGGCATCACGTCTGCTTGTATGCAAAATGGGAGATTGATTGGAACTGGGAAACTTGACTAAGAGGTCAAGGAGGCCTGCATCATTTGGGTCTTCCAGTGCTGGCTTGAATATATATTCAAGGGGCTAATGGAAGATAGAAGGGACCTTACAATCATGGGACTCCCCTCTCCCCCCCTCCACCCCTCAGTAATCAGCTAGTCATAAATTATTTATGGAATTCTACTTTATACTTCAAAGTGTTATATAGAATCAGAACAGGTGTAAGACTTGGTCCTTACCCTGAAAAAACTTAAGCTTTTTGTTATGGACATGACATTTATATATATTACACTATTTGGGAGTAGTTGGATGTTAAGCTGGTATTAGAACATAGAAGTTAGAATATTACTAAGTTTAAAGAATATCTAAAATAATATGGGAATAATAATTTTGGGAGAGGTGGAGACATGACTGTGTCTTTGAATATTAGTATTTGGAAAGGTGGTTCAAGTCCTATAAGGTTTTAAATTAATGTTTTAAAATGACTTGGGTTGTATATAACAGCCAGGAGATAAGCTAGATAGTACAGTAAGTATTAGGCAAGGTTTAGGAAATGAGGAGTAATTTTCTTGTCATCCCCTTCTAAATGAAATATCACTTTGAAATCTTTTCTAATTTGTAATTATCTAGAAGTTTTCATATTAAGAGATTCTTAAGAGTGCTGTGAGGTGCAAGTTCTCTCTCCTTCACTTTTATTTATCTCAACTTACACGTACTTTACTCTGCTTTAATTCTAATAATTTTAGGTGATTTTTTAAAAGCCTATTGGAGTAGTTACATAAATTTGTAAACATTTTTCCTTTTTAGAAAATGAATGGTCATCTGCGGTTACTGAATATTGCATGTGCTGCAAAGGCTAAGTGGAGACAAGTTGTGCTACAAAAGGCCTCCCGGGAGTCCCCTCTGCATTTCAGCCTTAATGGAGGAAGTGAGAAGGGATTTGGTATTTTTGTCGAAGGAGTAGAACCCAGTAGCAAAGCTGCTGATGCAGGACTGAAACGTGGTGATCAGGTAAGTCAGCAATTTTCAACCTTTTTCATCTGTGGCACACATAAACTAATGACTAGAATTTTGTGGCACATCAGAAAATTTTTTTATTTTTATTTTTTGCCGATCTGACAGAAAAATAGGTATACTTTTTATTTATTCAGTAGTTGTGTTAGCTCTTGTCATTTTTTTATTTGCTGATCTAAGGGAAAAGAGGTAATGCCCCTGACTAAATTGTGAAGTGTTCCGTGTTTTAAAAATTGCTGAGATAAGTGATAACCAACCACTTAAAGCCTTTTGCCCTAGGATGTTGTGACTCATTGGTTGGGCATCTTCCTATGCACCAAAAGGTTGCTGGTTTGATTCTCTGGCAGGAGGCAGCCGATTGTTGATTTGTTCTCACATCAATGTTTCTTTTTCTACCTCTCTCTAAAAATTAAAAAATATGTATATATTGTTTTTTTACTTAAAACCTTTTTTAATAATCCTTACCCCAGAATATGTCTCTACTGATTTTAGAGAAGGAGAGAGAGAGAGAAACATCAATGTGAGAGGGAAACATTCATTGGGTGACTGCCATATGCACCCTGCAAACCCACAACTAAGTATGTGCCCTGACTGAGAATTGAACTTGCCACCTTTTGGTGTACAGGACAATGGTCCAGGCAACTGAGTCACCCAGTCAGGGCTAAATTAAAGCCTTTTTATAAAGGGATATGTCTGCTGCTACTTTTGTCACCTGTTATTTCTTCAAATAAATGTGATCAATTTAAGGAAGTATTGTTTGAGCTTTTTGAGATGTGGTATTTTAAAATGGCTTACGTTAAAATGTATTTGTCATATACCTATGACTTTTAATGGGAAGTTTGATACAGTATGGCCAGAAGCAGTATGGTTGTCTGGGAACTATCAGCACGACCTTTTTGAATGGTCCTGCCCATCCTCTAAGAGTTAGGAAGCTGTATATCTGGCAACTTCAGAGTATTTCAAAAGCACCTTTGGAAGCTTAGAAGGAGCAAGCACTTCCATTCATAACATTCTAAAATGTAAGTGGCTTGAGATGACCATAAATGATGGTTTCAGCTTACATAATGTTCATATGATGATAGACTACAATTCATAAGCATTGAGCCGGGTAAGAGACTAATAGAAAGGAGATACTGGAAGAAAGTTAGTAGGGATTTATTCTCTCCTTATAGGCATTAAGTAACTGTAGAGCAGCATATTTCAAAATCGGATTACTGACAACCTTATTACTAAAATATTCGAATCCTAGGCTCACATCAGTCCTATTAATCCCATTCTCCAGATATAAAATCTGCGAATCTGTATTTTTAACATAGCTTTCTACTGTGTTTCCCCGAAAATAAAACATCCTCCAAAAATAAGACCTTCTTACAGATTTCCTTCTGAGTGAAATATAAGGCATCCCCCGAAAAACAAGCCCCCACACAGGCTAAACATGAGAGATTTGGTCCACTGATTCTGAAAGAAATGGAGTCACAAGAAATTCACCAAGAAATTCAGGAATTGGATTGTTATGATGATGTTCCAGAAGATGATGACATGATTGTCATTGAATAAATGAGTCAATTCTTGATACTATAGGATTCACAGTTTGTCTGGTTTGTGTTGATAACTACCGTACTACCATACCGTATACAGGTAATACATTTCCTTTATTTTAATTTAACAATAAATGTGTACTGTATTCTTCTTCATGGAAAAATAAGACATCCCCTGAAAATAAGACCTAGCGCATCTTTGGGAGCAAAAATAAGTATAAGACACAGTCTTATTTTTGGGGAAACAGGATAGATGATTCTCATATACAACAAAGAGTGTTTTCCCAAATCTAGCTAAATCACTTAGAAAGCTTGCTTTTTCCCATTTTAAAATTTTAGTTCATCCATTAATTAAGAATGTAGCTTTATATTACACTAACTGAACCATACTATTTTTTTATTTTTTATGATTTTTAGTCATTCACATTAGAAAAATTGTTCTGTATCTCAGAACAGGAATTCTCAGGCAGGGGTGACTTTGCCCCAAGGACAAATTGGCAGTGTCTGGAGATATTTTTGTCATGACTTGGGATTACTACTGGCATCTGGTGGATAGAGGCCAGGATGCTGCTGTACTGACTATAATACCTCACAATAGAACAGCCCCCACAACAAAGAGTTATCCAACCCAGATGTCAAAAATGCAAATAGTTAAGAAACTCTGATATAAAGTTGTAATGATCCCCTTCTTTCCTTAAGGGGGCTTTTTAAAAAATAGAGATTTCTCAGCCTTACCTGGGTTTGATTGCAAATTAAGAATATCTAGTATTTAGGATACTGGAGTCAGTATATTTATTATTCCAGTAATTTATTGTGAATACATTTAAGAACCTTATTCTTCATAGAAAAAAAATACTGAAATCCAATTATTTCATTTCTGAGAGAAAAAAATAATCATGCTTTTACTTCTTCCTTCAATCCTCCCAAGTACATTGAAATTATCTGAGATTTTATATCTAACTAGAGGCTCAGTGCATGAAAATTCATGCACTTGGGGGTCCCTCAGCCTGGCTTAGCCCTCTCACAGCCTGGGAGACCTTAGGAGATGACACACTGCAGCTTAAGCCCGCTCCCCAGTGACCGCCTCTGCAGAAGGCGGGGCACTGGGACAGGGCCTGGGCCCTGCGCTGCCTCCTCTCCCGTGACCTCTGCAGAGGGGGAGGGGGGGCACTGGTACCGCCATGGCTTTCATGGTGGCACAGGCTCACTGGCTGCACCCCCCACCCACTGGTCGTTCCAGCAGATTGTTCCGGAAGGTTGTTCCGAGTCTGGTCTAATTAGCGTTTTAGCTCTTCAGTGGATAGAAAGTCGGCCTGTGGACTGAAGGGTCCCTGGTTCGATTCTTTTTTTAAGAATGCTTTTGACATATGCATTAAGTTTTATAATTTTATTACTTATAATTATTTAGACATTTACACCTACCTTACTAATCTCATTTATCACCTTCATTTCATCTGTGCTAAATGTCCCCATTCATTGGATTCATCTCATTGTCTTCTAGTACTTTTCTTAAGAAGGGCAAATGGGTACTATAGTTTTATGTGTCATTGCGTGTCTGATAATGCTTTTATTCGGAGGAGTATAAAATTCTTTGGTCACAGTGATTTTTCCTTCATGGATAAGTATTATATCATTTTAGTGCTTATTGCTCGAGAGAAGACAAAACCAACTTTTATATTTATTTTTTAGGTAGCTTTGGTCCCTACCTCCACCCCTATAGTAATGCTTATAGCTTCTTGTTTTCTGTCCTTGGAATTCAAAATTTTCATGAGATATGTTTTTAAATCTTTTTTTTAATTTTTTTTAATTTTTATATTACTAGAAGATCCAGTTCAGTATATAGAGTAGATGTTTTCAACTCTGGAAATTTTACCTCTGTGATTTTTTAAATTTCTTTTCCTACTATTTAGTTTCTCACTCTTTTTTTTGTATCCTTTGGGAATCTTTGTGTCAATTCCTGAGATCTGTCCTCTGTGCTTTCTTTTTTGTTCAATATGTTTATTTCTTTATCCTTTTCCTTTGGAATTAGTGTTCTTGCAATACACTTCCTGTGTGATTCTGAGGCCCAGCAAGTTTGAGAAGCCCTTCTGTTTGAAGTATCAGCCATGTCACATGGAAGAACCAAATTACAGTTTGTGCTGCTTGCTTTTGGACTGCCTGGTTCAACAGTGACAGGAAATGTTACTAGATGTATTCAGAGTACCATTTTTATCTCTTTTAAATGCAATAAATTTCATTTAGAATGTTTCATAAAATTTGTATGTATGCACAGGCAATACTTTTTATGGACCGATGGCATGATTAAAAATTTTCCTTCATATATAACAATCTTAAGAAAAATATTAGTAATCCCACTTCTCAAAGATAACCATTGTTCACTTACAGGCATATTTTATTTGTTTCATTTAATTTATTTTTTTTACTGTTAAACTTAAGGTTTCAGAGGTAACTGATACTGTTTCTGTCTTAATTTATATTTTTCAAATACTTCTCTGAAGATAATGGAAGTAAATGGACAAAACTTTGAGAATATTACATTTGTGAAGGCCCTTGAAATTTTGAGGAATAATACTCATCTTGCACTTACTGTAAAGACCAATATTTTTGGTAAGTTTTGTTTTAAAAACTGTCTGAGATTTTTTTGTAATAGAAAAAGAATCATTATAATGTAAAAGAGAACAGTAAAATGGAAACATGTTTATAGCTATTTGAACATTTTTAGGATCTTTGGTGTTGGGATTGTAGTATTTTATTTATATTTTTAGAGAGACTGAAAGGGAGGGAGAGGGGAGAAAATCAGAGAGAGAGACATCTATTGGTTGCCTCCCACACATGCCCCAACTGGGGCAGAGAGCAAATCGCAACTCAAGTACATGCCTTTGACTGTAATCAAACCCTCAACCCTTCTATGCAGGAGTGGAAGCTGTAACCACTGAGTGCACCAGCAAAGGCTAGAAAGTACATTTTAAAATGTGTACATCCCTGACTGATTTGGCTCAGTGCATCGGCCTGCGGACTGAAGGGTCCCAAAGTTCAATTCTGGTCAGGAGCATTGGATGTGTCCACAACCAATGTACCTTGGTTGTGGACACATCCCCAATGGGGAGTATGCAGGAGGCAGCTGATCGATGTTTCTCTCTCATCAATGTTTCTAATTCTATCACACTCCCTTCCTTTCTATAAAAAAAAATCAACAAAATATATTTAAAAATAAAATAAAACGTGTACAAATATATTTAGTCAGTCATTTATAAAATGTCTACTGAGAATCAATTATGTACTTTATAGGAAGATACTGAGTAAGACTTAGAATGACCCAATGAAACTAAAAGTCAGAATTAGGTTTCCCCCCCTCCACCTAATGTGCAAATCATTCTACTGCTCGTGTTTTAGCTAGGTTTTTTAAATGATTATACGAATGCCAGATTAGATGTTTCATGGAAATAACTTGAGTAAACCATTGAATTAAGCAGTAAATTATAAATTTATAACATCATATTCTACTTTTATGTAAAAATGTTGATTATTGTGCCTGAAGTGTGTTTTGATCCTGTTTATATTTGATTGAACCAAAGACTAAGCCTGTACTTTTTATCTATTTGGGGTTCTTTTTAGACATTTAGAATGACTTTTTGTAGTTTGGTTTTATTAAATGCCATTGAGTTTTCCCTGAAATTCTGAGAGAGGAAGCAGTAAAACAATTGGAAACTATCAAAGAAAATTTGAATCTTTACAAAGTAGAGTGGAAAAAGTTTCTCCTAGGTCCTTTTGGTTGCAGTTTGAGAAATAAGAGTTGAATTTAAAAGCTATGAGTATGGAAAAGGAAGTGTGTCTGTTTTTTTCCTCTTTGGCTCCTCTTTGTACTGCACTTAGTCATAAAGAAAAATGAAACATGTTGTTTTTCCTCATTTCACTTGAGTTCCTTTTACTGAATTACCTCATGTGAAGTCATGCTAAGAAACTATATTTGTAATTCCTAATATTATATTCATTAAGCAACAAATAAGTAAGCCTTGACAGATTCTGGATTTCCTAGAGTTTGGAACTAGTACCTAGAAACATAAACTTTTGGTTTAAACAAAAGGATTCTGATTTTTAAAAATAGGAAAGCAGAGCTTGCTCTATTACAAAGACCAAATTATTTAGTCTCTTCAAGCTTCAGTTTCTCCGATTCTGTATTTTATAAGGTTCTTATACTTTTAACCTTTTGTACCTAGCACATAATAATTAGTAACTGATATCAAATATTATGTATAAAGATAAAATATATATATATAACATACTGGTTAACAACATGGACATTGGGAGATGTAAAATAGAAAGTCTGCAATACTACTAATAGAAATGTCCCATGGAAAAAAAGTGACACTGCTTTTAGACTTCTCTCTGTTCCAGTTTTTAGGCCAGTACTCACAGCCATCCGAAATCCTCCTTCCTCTCGTAGACTCCCTCTGTCTGACTCACATATTATGTTTAGACTCAGCAAATGTCCCCAGAGAAGAAAACAGCTGGTATTCTCAGCTGACATTCTTCCTGCTCTGGAATTTTAGTTCATATGTTCCTCTTGGCTTCCAAAACTTTCTAACATCTTTTAAAATCTCACCACTCAGATAATTTATTAGCATTTAAATTTTTTTCAATTTATTTTTATTGATTTCAGAGAAGGGAGAGGGAGAAAGAGATAGAAACATCAATGATGAGAGGGAATCAATGATCGGCCACTTCCTACACCCCCCATATTGGGTAGTGAGCCCGAAACCCAGGAGGTTCATAATTGTATGCTCAACCACCATGCCATGCTGGCTGGGAAGCACTTTAACTTTTTAATAAAAGTAATACACGGATATGTTTTGAAAATTAAAACACTAAAGAAAGATGCATCATGGAACTATACTGTGAACAGTATTCTTTATCTTTCTACATCAGTTCATACAGATTTACTCTTATATAATTGTTATGGCATAGAATTCCATTGCATTATCATCGCAATCTATTGAGTTGATGTCAACTCAAATATATGTTTTAGGTTATTACCAGTTTTTGCTATTTACAATTATGTAATAAAAATTCTTTGTACCTTAAGTTTCTCAAAGTGGAATCAGTTTCCAAAAGTTTACTCCAGTCTGCATAAAAATATGCAATTACACTTCATTCATCAGTGTATAAGCATGCTGTGGCAGTGGGCATAATCAACTTTAGTTATTGTTGTATTCTTTAATAATGAGAGTGTTTGAGCACTTTTTTATGTGTGTTATAAAGTCTTTTTAAATTTTTATTGATTTTTAGAGAGAGAGAGAGAGGAAGAGAGAAACATCAATGTGAAAACAACACATTACCGGCTGCCTCATGTTCTCTGACCTGTAATTGAACCAGCAAAAAAAAAAAAAAAAAAAAGACACACATATGCACTCGCATGCATACACACACACACACACACACACACACACACACACACACTGCCCAACCAATCGAACCACATTGGCCAAAGCTGTAAAAATTATTTTATTTGTCAATTTTTATGCTGAGTTACTCATCTTTTGATATGTTTGAATATCCTATCATTTTGTCTTAAGGATTGTAAATATTTCCCCCAAATTAGAAATTACTTTGTACACTGTTGAGTCACCTTATATACACACTACAGCCATGAATATCCGATGCCCATTCAGAGATTCACTGTTGCTCTTAACATTTTCTTTACCACAGAGACTTTGAACTAGAGGTTTCCTCTGCTAGAATTATTCCTTCTTCCCCGCCCGTCGCCTAATCAAAAATCTACTCTATTGACCTCTTCGTACACAGTGACTTAAGGAAATTTTTCCTGTTTTTGCTATCTCTATTAGTTCCTCTCGTTATGTTCTCTCTGTCCCTTATGTCCTCTCTGTATTGTAGACTGTGTTCCCCAATAGGAGGGCTCTGCAGACATCTAGTATAATGCCTGACATATATTTATAGGTCGGCAAATATTTTTGAATGGATGAATATCTTCATTTTAGCTCAAAAAAAGCATTTTTACCTTTACCACGTGGTTTAAAATAAAGTGAATATAAAAATAGAAACTGGCCGGGACCGGTTTGGCTCAGTGGTGGAGCGTCGGCCTGCGGAGTGAAGGGTCCCGGGTTCGATTCCGGTGAAGGGCATGTACCTTGGTTGCGGGCAAGTCCCCGGTGGGGGGTGTGCAAGAGGCAGCTGGTCAATGTTTCTCTCTCATCGATGTTTCTAACTCTCTGTCCCTCTCAATTCCTCTCTGTAAATCAATAAAATATATTAAAAAAAAAAAAAAAAAGAAACTGGAAGGCCGTTATTGTATCTTAATAAAGCAGAGAGAGTATATTTGAAAGGTGACTCCTAAAGATTTCCATTGTTTTGAAGGCAAAAATGTACTTTTCATCAGCTTACAATATACTTTGGTAATGTGAAATCATTCTGGTTGAAACTTTCAAAATGGTCCAGTATTACAACTAAAAACCAAATTATTTATGGTGGTAAGGTGTTAGTTCTTAATTAAGGCTTTGTTCATTTGAATCTTACTTATTAGTCCTGATGTAGTGAAAAACTGATTTATCCCCCGAAATAACTGAGAAGTATCACAGTTCTCTGTGGTTGGGGTTTCAGTGGGCATATTTATACAGTTTACAGCTTGTCTTCTATGGAGGTACAGAGTAACTGTTAACCTTCAGTTCCACATCTCGGGGGCTGAAGACCTGAATATTTAAAAATATGCAATCAGCATCTTTCATTCAGACACTCCTACCCCCAAAGGCACCACATGTTTTAGGAAAGTTTACTTCTACTTTAGCATTTATCTTATTAGTGTGTGCTTTTTTTCTTCTAGCAGTAGATCTGTCTTACTTAAGAACACACATTTTAAACCACCACCAAAAAAACTTTTTCATGATATTACTTAATGAAAAAAAAAAGTGATAGATTTTTTTAAAATAGCTTCTAGATATATAGCCTCTTATAGATATTTCTTTCTTTTGCCTGATCCCAGGGAGATTAAGCTCCTCTCACAAGTTGAAAAGTGAATCTTGGCAAAGGGATTGCTAGACAGGCAAGTCCCCCAATGCACTTGTATTCTCCTAAGGATGAGGTAACACACCAGACTTAGGGTCCATAGAAAGTTATCTAAGGACAATTGATTGGCTTTTCACTTCATACCACTGTAGTAAATGTTTTTTAGTTGCTTTATTTTATTGAGTGACATTAAGTCTCGTGAGTGTAACATTGGGGAAGTTGTCATATGTTACCAAATGTAGCATTATTTATTTCTGGTAAAAACAGGTCAAGCAAAGTTCTTCCCATTTTTTTAATGGCTAACTTTTGCAAAACTGAGCCCAATGTAGTACTTAAGTCTAATCTCATTTTATCATTAGAAGTACCGTGTTTCCCTGAAAATAAGACCTAGCACAACTTTGAGAGAAAAAATTAATATAAGACACTGTCTTATTTTCGGGGAAACGGTAGCATAAATAATAGAATCTAAATATCTATGATAATAAAAGGGTAATATGCTAATTAGACTGGACATCTTTCCAATGTCCTTCCTGAAGAAGCCGGGGCCAGCAGGAAGCCAGCCCTTGGTCCTGAGTGCCTGCGGGCAGCCGGAGGGAAGCCAGCCCGGGTTCTGGGTGCCTGCGGGCGGCCAGAGGGAAGCCAGCCCGGTTCTGAGTGCCTGCGGGCAGCTGTAGGGAAGCCAGCCCGGATCACGGTGCCATAGCGAAGCCAGTGCCTGCAGCCCATGTCCCGGGTGCTGGAGGGAAGCTGCTGCTGGCAGCCAGGGGAAGGCAAGAGTTTTCATGCATCAGGCCTCTTGTCTGCTTTAATAAAATCTGAGTTGATGAGCAATTATATAGCTTATTTCCTAAATAGGAACCCCTGAACTTCTCAAACATGCTGGCTGGCTGTCTACCTCCTTTCCATTTTCCTCACTTTTTATTTTTAATCATTCTTAGACAATATCAGCAGTATAGTCAGATATAAAAACTGCAACGAGAAGTGGATATTACTGATAAGGGAAGGATATAAATTTCATGAATAAATAAGGCTGTGATAGGTCAAGTGATTTTAAAAAGTGACTGTTTATTCTCAAAATTTGCTGTTGACATAAAAGCTTTCTAACCTGAAGAAATGACAAGTTTATTTATTTATTCCCACAGTGTTCAAAGAGTTACTTAGTAGGACTGAACAAGAGAAATCTGGTGTTCCTCACATTCCCAAAATTGCTGAAAAAAAAAGCAATCGCCATTCAATCCAGGATGTACCAGGAGACATTGAGCAGGCACCACAGGAGAAAGGAAATAAGAAACTAAAAGCAAATACTGTTTCAGGTGGAAGAAACAAAATCAGGAAAATTTTGGATAAAACACGATTTAGTATCTTGCCTCCCAAACTATTTAGGTATGTAATGCCATTCTCAGTCATGTGGGCATTTTCTTGTTGACTATAAATTTTTATTTGGGGGAAGTGAAATTTGGGTCAGTTTTTTTTCTTCTTTTTTTTATAAACTAATACATCATAAAATCTATACGTGATCCAGAAGTAAAAAAGAATAAATTCTGAATATCTCCCCATCTTTTCATTGAAGTTACCAGTTTTAGATTATATATCTTCTATTAGCCTTCTTTTGAATTTTAGAAACAACTGCCATTTTATAAAATATTTTTGGGGGAAGAGGGTATATTTTTGGTATAGTTTTAGTCCTTTTACCTACAAATTTGGACACCTTAAATCTTGGGACACATTCACTAACTGTAGTTTTTGTTTTTTAAATTAACTTTCTCTTATTGCACTATTTATTCCCTCTTTAATTCTAAAGTTGACCTTATTAATCAAATCTGTTTCTATTTCCAAAATGAGTTGTCACTAAACTGAGTAAAAGTTCAAGATTTTCTATGTAAATTAAGATCTATAAAATACTAATGAAATCAGTCCACTGAAGTGTCATGACTGGAAATGAGTCTGGCATATATTATGTCATGTATATTCTACATTATCTATTTCTTTAAGCAATCACAAAAGTTCTAATCAAATACAGTACTTAAGCAGAGTAGGCCAGCACAGTCAGGGGGAAAAAAGAAAGTATATTCAAACAAAACATGCTCCAAGAAAATACTTATTTGGCTTCTGGATCCTGGCAATATGACAAATGATAATTATCAAGCTGAAAAGAGGTAGTTCTTACCTCTAAGGAATTCATACCAGAAACCCTTTCACACATTTATTATACATTAGGCACAATGTCCAGAGATAGAAATATGGAATGGTCAGTAGAACAAGTTTCTTGTCCTTCAAGAGTTGGTTATCTGAAAGGGAAAGCAGGCCAGTGGTGCATTAGAGGATGATAAGTGCTTTGATAATGTACAAAAGCCGGAACAAGCCTGGTAGGTTTGAATAGATTGTGTGTGTGTGTGTGTGTGTGTGTGTGTGTGTGTGTGTGTGTGTACCTAAAGGTGAAGCAGAAGAGATCAGTAAGTGCTAGATTATGAAGGATTTTTAATATTATGCCTCAGATAAGGACTTTATTTTGTCATACTAGGGAGCCAGAGAAGACTTAAGATGTTACAAGATTTGTGCTTTTAGGAACTTCTCTGTTAGAGTATTTGTAGCTTGGGGTTGGAGGTGCAGCAAAATTAGCAGTAATAGCGAGGAGACTAATTAGGAGGCAACTTTGAAATAGGTAAATGTCAGCTCTCATCTTTTACGTCAAGATCTCAAAAGATTTCCTGATTGGGAAATGTTCTTGAAATGTTATTTCTAGTCTGGGAAACAAATTTGCCCTTCATTAAATTTGAGGCTCACGGAGGATTGAAACATCCTGAGCTCTGTTCTTGAGGTCACTCATGTCTAGAACGTTTATTACTCATTCCTTTCAGAATACTGCTCTCCTTGAGGTGAATGTTCTATAAAAGTCATAACTTTAAAATAGCAAAGTTCTTATAATATGAGCATACTGTAGCAGCACAGCAAATACTGTAAGAAAAGTCTTATTCTAACTAATGAGCCTTGAGTTAGAAGAATGAAAGAGGGCCAGCTCACCCTGAAGAGATTGGGGGTAATTTGGCATGAGCAGAAGTCACTGGATGAGGTTCTGAGGGAATGGAAAAGGGATGGAGGACTAGAGGCAGAAAAGAGTGTACAAGGAGAGTTCCTCAGGAGGTAGTGCCCTGAGTTCCTTTTCCAGAAACCCTGGTGGGTTGGGTCTGGAAAACGTATCTTCCTTAAGTGGTTCCCATTTTCAATAGTGGCACAGTTGTGACATGTGTCATCAAAAACTAGAGTACACTGATTGTAACTGACTTTAGCTTGTTAACTTCACATTCCAACCAGCTATATTCCGGTGTCAGATAGCTAAATCAACATGTCTTCTTCAGGAGTATGAATTGGTTACTCCTCTTGGATTCCTTGCCAGACAGTTGGTCCTGTCCAGAAATGTCCAAGCTTAGAAAAAGTCCCTGAGTTCAAATAGCCTACAAGAGTTATTTTTACTTTTGGTTTACAGGATAAGTATATAAGAAATGCTATTGTGTTTTATTGGTCTAACTGTGTTGTGACTATATTTCTGACAGTAATCTTTCCTTCCTCATTAGCATAAGTGGGTTGGGATTCAGATTGGGATTTAAATACTTAGAATCATTTGATATGGACCAAATATTTTCAAGGACATTTTGACAGGACCAGATTTCAAGACCTTTTCAACCTAATGTCTCTATGGGTGTTTTGGACAGGACCAAATGTATGCCAATCTTTGACTTCTATATTTGGTTACAGCAGAGACATGGAAATGTCCAAGGAGCAATTAATTAAATATTTTCAAGCATTATTTATTTATATTGGTACAAAAAAAAAAAGATCTAGTAGAAGTTTTACTTAAACTCAGAGGGATTTTTTTTTTTCATTAACAAATATTTATTGAGTCTCTTGCTTTGTGCCAGTAGGAGACTGCTGGCTGTGAATATGAATATGAATAAAATGCTGCCCTTCAAGAGTTCATTTTAAACTGGCTGTATCTTCTAAACATGTTTTGGTTATGTAAAATGCTATTTCAGCCATATAAATACCAAGAAATAGATTATTTTAATAGAAATTATAAAGGTTTTCTATTGGAATCCATTTTGCAGAGAGAACTGTTTTGTTATTTTATTTCCCAGAGTGGCCGTTTTTCATTTTTGAGAATGTATGTCATATTTCTTGATACTTGATCAATTAAAATAAATTTAGACAACCCTTTTTGTTATACAAGCAAAAGAATCACTAGATAGAAAACTTCTATAGAAAAGTAGAGTACATGAAACATGTTCTGCATCAGTAATAATCAAGGACATAAAATTTAAACAGGAAACTGTTTAATTAAAGATTGAAAAAAAATAGTTAAGGACAGAATTTGTAACATCCTATATAATAAAGAGGTAATATGCCAATTGACCCTCACACCATCACAAGATTGTGGCACACATAGTGGAGGCTGGGTTCCCATAACACAATATGGCTGTGCCCACAGTGGAGGCAGGATTCCTGTAACAAGCAGTTAGCAGGGATCTGCTGGATGGATGACCTTAAAGCACATCGTTCTACCCAGTGGGGCTTGACAGGGGACCTAAGGCTGCCCCTAGCCCCTATCCAGCAGAGCTTGACAGGATTGGGGCCAACCGCAACTGGATCTTGCCCATTTGGGGTGTGTCCAGCCAGGTCTGGGTCTCACATGATTTCAAGGTGCACGCAGGTGGATGGGGACTTGACTCTGGGTCCCATGGTGTGCCCCAAACTCTGACAAGAGAAAGATTTTCATATACATTTTACTAAGTTTCTTTCATCTATGACACTTTTATTATAGAGAAAGGGCAAATAGTAATAATAAAATATTTCCTCTAATTAATTATCTTTTAATTGCACAAATTTCATGCACCAGACCACTAGTACTATATAATAAAAGCCTAATATGCAAATGGACTGAACAGTCAAATGACTGGTTTCTATGACACACACTGACCACCATGGGCAGACGCTTAACACAGGAGCTGCCCGCAGGCCCCAGGCCAGCCAAGGTGGGTACTAGTGAGGACCCTCTGATCATCCTGTCAGTCACCCCACAAAGGGAGGCAACCAGCAGCGGGGGTCAGGCTGGCCAAGACAGGTGCCAGTGGGGCCTCCCAATTGCCCTGCTGGTCCCCTCACTGATCACTGGCCAGGCCTAGGGACCCTACCCACTCATTAATTTTATGCACCATGCCTCTAGCAGAGAAGATAATAAGCTTATCTTCTTTGGAAATATAAAATGATGCAACCTTTCTATAAAGCATTTGGTTTTTTTACAGAGAGGAAGGAAGAGGGATGGAGAGCTAGAAACATCGACCAGCCGCCTCTTACACATCCCCCATCGGGGATGTGCCCGCAACCAATGTACATGCCCTGGACCGGAATCGAACCTGGGACCTTTCAGTCTGCAGACCAACACTCTACCACTGAGCCAAACTGGTTTCGGTTCTATAAAGCATTTGGGCAGGTTTTTTATGAAGAACTTTAAGAAGGTTCATACCTTTGATTCAATAATTTAATTTTTAGTAATTAGATTCAGGTTAATTTATGGCTGTCTCAGTAATATTATCTACTAGAGGTCTGTTGCATAAAGAGATTTGTGCAATAGGCCTTTCTCCCCCCAGCTGCCAGCACCTGTTTTCCTCTGGCACCCAGGACCCAGGCCTTCTCTCTGGCCACCGCCTTAAGTCTTCACTTCGGGCAGAGTGCTGTTCCTGTGGCTCCCTCCGACCCGGCCCTCCCCCTCATAGTAGGTGTCCCACTCTGCCCAACCACTCAGTGCCTACATGTGTGCTTCCCATAGGCCCAGAGCAGCTGGGGGGCAGGGCTGCCACTATTTTTGTTGTGTTAATTTGCATACTCCTAATTAGCTGGTGGGCGTAGCAAAGTGATGGTCATTTTGCATGTTTCTCTTTTATTAGTGTAGATAGTAAAGCAATCTACCTAATAAAAGAGTAATATGCCGAAACCGGTTTGGCTCAGTGGTAGTAGAGCATCGGTCTGCGGACTGAAAGGTCCCAGGTTCGATTTCAGTCGGGCATGTACCTTGGTTGCGGGGACATCTCCAGTAGGGTGTGCAAGAGGCAGCTGGTCGTTGTCTCTCTCTCATCGACGTTTCTAGCTCGCTCTCTCCCTTCCTCTCTGTAAAAAATCAATAAAAATATATTTTAAAAATAAATAAAATAAAATGCTGATATTTAAAAAAAAAAAAGAGTAATATACTAATTGACTGTACCTTTGTGGCGCCCACCAGCCAATCAGGAGTGAGTATGCAAATTAACACAATAAAGCTGGCAGGTTAATTTGCATATGCAGGTGCCAAGGGTTCCGCACTACCCCAGCCGCTCCTGGCCTCTATGCAGCGTGGGAAGACAGAAAGGCGGCTCTTGCCGAAGCCGGTTTGGCTCAGTGGTAGAGCATCGGTCTGCAGACTGAAAGGTCCCAGGTTCGATTCTGGTCCAGGGCATGTACATTGGTTGCGGGCACATCCCCGATAGGGGGTGTGCAAGAGGCAGCTGGTCGATGTTTTTCTCTCATCGACATTTCTAGCTCTCTATCTCTCTCCCTTCCTCTTTGTAAAATATCAATAAAATATATTTTTTTAAAAAGGCAGCTCTTGGCCGGAGCAAAGACAGTAATGGCAGCCAGGGAAGGAAGACCCATTCTTGCACGAATCTTCGTGCATCGGGCCTCTAGTTGGTTAAATAATTGTGATATATACACTGAGTGGCCAGATTATTATGATCTCTAAACGCATAATCTGACCATTCAGTGTATATTCTCTGTAATAAAAGGCTAGCATGCAAATTGTCCCCTCGACCAGGAGTTTGACCAGCAGGCGGGCTGGCCAGCCACCCATGTCCTCTCCCCTTGGCCGGGCTGACCAGACCCCACCCATGCACAAATTCATCTACTGGGCCTCTAACATATATACACTGAGTGGCCAGATTATTATGCGTTCAGAGATCATAATAATCTGGCCATTCACCCTATACTGCAAAACTGACTAGAATACATGTTATGGTTTTTACTAAGGTGTGGTTTTTATTAGTAATTTTTTCTTGCTTGCTAGTTTTCTGTATTTTTTAAGTTTTCTGCTTTGAATATTTTTTAATGAAAAAAAAATTAATGACTTTAGTTCCCCAATTTCTGAACACCTATGTTCCATGACTCTGGAAGGGGCACTTGGTCTCTACCTTTTGCATCACACTTCTCTAAGAGTAGAGAATAAGTTTTCATAGAGATACTCTGGGAAAGAATGTCTACATCTGTGAGATGAGCAAAAGAAAGTGAATGCAAGGAATAAATACGAACAGATAATTCTCAAAATCCCTAGCCATGACATAATTTTAAAATGTAAGAATGCTCCTGAAAATTAGAAGTTAAAAAAAAGATACTGATTTTGAATAACATTTGTATATTAAGACATAGCAATGTGGTTTTTATTGACCTGAGATTATTTCACAATTCAGGAACTCTGATCTCCTATGTTTTTAATCACTCAGCTTTTGTTTTCTTCAATCACAGATTGTCTAAATAACATCTTTATATTATTCATTGTAACAGTCCAAGAAATAGACTGCCTTATTTTCTTATTAGGAATAATTGTTCCTCCTCATTTCTTGTCAGCATGGTTTTTTCTTTCAATATTGGGGTTATTTTTTATTTCCATATTGATATTTACACTGCCTTTTTAGTTTCATAATATAAAACTTAAAATATACTTTAAATAAATTTAGTGTCAGGGAATTATTAAGGAATTTTTCAAAACTGTCTTGTTTCTGTTACTGCATCACCTCAGGAGACTGTTTTGGTAAGAAATGGCATAATTACTTGCAAATAGGCTTTATTCAGCTTCCAAACAAGCATGGATACTTAGCCAATTAGATATTATTTCATTCATGTCATAGCATGAGTTGTACCTAACATGACTATAGTTTTCATTTATACATGTTCACATCTTAATTAACATGGATTTGTAACCAGCTTTAAATTATAACTACAGTGTTAAATCTATTGCTTATTAAAAAAAAAAAAAAAAACAAGTAATATTAAATAAGATGAGTAAGAGAGTTAAGAACTTGGAATATTTTGTACATTTCTCTTAGTCTCTAAATTTCAACTTATTGCAGCTAATACAACCTATTTAATAGGAAATTGTAACATTTTAACATTGTTAAAGTTGTTTTTAACAACTTTTAAGAGATTAGTAAGACTGACTAATCTCTTTTAACAATTTGCTTCCTTGGATTCAGTTATCTGACCCTCTGTGTCCAAAAATTGGCAGGTTTGTTTACAAAAATTTATAAAAGACCATTATATATTTTTAAAAGTCTCTTATTTACTATAATACATAATTTAAATTGTTGCCAAATTACTTATTAAGCTGTAGATACTATATCTGTGAAAGGCCCCTGCCTCCTTTTTTTCTCTTACTTAAAACATTTAGTTCTGATCTTCAGGAAAATACACCTAAGTATAAGGAGCCAGTTTAGCACAAGCTCAAATTACTTATTAAATAAGATATTTCCTTTGCCTTTTCTGTTAAATTAGACTGCCTTCTCTACTCAGGGAAACATTTTCTATTTTTTTAGTGCCTTTACCTGTCATGCCCACCCTGACCCTTACTATATTTCAGTGTGAATTGCTTAAAAATCCTTTATTATTTCTATTGTTCGATTTTAATTTTGGTAAAAATACTTCACCATCTTCTTAAAAATAGGAATCCTATTTTTCTCTATGTCATATGTTCACCTACATTGCCTAATTTAATCCTTAAACTAATCCTGGGAGAAAGTACTATTTACATTTTTAGATGAAGAAATCAAGGACTAGAAACAGAAAAGTCCCTGAGGTCACACAGCTAATAACCCAGGTCTATCTGACTTAGCTTGCTATTGAAATGCTTACCTTGGCTGTCTTCTATGTCATGATGCTTTCCTCTGACTGCTCTCTTGTCCTGGCTCTTTCTTCTTTGTCTGGCTATTAACACTCCTTTAGTTGTTTTTTTAATAGACTTCTACATTTCATCTTGCATAGTTTCCTAATCTGCCTAAATCCATTTTTTTACTCCTAATATATTCTAGATGAATCCCATATTACTCATTTTTCATTAATCCATTCCTTGCTAATAGGTAAGTATTCTGTGATACCTCAGTTTGTATGTGTAGCAAGGTCTAGGTAGAATGCTACATTTAATAAAATTTAGATGAAAATTAATATTAACCTAAAGCCTTGATTTTAACATAAGCATAACCCTTAGAAATAAGTGGTATATTGATTATTGATCCAGATGGAAACTTTTTCTTTTTATGGTTATTCAATATTCGAATAGGACTGTTTTACTAGCTAGCGCTGCTGTAAGGCCTAAGACCATCAGAAAACACAGGTATTTACATTACGATTCATTAACAGTAGCAAGATTATAGTTATGAAGTAGCAACGAAAATAATTTTATGGTTGGGGTCACCACAACATGAGGAACTATTAACGGGTCACAGCATTAGAAAGGTTTGAGAACCACTGCTCTATGAGGTAGAACTCTTAGATGTATAAGTTAACTTTTATTTGAGTGTCATTGTTAAAAAGCATTTTATTGCCATTTTCATTATTACAGTTGCCCTTTTTAAAAAAAAAAAAATCTAATTGTTAAATTCACCACTTTGAGTTGGTTCTATATGCTTTAGTGCACGGAGAACAGTAATGTTTATTATTAGAACCTCAAATACTTTAAAGTGATGTATGACGTTCTTTTGAAGTGACGGAGGTCTGAGCCAATCACAAGACGACAGCATTGTGGGAACGAGACACTGTAGACACAGTCTGGCCATAATGCCCATTCCTGGAGCACTGTCATCCAGCAGCCCGGATCTCCTTCAGCCTACTACCAGCATGTTGGATTTTTCCAACCCTTCAGGTGATTTCTTTGTGTGTGATTTTTTTTTATAGCGATATTGTACCAAGTGGACAAATAGATGGTTAGGCCTTGTGCAACAAATGCTAGGTTTACTTGCAGACTTCTTTTCCTACCTCTAGATTAAGACTTAAGAAAGCAAAAGAGAAGATTTTTGTCTTTATGTCTAAGCTGAAGTGATACTTCCTTCCATGTGGGTATCTTTTGATAACCCCAATCCAAACAGGGGAGTGAGAACAGAGATACTTCTGAGCCAAAAACAAGCATGTTATCCAGGGTGTGGATATGGTCACTTTAATCTAAGTGGCCTGACTTAGATTATATCATTCTCTCTGATATATAGAAAAGGGTTCATAATGTTCTACAAACACTGATTTTCCCCCATCATCTGAAGCTAAGTTTTTGTCATGTATTGTAAAAGTACTATAGCACCTTTTTTTATTGGTGCTCAAACTTTCAGTGTCTGGCATCAAGTTAATGGTTCTCCGTTTGTTGATACACAAAGGCAGAAATTGTCATTTAACTATATAATTTAAGATTTCATTATGAGGAAGAAACACTTCGGCTTTGAAAAATTATTCATCACTTGCAATGATTTGAATGGCTTTCAATAAAAGACACATACAGGTAAGAACTGAAATACATAACTGGGTCCAAGAAGAGGAGGGAAAAACATACCTCCAAAAAGATCGGCATTGTGTGATTCAGCTTCAGTACTGAAATTCCTAGCAGCTAGGGTACAGTGGGCACTCAAATCACATAAGTCTCAGTATTAGAAAGGAGGAAATATAAGAATAATAGTAAAGCTTATACTTTATAGTAACTTAAAAGCTGTAGGACATAACATAAAAATTAGTGAAAGTCATTCTACACACAGTTTCTTTTTATTTTACTTGCCTCTTTACTCACTAATCTGTCTTTGGCACATCCTACTCTGTACGTGACTACCACTGTGTTTTCTCTAGAACAAAGATTTTATAATTACCTTTATAGTTACCTTATTTATTTCTAGTGACTTCTGTATTAAGATTCAGTCATGAGATAGGAACCACTTCAGATATTTGATCAAAGTTAATTATAAGGAGTTGTTACCATGGTATAAAGTAAACTATTTATCTGAAAAGGTAACTAAGCAAGCCTATCAGGGTCCAGTTTTCACAGCATGTTATAAACCCTTTTCTTAGCTTCCTTTGCCTCCATTCTGTCCACTGACACCGCATCCATCTTTCCTGAGTACGACATGTACCTTCAGAACTCTCTTTGCTCATGCTGTTCACAACGTGTGGTGGTCTCTCCCTGCATATCCTGCAAACTTTTTCTTCTTCCTCAATACTCATCAGGGAAACCCAGGTCCCTTTGCAATAGTTAGTCCCTCCTTTTGCAGAAATTTCTAGCACAAAAATGTTTGTTGACTCTCAATTGCTTATCATAAGAATTTATTTCCATATCTGTGTGAGTGTTCCAGAGTAGTAGTACTTCTTCTGCATTCACAAGTAAAATATTCTCACATTATCAAAACACAAATACAGTATTCACCCATGCATACCTCAGAGATATTGCAAGTTTGATTTCAGACCACCATAATAAAGCAAACATCACAGTAAAGTGAGTCATAGTCTTTTTGCTATTGGAGGATCTTGCCTTCAGTTAGTAAAAGCCCGTCATCTGTGAAGCTCAGTAAAGTGAAGTGCAATAGAATGAGGTCTGCCTGTATTTTCATAAGACAAGTTTTTAGGGACATCTGATTTATAGATTGAATGATCCTATGGCTGTATTTTTGCCACCGGAATATGTTGAAGTGGGATTAAGATGATGAAGAGTGGGTTGTAGAAAAAGGAAAGAGAAGAGAGGGATGTTGGGGATTTGGCTGGGGGGAATGGGTGGAAGAGATTGGAGTTTTAAAATTTGAAAACTAAGCCTCATGGTGCTAAAGTTTAGAATTCCTAAAAGGAGTTGCTACTAAATTTTATTTCAGATTGATTGCATACTTTTCTCATTGAAAATACAGTGGGAAAGATTGAAGATGCTTTTTTAAAATCCATTTAGGAAAGATCTGTCTGCAAAACTTAGTCTGCAGCAATATAAATGACCACATATAAAATTGGTATTTAACTTATAAATTATATTTTTAAACTCCAAAATGTGCAACTTTACGAAAGACTTTTTATGGTGCTATTTATATTTATGTTGAATAAAATGTTCATTATCAATTCATTTTAAATTCAGGTTGAATTATATATGACAGCACTGGATTTTATATATTGCAGTATATATATGACATCAGCCAAGGTTAATTAATTTGATCTATCTTTATCGCAACTATGTTTATGCTCCATGTTTAAGTTACTAGAAAGTGGGTAAAAAGCTACAGAACTGTTGAATAGTTTGTTTTTGATTGCTGATCTTTTGTGGTTTTGCTTTGTTTTTGCTGCCTACAGCTGTTGGTTTTTACTGTAAGTATTTTGAAGATTCTATGCTTTTTATTGCTTATGTTTATATGTAGGGTTTTTTTTTTAAATCAAATGAGAAAGAACTGAATGAAGCAGAAAGAAGAACTTTTCCCTTCTCTTATAAGGTTGCCACTGTAAACTGGTGTTCTTTTTTATTTTATTTATTTATTTATTTTCACATGAATTCTGTGGGGTTTTTTTGTTTTTTTATTATTTCAAGAGAAGCCATTTTATTTATTTTTTAAAAAGAATTTTATTTAGACAAGACACTTGACTTGAAGGGAAAACTATGTAGGATTCATTTTTAGAGTAATTCATCCCTACTTAAAGACAGATTGTCCTACAAGTAACAGCTACATACAAAAAACTTATAAAACTGTCCTTGGTTTTACAATGCTAAATGAAAAACATTAAAATTCTCCAATCAAATAAGGTATGCAAGAACTTTTATATTGTTGTTCTTTTGCTAAACAGTGAGAGCAAAATAACTTACTGGGATATAAAGATAAGAGCTGAATGAGCATGCCACTAATGGAGAAAGGGGGTGTTTTCACAGAACCAGTATTTTTCCCCATCCCATCTCCTTTTGATGTAGATCAAAACATACCATTGACCATTTAGTTAAAAAAAAAAAAATGCAAATGCTTTTGCACATACCCCGGTTACTTTATGTACAATAACGGAATGGGGAAGGGGAAAATGAAAGAATAGAGAAAACTATACTGCAGTAGTCAGATGTGTTGAAACCAAATTGCAGTTTTCTAATTGAGAATGTCTTCTTGGTCTGGAGGAACAGAGTTCTGGAGCAAAGTAGCAGGTTCCTTTTCAGTAGACCCTCCTGTCTGCTGCTGCTGGAACACATCAATTGTATCTTCATCCTCCATTTCCAACTGTGCAGGTGTGTCTGTTTCATTGATTGGCTGCCCGTCAAATCGGAATCTGATCTGCCTCATTGACATACCCTGTCATTCACAATAGGCTTTCATTAGTTTAATTAAGTGGTGTATGCCTCTTAATCTTAAACTGCACCACAGAACCATCTTGCCCTGCCACCTTCAAATTAATATGATCGTTGTTCTCAGTCTTAACTCCTTCCTTGGGCTTTTCATTGGCCATAGCGAGCGCTGGTGTCTCCTCAGCTGCCGCTTCTCCAAGAGAAGTGATTTTCAATATAATAATGTTACATGCAATAAACCTTAATATTTCAAGAAATATTGGGTGCCTCCACTGGGAATTTCTGTGCATTGGCCCTTTAAGAGAATGCCTGAACTTTCAGCTGCCACTCCCTGGCAGACAAGCACTCCACTGCTTTTCACAGCCAGGTGTTATGTGGGCCCCCTCCTCAGTTTGGTGCTCTCTGCTGGGGAGCCCAGCTTTGGGGTTAGATTCCAGAGTTCTCAGTGGCCCCCTTCACCTCCCCACAGCTGAGGTATCTCTCCAGGACTTCAGTTGCCGTACATGGGTGCCAGGCCAGCCCTTTCGCACCTCCACCTCTCCTACTAGTCTCTGGTCTCCATCTACAGTCCTTGGGTATCAGGTTTCTCTCCTGTGAGTTTTCCACTGATTTTCAGAAAGCCTTTCCGTATTTCAGTTATATTTCCAGTTTGTCTGGGAGCATGTCTGTGCAGCATCTTCCTACTCTGCCACCATTTTTAATTTCTCTCAGTATTTTTGAGGAATGATGGTCCTACACTTTGTAGAATGTCCTGGTGGGGACACGTGGTGGCTCCTCAGGCACCAGTGCCTTTAGAATGATTGAGCTGTGTCACTACATCAGGAATCTTCCTCATCTCCTCCATTCTAGGGCATAGCCATAGTTCCACATGGAAAAGAAAAGCTAGGTTGCAGGTTTGACCCAGGGCCCAGGGCACCTGCAAGAAGCAGCCAATTGCTTGTTTCTTTCTCACATTGATGTTTTTCTTTCTCTTTCTTCCTGCCCCCACTCTGGCACGTTTTCTTTAGTCACTTCCTTTGACCATATGTGTTTTTATATTCATAGCATTAGAATATACATGCTATTCTGAACCATGAAGTGTTTTTCGAGAAGGATTTTTAACCTAATACAAGAAGAGGCCTAAAATAATTCAGAGTGTGGCTAAAAGGATTTTGAAACTTCAGAATTTGTATATGGAACTTCTGCTTCTTTTTCATTTAATAGCACAGACCTTTTTTAGAAACTTAATATTTAGTAAACTTCAAAATTCATTCTACATTGCAAATTATTATTTTAACAGATTTCTTATTATAAATGAACATATAATTAGTTTTTAAAAAATCAAACTGTAGAGAAAGGATGCAATATAAATGTCTTCACTCCCCAGAATTAGCAGTTCTTCATTTAATTTTATATCTTTCCTGAGATTTCAGTGCATATAAAATGGTGTATCATTTCCTTCACCCCAAATGATATGCTGCAGTATTTCTCCACTTAGTCCATTTCACTTAACAATATAACTTGAATACCTTTCTGTGTCAGAATGCAGAAAACAGCTACCCCTGTGTCCCCAAAAATAAGACAGTGTCTTATATTAATTTTTTTCTTCCAAAGTTGTGCTAGGTCTTATTTTCAGGGGATGTCTTACCTTTCCATGTGCTAGGTCTTATTTTCGGAGGATGTCTTATTTTCGGGGAAACACGGTAATAGTATTCCATTTAACCAGCCTTAGTGGACATTTAATTTAGAGTGTCATTTAAACCTCAGTGTTTATATTTTTTTACATGTTTTATATTTGCATTATTATTATATTTTGAATTTTGTTTAAAAATTCTTGTGGAGATTTGTTTTTTGGCTTGCAAACTTAATATTTATTGTCTGGCACTTTTATACAAGTTTGCCACTCCTTAATCATTGATACCTTTTACCACTGCTTTGTGTTTCCTTTGTGAAACTTTTCACTATATGGCATGTCTTATTTATTTAATTGTCTTGAACCACCACTTACTCTCTTGAATACAAGCAAATCCCTGAGAAAAAAGGCTTTGCCCTTCTCATTTATTACTGTGCCTCATTTATTACTGAACATTCTTGGAACATACTAGGAACTCCATAAATATTAATTCAACAATAACCATTTAAAGCGGAAAGAAGATTGAGTCTTGTCGAGACTGGTTTGGCTCAATGGATAGAGCGTCAGCTTGGGGACTGAACGGTCCTGGGTTCGATTCCGGTCAAGGGCATGTAACTTGGTTGCGGGCATATCTCCAGTAGTGGGTGTGCAAGAAGCAGCTGATCGATGACTCTCTCATCGATGTTTCTAACTCTCTATCTCTCTCCCTTCTTCTCTGTACAAAATCAATAAAATATATTAATTTAAAAAAAAGAGAGAAGATTGAGGTGTTTTTTTTTTATGATCATCTTAAATACAGAAAAAGTTCTCTGGTTTTAATGAAACCTCAATGTCGGTGTATGCATTCTTCATATATCTCATTTTCTTTTATTTTACTTAGGCAAGATTAAAGTTAACACTCTACAAATTTTGCCTTGGAGTTAAAAGTCTAGATATCTGAGAATCCTTTTCTAACATTTATTTACCTATCAGAATTTTATGAATGAAGTGGGAATTATAAGATTAATAAATGCTGTATTTCTCAATGATTCTTTTAAAATATTTATTTTGTCCTTACAGAATTATATTTTTAAGTGTAGTCTAGCTCCAAACCTAAAATTTGAACTGATTAACTCATTTTTGTTGATTCAATTTTATTGTAGTCTCATATTTATCGTTTATATAATCAGTTAATATTTGAAGGTGTGCCACATTTCAAGTATTATCTTTGGCATGTATGATTTTCTCCCAGTAATAAACATGATTGTAAAGAATATATATGTGTTATACATGTAGCAGTTCTAAAATAAAAAAAGATTTACACTGACACTGATATTAGTGCAGAGAATTCTTTTCTCTGTCTCTGAAATGTTTTCCAAGTTGTTATTTTTATTGGTAAACTCATCAGGGTTTGTCTTAATCCTTTGAATAATCCCATTTGTGGGTCTGTTTTGGAGGTGCCCATTTATGATGCCCAAATCCCTCACACATGACTATACAACAGTTTGTTGCATTGGGGTCGAGTGGGAGGTGACTTTAACAGAGTATGACTTTTTTTACACTATTTAGCAGATACAACTCTCTGTTCCTTCCCAGATGTGGTTATAGTATGTTCACAAGAGAAGAGAAAATGAAATGTGTGCCTATCATTAGGGGTTTGAATAATGAAAATATATGTTAAAAAAAAAAAGGCATCAAGATGTTTATAAATAAATAAAAAGAATTGTGGCTTCCAAGTTTTATGTATAAGTATGACCCTAATTTTTATCTTTTTGTTTTTCTGTGAACGTGTATTAATATTTTGTCACCTGAAAAGATAGATACATTTATTAATCAAATGCAGCAGTGATTTCTGTTTATCTGAAATAGAAATGTATATTTCACTGTTGAGAAGAATCATTGTGTTCCAGATTGCTTTTTGAACAGGTGAAAGTAATATCCTGAAAATAACAGGGCACATTTTTTTATTTATATAGATATTCCTGATCAAGTTATAAGAGTTTTCAAAGCAGATCAACAAAGTTGCTACATTATCATCAGTAAAGACTCTACAGCTAAAGAAGTTGTTTGTCAGGCTGTTCAGGAATTTGGTTTGACTGGTGCATCCGACACATATTCTCTCTGTGAAGTTTCTGTTACTCCTGAGGGTGTCATAAAACAGAGAAGACTTCCGGACCAGTTTTCCAAATTAGCTGATAGAATTCAGCTCAACGGAAGGTGAATGTGCTTATTATTAGTGAACGTACTATTTTCTAGATGTGTTTTTGAAGATTCCATGTCAAAACCGATATTAAATAGAAACATCATGTCTTAGGGCCACTGAGTTCTCCCTACAATTGAAGTAGAATTTCTTACTTTTGGCCCCAGCTTTTTTTATCTCCATAATTTTAGAAATGTACTCAAAATGGCTATCAAAACATGGGAAAAGTAAAGGGAAGACAGGTTGTTAAATATTTTAGCTCTCTTTCTAAAATAAAGTTTTAGAATCACTGATATAGTTCAGTCTCTGTTTTATACAGAGAAGAAACTAAATTATACATATCTTTACATGTATCTGATTGTATTAATTTATAAATTTGTTTTTAATGTGACCATATGTACTTTGAGCAAAAGAAGCCATAATTTTCACAATTTATCTTCTAAGTAGTTATCTTTTTATGAATATGTGGAAATCTAGAACATTTTTAATGTTTTGACAATAATAAAGAAGGAAAGTACCCTTACACGTATAAAATCACTTACAAAAAACAATTTTTTCCTTTTTAGGTATTATTTAAAAAATAACATGGAAACAGAGACCTTATGTTCAGATGAAGATGCTCAAGAACTAGTTAAGGAAAGTCAACTATCCATGCTGCAGCTCAGTACCATTGAGCTGGCCACTCAACTATCAATGAGGGACTTCGATTTGTTTCGTAATATTGAGCCTACTGAATACATTGATGACCTTTTTAAGTTAAATTCCAAAACAGGAAATACTCACTTAAAAGAGTTTGAGGACATTGTAAACCAAGAGACATTCTGGGTTGCCTCAGAAGTTTTAACCGAATCGAATCAGCTTAAACGAATGAAGATTATTAAACATTTTATTAAAATCGCACTTCATTGTCGAGAATGTAAGAACTTCAATTCCATGTTTGCAATAATAAGGTAAGTTCGTACAAATATATGTACAATTTTGTTATGATATTAGGCGTGAAACTGATTTTCTGCTTAGGTATTAATGGCTTGGAGATAAAAAGTTAATAGGTTTTTACTTGTAAAAACTAATATATGTCTTCCATTTTTGTGATGCTGGCTTTTTATCTTTGTTCCTTCCATCTTTCTGTTACTTAAAACATTTTTTGGGGGGGTTGTGTGGGTGATTGTTTTCCATTTTTCCTCCTTTCTTTTCCTTTGCATAGTGCTGCCCAATGGTTGGTCTTTATTTATCATCAGACTTCTATTCTGTGCATCTTGCAGTACCTCATCTCCTGGTACATATAAACTAATTGCTAAAATTCTATGGCACATCAGAAGTAATTGTTTTTTTCTGTTGTGACAAAAAAAAATAGGTATGATTTTGATACATTAACATAGATAGCTATTGTTATGTTTGCTGTTGTCATTTTTTTTTTAATATATTTTATTGATTTTATACAGAGAGGAAGGGAGAGAGATAGAGAGTTAGAAACATCGATGAGAGAGAGTCATCGATCAGTTGCCTCTTGCACACCCCCTACCGGGGATATGCCCGCAACCAAGGTACATGCCCCTGACCGGAATCGAACCCAGGACCCTTCAGTCCCCAAGCCGACGCTCTATCCATTGAGCCAAACCGGTCCCGGCAAGCTGTTGTCATTTTTTAATGTGATAATATAAGGGAAAAGAAGTCTGTGCCTCTGACTAAACAGTCAGGTATTGTATGTTTTAAAAATTGTGGCACACCAATTGAAAGTCGTTGGTCTAGCTAAACATTTGTCAATTTTGTCATTTAAAAAAAAAAAGTTATTAGTTTCATTGATCTTTTTTATTATTTTTCTGGTATATATTTTTTTCTGTTCTGTATTTATTTTCTTCTTTATTCTAATTTTGGGCTAAGTTTCTTTGTGTAAGTGTTTTTGCTTTTTTTTTTTTTTTACAGTTCTTTCATACATATAGTTAGTTTGTTTGAAATCTTTGTTTTTTGTAATATGGATATTTATCACTATAAACTTCCATTTTGGAACTGTTTTTATAGCATCCCATAGCTTTTTTTATGTTGTAAATCTATTTTCCTTTGTTTAGAGATTTTTTTAATTTCCCTTTTGATCTTTGACACATTGGTAGTTCAGGGGTATGTTGTTCAATTTGTAGATTTTCTAGTTCTCCTCTTATTAATTCCTAGCTTCACACCATTGTGATTGGAAAAGATACTAAGTATGATTTCAAACTTAACTTGACTAAGCGTTGTTTTGTGGCTTATCTTAAGATATATCCTGGAGAATGTTCTGTGCATGCTTGAGAAGAATATGTATTCTACTGATGTTGGATGAAATGTAATGGATATAGCGTCAATGTTTCCTTACTAGTTTTCTGTCTATATGATCTATTCATTGCTGAAAGTGGGATATTAAAGTCCCCCACTATTATTGTATTATTGTCTATTTCTTCTTTCAGATCTGTTAGTGTTTGTTGAATATATTTTGGCACTCCAGTGTTGGGTGCTCATATATTTACAATTATGCCTTCATGAGGAGTTGGCTCTTTTATGTAATGTAATGTGACCTTTTGTCTCATGTTAACGTTTTTGGCTTAAAGTCTATTTTATCTGACAGAAATACAGCTAGCCCAGCTCTCTTTTGGTTTCTACTTATCTGTAATATATTTTTCCATCCCCTTCACGTTGAGCCTCTGTGTATCCTTTAAGTTGAAGTGACTATTTTGTAAGCAACATATAGTTGGATCTTGTTTTTTTATCTATCCAACCATTATTTTGATTGGGAAATTCAGTTCATTTACATTTAGTGTAATTATTGATATATAATATAAGGACTTACTACTTCCATTTTATATCTCATTTATTTTCTGGCTATTTGTAATTCTTTTATTCTTTTGCTGTGTTTTATTGTAAATTGGTGGTTTTTCATTGTGGTGTTCTTGGGACACATTATAGAAGGAAGGGTTTTAAATATATATATATGTTTTAATTGATTTTAGAGAAAGAGGAAGGGGGAAGAGAGAGAGAGAAACATCTATCAGTTGCCTTCTGAACACACCCCAGCTGGGGATTATACTGATGACCTTTTGGTGCACAGGGCAATGCTCAACCAACTGTCACACCAGCCAGGGGCCCGAAGGCAGGGTTTTTTGGTAAAAACAGTAATGCTGGTAAAACTAGAAAGCAGCAGGAAAAGAAAAAAGCCAAATATGAAATGTATTGACTCCTCGAAAGAAGCCAGAGATGTGAAAGTACATACAGGAGAGTACATACAGGGCTGTTGAGGACAGGATATTGTGGACATCATCATTCATAGATTTCCTCAGGAGTTAGAGTGGACTTAATGGCATGTAACATACCCATGCTCTCTATCTTTTGTGAGTCTGCTATAGGTTTTTGCTTTGTGGTTGCCATGAAACTTACATAAAACAATTTATAACAGTCTATTTGATGCTGATAACTTCAATCACATATAAAACTCTATCCTTTAACTTCTCCCATTTTATGTTTTTAATGTCGCATTTACCTTTTTATATTGTGTATTATACAGTAGCTATAGTTATTTTTTGATACTCTTGTCCTTTAACCTTTATACTCTAGTTGAGTGGTTTACATACCTCAAATTATAGTACTGAGATTTTGCAGAATTTTATTACCTTTGTCAAAGTGTTGTATATTTTCATGTGGTTTCACATTACTATTAATTATCATTTCATTTCAATTTGAAGAACCCTTTTCAGCATTTCTTGTAAGGCAATTCTAGTGCTGATGAATTCTCTCAGCTTTTGTTTTTCTGGAAAGTGCTTTATTTCTCTAGCATAATTTTGCCAGATTATTCTTGGTTGGTAGTTTTTTTGTTTGGTTGGTTGTTTTTTTTTACAGTACTTTGAATATATCACCCATTCTCTCCTAGCCTATATGATTTCTGCTAAGAATTCTGCCATTCTTTTTTCTCTGCTTCCTTTAGAATTATCTCTTTCTTTGATTTTTGGCAGTTTTATTATAATGTGTTTTGAAGAAAGTTGTTTTGCATTGAAATAATAGAGTGATCTCACTTTCTGAACTTGAATATTCAGGTCTCTTCTTTGGTTTGGGAACTTTTCTGCCATATTTCTTTAGACTTTTTGCTTTCTTCTCCTAGAACTCCAATAGTTTGGATATTGATTTTTTTTTTTTATGGTTTTCTTTAGATTATGTAGGCTTTCTTTACTCTTTCCCTCCCCCCCCCCCCTTTAAACTGGGTTATTTCAAGGTTCCTATACTCTGTCTCACTAATTCTTCTTTCTATTTGGTCTACCCTGGTGCCAATGCTCTGTATTACATTTTTCATTTCATTGAATTTTTCAGCTTTAGATATTCGTTTGGTTCCTTTTTCACTTTCTATATTTTGAGTATGTATTATTTTCCTAATTTCATTGAATTGTCCTGTGTGTATTTTTGTAGCTCCTTTGAGTTTCCTTAAAACAACTATTTTGAATTCTATGATTTACCTGTTCAACTATTTTGAACAGGTAAATCATAGATCTCTGTGTTCTGAGTTTAGTTATTGGAAGATTATTGTGAACTTTTGGTGAAGTAATATTTTATTTATTATTGGAGTTTTGCATTTTCATTTTGTTTGGTTTGGTTGTGTGTGTTTTTTTGCATTTGAGAAAGCAGTCACCTCCTTTAGTTTTTTATTGTCTTCAAGATGGAAAAAAAAACTCTTTCATCAACCTTGCTGTAGATTTTATTGTTGTTATTGTTGTTAATTCTCGCCCAAGGATATTTTTCTATTGATTTTTAGGGAGAGTGGGAGAGAGAGGGAAAGACAGAGAAATATCGATGTGAGAGACATCGATTGGCTGCCTCCTGCACAAGCCCTAACCGGTCCGGGCCAGGGAGGAGCTTGCAACCAAGGTGCGTGCCCTTTACTGGAATTGAACTGGGACCCTTTGGTCCTCAGGCCAACACTCTATGCCCTTAGCCAAACTGGCTAGAGCCATGGTTGGCAAACTGCGGTTTGCGAGCCATATGTGGCTCTTTGGCCCTTTGAGTGTGGCTCTTCCACAAAATAACACAGCCTAGGCGAGTTTATTTTGAAGAAGTAACGTTAGAAGAAGTTTAAGTTTAAAAATTTTGGCTCTCAAAAAAAATTGCAATCGTTGTACTGTTGATATTTGGCTCTGTTGACTAATGAGTTTGCCAACCACAGGGCTGGGGCAACCTTTCTATAGATTCTGAGGCTTTCCCAGGTGTTGTATGGACACATCTGCTCTATGCTTCTTGCTTTCTCTTGTGGCAGAATTATGAAGCTTGTGTGTCTTCTTTTGATCCTGTAACACAGTGTGTCAGTTGCTGGTAGCTTCTCTTGTTTTCTTGAAGGTGGTCATTTATGGTTTCTCCTTTGCCTGCAGACGCTGCATATGCTGCCTCTACCAGAGCTTGGTCTCAGGACCTTACACAGGGAGCCAGCAGCAGACCAGGGGGAGGTATGGGTTTGGTACATGGTGCACTGCAGGTACCCGTGGGAGGGATCTGGGGGTGAGGTGTTCCCTTTGTCTCCTGGGTGGGCTTCCTATTGTAGTCCAGAAGCAGCCAGCAGGAACTGCATCCCTTTAACACCCTCCAGGAATCTCATATTCCACACACCTGATGTGCACCTTCCCCAGTCAGTGAGCTTTCACTTTAATGCTCTGGATTGTGTGAGAGAGAAATGCGTGTCCTTGGCAGTGTCCCACACAGCTAAGGAAACCAAGCATTCACTCACTGGCTTTCCCTTTATCCCCTGGGAGAAACCTTGGGCAACCTAGTTTAGTCCTGATAGTGCAGGGTGAAATGATGTTCTTTTTACCTATTAGTGCATCCAAACTCTTTTTGTTTTGTTTTGTTTTGTTTTGTTTTGTTTTATTTTGTTTTACTCCAACCTAATATTGGAAATTCTCCTCTGGAAACCTGGACTTCCACAAGCCCTCTTGTCTGTGGGTGACTGCCCAAGTCTGTGTTTTGCAGGTCTTCTCAGATCTCAGCTAAGAGGGGCTAACACATGCCCAGTCTCCTGTAGAACACTCCCAAACGTGCACCAAACTTAGCTACCTGCTATCCGATACACCTGTGAGTGAGGCTCCTCCTCCCAGATCCCATGGAGTATGGTGCTGGGTCCACAACTCCATCAGAGGCACTTCGTTCATGGATATGGGCCACATTTTTGTTGTTGGGGTGGGAGAATAAAATGAGGGACATCTTATACCACCATGATGCTGACATCACTCTTTCCAATTATCTCTTGGTTGAAGTTTGTGGGAATTATATTTTCTGAGCATATTCAAGCACCTTTTTGTTGCCTTTGAACTTCAGTTCACAAATAAATAATATCTTCATAAAGTTATTTCTAAGTAAAACAAACAATATTGTGATAGTTGGTTTATTTTAAAGTTAAATGTGTGTTTTATGGAATTATTATTTGTCTATTAGCATGTAAACTATAAAGTAAAGGCTGTAAGTATACAACTATAGGTAAGTAATGTAGTTTCTCTGAAAGAGGATTTCCTTGTTTTATGATCAAGGAATCCTTTTTATTTATTTGTTTTATAGTTCTCTCTATTTATTTCAACACATTGTTTTAGATTTATTAGAGAAACTTGCTGTATGCACTTCACCTACCTGAGTCCTCTCTCTTACCCAAATCTCTTTTTAATGTTTTTATTCTCATCCTTGGCAGTGGCTTGAACCTGGCGTCTGTAGCACGACTCAAGGGTACTTGGGAAAAGTTACCAAGCAAGTATGAGAAACACCTGCAAGATCTGCAAGACCTTTTTGATCCATCTAGAAACATGGCCAAGTATAGAAATATTCTTAGTAGTCAAAGTATGCAGCCTCCAATTATTCCACTCTTCCCCGTTGTCAAGAAAGATATGACATTTCTACATGAAGGTATTTGAAAGTTCTTTGAAAATTAGCATATTTAACTTCAGCTAATTCAAGAGAATTGTGATTTATTATATTGAATACTAGTGGCCCAGTGCACTAATTCGTGCACCTTGAAAGTGTGGGTCATGAGGCTGTAGTAGGCACAGGGGTGGTCTCAGCCCATCCTCTATACTCCACCTGGCCCCTCCCACCACGGCCTTGGTTCTCTGTCTGCTGGCAGCTCCCTCCAGCTACTGCCTTCTCACAAGCTGATCAGTGGGGCCAGCCTTGCTCGCATCATGCTTTATTCTGGATATTTTCTTCCAACATGTTGTCCAATTAATTCTCTTTTTAGCTATGTCTAATTTACTATTAAATTTATCAGTGAGTTTCTAATTCCAATTACTCTGTGTGTGTTTTTCCAGTTTTACAGTTTACATTTGTTTATTTTTTTGTCTTCTTGATCTCTGCCAGAGTTCTCAGTGGTGGTTTTTGTTTTTTGGGTTTGGTTTTTTTTTTGTTGTTTGTTTTTGTTTTTGTTTGTGTTTTTTTTTTGCATTTTAATTATGTTATTTTTTTTCTTCTGATGGCCCTGGTTATTTTTGACCAAATAAATACTGTGTATTAAAAAATTACAGAAATAACCTGGTTTCAGATGATGTTTCATTCTTCCAGAGAGAATTGATACTTTGCTTCTGCCAAGCAGCTAGGGGGTCTAGCATTCCAAAATTACTTCATTTTCACATGTTGAGATAGTTTAACATTGAACTTTTACTCCAGTCTACATTCAGTTCATTCTTAGTCCCCAGGATTTAGCCCTTCAGAATCTCAACCCAAAGCATTGGAGGCTTACCTGGACTTGTTATTTCCTCCAACCTCAAAAGATAGAATGGCACTCCTCAGTTTTGCAGCTCAGCATCCACCTTTTCTGAAATCAGCAGATGTCCCTAGAATCTAGTATTGGGAACTGCTAAACCTGCCCCAGATCTTCATTCTTTCAGATCTTCAATGCCTAGATACCTTTTAATATCTAAAAACATTTATTTATTTTCAGCTTTTGTCCAAATTTTCTATTATTTTTCAGCAAAAGTTGTTCAGATTACCTAATTTTACTGCCCGCCCCCCCCCCCCTTCATTATCACTCCTTTTTCATAAGATCTTTTGACATGCTCCCTCAAAATATGTTTAGGTGACTTGAAAGCACTTTTGGAGATTATTTTGTTTCCAACTCATATTGAAACCCTAAATAACGCGTATGTCCAATGTATAGCTTCTGTTCACTATGAGACGGGGCCACCATGTGTTCTAGACCTATATGGTTCTCAAACTTGTCTTCTCGGACTTGCAGTTCTATAATGGCACTTCAAGGGCTGCCACGGGAGATAACTGGGTTATGCTAACTGTTAAAGTCAGGTGTGGGCCCTAGCCAGTTTAGCTCAGTGGATAGAGCGTTGGCTTGCAAACTAAAGGGTCCCAGGTTCGATTCCGGTCAAGAGCACATGCCCTGGTTACAGGTTCAAGAGCACATGCCCTGGTTGCAGGTTCAATCCCCAATGTGGGGGGAGGAGGGTACAGGAGGCAGCCGATCGATTGTTCTCTCTCATCATTGCTATTTCTATCTCTCTTCCTCTTCCTTCCTCTCTGAAATCAATAAAAATATATGTAAAAATAAGGAAAGACGGGTGTGGAAAAGAACAACACTGCTATAGACAGATTGCTCTTTGAACTTAATTTTTGCCTTGTGGTTTGAACTGGGCAGGCCAACAAATGAGCTTTTAGTCTGGTCTTTACTCTCTTCAAAGAAAAGTAAACCATTTTGAAAGTTATATGAATTATTCTCAAAAAACTACCTAACAGTACAAAAACAAAAATTATGAAGCTTATGAATGAGCAAATTTATATTAAAGTCATGATTGTAAGTTCAAGTTCTGGGAGAGGCAAAATGAATGCAGACTAAAAAGTGTTTATCCTTATGAGTCACCCACCTCTTAATTTTAACTAATTATTGCCATTTGGGAAAACATACCTACTGCTATTTAATCTCTCATCTAACCCTTTTCCTTTTTATCTTTAAGAGAAATCAGAAATTCTTGTTTTCATGGGATATCTTCTTCTTCTTAAATGTTAGCAACTCATTTAACAATTTGTCAAGTATTGTAAACCAGAGAAAACTCACTGGGTTAATTAAGCCCAAAGCTCATTCTTTGTGACCTCTGGTTAAAAAGTTTTCATTGCCCAAGAGAGAAAATGCAGATACCTGCCTGAGCGTGAGCTGAGTAACTGGAGAGTTAGATTTGAGTAGCTGCTTGTTTTACTGGTTTGCTTATAACATAAGGAAATTGGTTTTAGAAGCTATGCTGTTTGTCACTTTCCAATATTCATAATTTTTACTCCCCCTAAAAATACAATTCCTCCCTATAGCTCATTCCCTGGGAGCAGGGTTGAACCAGCTATGGTTTATCAATTTTTAAAAATACTGGTAAGAGTGACCGTTTGAGAAAGAAGGTTATTTATGCCCCCAAGAATAATAAATTGGCTTCTGCAACCTTTATATAGATATCTTAATTTTGAAAATTAAAAACTTTTATTTTTATTCCATAGGAAATGACTCCAAAGTAGATGGTTTAGTAAATTTTGAGAAGCTAAGAATGATTGCCAAGGAAATCCGTCAAGTTGTTAGGATGACTTCTGTGAACATGGACCCAGCTATGATGTTCCGACAGAGGTATGGTAGTGAAGTGTGTAAAGTGTTACAGAGTGGCATCAGGAGTGAGATATTTAAAATATTTGTCATTTTTTGACCATTTACCATTGTTATATGCTGTACAAAGTGCTTTACACGATCTCAAAGTAATAATTTATCACAGTAACCTTTAAAGGTAGGTAATATTGACCTTCCTTTTACATATGAAGAAACTGAAGTTAAGAGAGTTAGGTAATAATGCCCAGGATTACATAATTTTTTGAGATTTGAACCCTAGTTCTGCATTACTTTTTAAAGCACATGGAAGTTCTATATTGTTATTGTTACTTAAAATATTAGCTAACTTCATTATAAGGTGCTGATCTTTACTGAAGTTTCTGCAGAGGACAAATGCTTTCATCTGATTTCTAACTTAATTTGTAAAATATTAATGTGCATATGTCTTTTGTTTTTACTGAATATTTTTTTAGTTCTGGTTCCATCTAAGTCATACTTTATTCTTCTAAAATACATTCTTTTTCTCAGGTCATGGTACTCCTGTTTATTTATGTGTAAGTTCTTTAAACAATTCAGAAAGTGCAGATATAAAATGTTCTTTAATAAAAATGGAAAATATTATTTTTATTAGTAGTAGTCCATATTAAACTGATCTTCTAAAAATGCCTTGTAAAACTGATTTTTAATGTAACAACAAAGATTTCCTCAAATTCTATGGAACTTAAAGCTGTTCGCAGTAATTTTTATAATTTTCAGAATAAGTGATAGAGCTTTAATTTTTGGCCTGATTTTCCTCTGGGCCTATGTGTATAGCTTCAATACATAAAGAGCTTTAGAAAGAAAATATTTACAGAAGCAGACACAATTCCTTTGACTTGATAAATACAGTTTAGTAAGAAAACAAAAGTTTTTGGTTCTTTAAAAATCATAAATGGAATTTTTATAACCAAACAGAATTAGTGTGTGTCAGGATTGGTTTTTTTGGTTTGGTTTGGTTTTATTTAAATTACTGTTCAGGGGCCTATGTTTTTGTAAGTTTTGTAAGGGGTTTTTGGCTTTCAATATCTATCATCTGATGGTTGGTTGCTCTAGTTAAGAGATTCTCAAGCTATGGAGGAAGGGTGTCAGATCTCCCCTGCCAGTCACTACCTGTAATGAGAGATGTGATTGCTCAGCAGTGTGTAAGCGGAAAACAGTAAGAACCAGGGACCAAAGCAGATCTAGAGGAGGGTTTGTTTATTTCATTGTTTGTTTTTTTAAGTTTTGTTGTTGTTGTAGCATGTCCCTGTACAGTGGCCCCTCCATTGCATGCTGTCTTACATGGGCCTTTATTTATTCTCATACATGTTAGCGCTTTGGCTCCTGAAGACATAATGAATCTGCAACTCTGCCAGACCAGTTAATAATATACTAAGTACAGCTGTGCTTCAGTAATGAGCAAAGAATGAAAAACTATGAAGAAATTAATAAATTCAGCTATTTTCTTGGGAATAGCATGGGCCAAGTAGAATATAGTATAGAAGAAAGTAAAACATTTATAATTAGATTGCACTGAACTTTTCCTGAATCAGTTTTGTCATCCAATACTAAAATTTATTATTTTTCTTTAGCAAATAATTGTCTATTTTGGTGGTGCATATTATGTAATGTGGACAAAGTAACCCCTTTATTTTAACAGTAATCAATTTACTGGCTGAAAAACACTTTTGGACTGCCCACACTAGAACTTACTCAGTGCACTAAGGCCAATGGGGGATTGAAAGGGGTACAAAAATATGGATAAATAAATAAGAATAAAAATTTTAAAACCGCCTTTATTTAATCCAATTATAAGAATATACAATATGATAAAAATTTTTATATGTTTTTACTTTTTTAGGTTGAATTTCCTGGTTCACATTTCTTATAAAATTTGAATGTTGTTGAACTTGCCAGAGAAATTTCTGCACTTAAAAGTGAAATTATATTTACAAGTTCTATTCCACAATTTAAGGTTTTCTCCCCTAAATACCTAGATTTTACAATTTTAGTAAATGTTTTTCCTTAAGCTTCTTATTAACATAAGCCTCTAGATCAGTGGTTCTCAACCTTTCTAATGCCACGACCCTTTAATACATTTTCTCATGTTGTGGTAACCCCCAACCATAAAATTATTTCGTTGCTACTTCATAACTGTAATTTTGCTATTGTTATGAATCATAATGTAAATATCAATGTTTTCCGGTCTTAGGCAACCAGGCTAGCGGTTCTCAACCTGTGGGTCATGACATGAGAACCTCTGCTGTAGAGCCTAAGACCATTGGAAAACACAGATATTTACATTACAATTCATAACAGTAGCAAAATTACAGTTATGAAGTAGCAATGAAAATAATTTTATGGTTGGGAGTCATCACAACATGAGAAACTGCATTAAAGGGTTGAGGCATTAGAAAGGTTGAGAACCACTGCTTTAGATGAATTAGGTTAAAAATATAATTGTTCTAAAAAAGCATATTTTTAAAATATTGTAGGGGTTTTTGGCTTTCAATATCTATCATAATTCGTTTTATTCCTCTGCATTTCATTAAAGACATTGACTGTTAAGCTACCATTTTTCCTAGTAAAATTTTTCTGTCCTATTCTGTCTTCAGAGTTTTTCTGGTCTCAACTGTTGTCTTTTTTCTGTGCTTCCTATTCACATACATGCTTCAATGTTTGTGGCTCTTGCTTACAGGAAGAAGAGGTGGCGGAGTCTGGGGTAAGTGTAGAGATGAATGCAACTGGAATGAAGGTTGTGCAACTCTTACCATATACTGCATCCTCTTCATTAATGCACGCACATAAAGTAGCATGCGTTCTATTAACCCTGTCAATTTACATTCCTGACAAATGCCTTTTGCTAACTAGGTGAAAGTAGTGATAGAGCTAGCTTTTATTTTCTTTACTTTTTTATTATTGACATTCCAAAAGTCCCTTTCTTTTATTAATGATGATCGATGATGATGATGATGATGATAGGAAATATTTGTTGTGTGCTTACTATGTACCATACATTGTTCAAAGCACGTTATATAAATTATGAGATGAATACTGTTATTCCTATGGTACAGAGAAGTTAAAGTTGTCCAGATTCTTAAAACTCACTAGTGGTGGATCCAAACCTAGGTAATCTGGCTCCAGAGTCCACACATTTTCTTTTTTTCAAATGTCATGTTTTGTAAAAATAAATATGTAAGTATAAAAATGGATAAGAGATTTTGTTATAAAGGTTAAATTTTGACATCAATTTTCCTAAAAGAGATAGTCCTTATCCTAACTATACTGTAAAATTGAATTAGTAAATAATTGAAATCGAAGATGACTTTAATTCTTCAGATCTTCTAATAACATTAAACTTACAGCATTGATTGAATTTTATTTTAAATTTCTCCTACTTTTAAAGATCCCCTTATCTGCAATAGAATCAGAAACTGCCACCTTTTGTTCAAGTAAGTTCAGATCTCTGCTTATACGTAGCTAGATACCTATTCAGAATGGAATTTTTAGGACCTAATAAAACATCTATGTAGCCTTTTCATTTTTTGATGAAGAAAGATATGGTGACCCTAACTGGTTTGGCTCAGCTGATAGAGCATCTGCCTGTGGACTGAAGGGTCCCAGGTTTGATTCCGGTCAAGGGTACATGCCTGGGTTGCGGGCTCAATCTCCAGTAGGGGATATGCAGGAAGCAGCCAATCAATGATTCTCTCTTGTCATTGATGTTTTTATCTCTTTCCCTCTCTCTTCCTCTCTGAAATCAATAAAGATATATATTTTTAAAAATACAAGAAAGAAAGAGAGATGGTGTTTGTGGAGGAAAGGATTGCATAAGAAAAATTTTGTTAACTTAAGATTGTAATGAATCATGAAGTAAGATGTTTTATTACATTTTAGAAGGATTTTTGATGAGCCACTTAATACTTAAGTCTTGTCTTGTTGATGGTCTTGTTTTCTGTTGAAGTTTTGTAAACTTGAATTTTCTTCTGCCTTTTCCTCCCTTCTTTGTGTGTTGCTCATGTGTTTTCTTCTGTATTATACATTTATGCATTGTTCTTTTCTGATTCTTCTCACTGATAATAGATATTGAATTCTGGCATTACTATTATAAAGAGGAGGAGTTGATCAGTATATCACAGTGGGAATTTGAGGTGTTTGAATGCTTTATGCACCACATTCACTGATGGTTCAATTTTACTATATGATGCTAGCAGACACTAGGTATTTACACCTTTGCATCAGAACATTTTTTGTTTTGGAACTAGAAGACATTTTGTTGTCAATTTATCACATTGTTTTCATTTACTAGAAATGTAAATATGTTTGATTGTTTTTTTGTGTGAGTGTGTATGTCAATGTCAACTAAAAGTATTAAATATTTATATTAAGAAGTGCTTCTAAATTATGGGACTTGATTTAACTTCAGTTCTTTAAATCTAAGACATTAGTTGTTGGACACGAATTATTTTAGGTACCACTAAACTTATACTTGATAAAAGAGCTCTTATATAAACTTAAGTATGTATTTTTTTTATCACATAACAGTCTTTTATATTCATAAAAAGGAAAATATAAGCAAATTAAATTGGTTAGGTCTTTCTAAAACTTATTCATATTAAGAATATACATCTTCTAAATTACTTTTAGAGTTATTAGTTTCTGGATTTTTCTCCCAAACAATATTGCCATCAAATGTGTTGGTAATGCAACATTTTTTTTTAAAAGTCATAAAAGAGGTAAAAGCTTCTGGCGCTGTGCTCTTAAGCTGGCTTTGCAAATACTTACAGCTAGCCTCCTTTTAACACCTGCTTTGGGAATGTTGTTAACTTGTCAGATTCACCATCTCCTTAAAAATCATTTGGTTCCTGGGTTAATAGAGTAATTCACTAACTTCATTGTATTTTCTTCCAAACCATTCTGCAAGCTTTGAAGTTTTCTGCAAGTGTAATTGGTCACAACTATGTTACCAATAGCAATTGAAAGTTGCCATCAAAATGTCAGACACAATCTATTTCAAAGATCTTAAAATTGTGAAAGAAAAAATATATAACACTTTTACAACTTTGTTTCACTTAATTTACAATGAAAACACTAGTATTTTAGTATCTGTTTTAAACTCGTTATATGAATGCTGAAGAACAAATTATTGTAAGCTTGTGGTCTATGTATTAAAAATGTTTTTGTGTAAAAATCAGGCTAATTTAGAAAACCCATAGATACCTTTGTTATTTTGGAATGGCAACTGCCTTTAAATTCAAATTCTTCATAAAACCTCAGGTTGGCTTGCCTTGTTAGGACAAATAGCATTGTGTTTCAAGTTTTCCTCTGGTTTTAGATATAGTCATTGTACAAGGGCATTGGTTGAAGAGAGTAGAATTGGGTGGAACTAAAGCTAGTTTGAATTGTGATTATTTCTGGCCAGCTTGTAGTTCCATCACATCCGACACCAGTCCTAGACCCACATAAGTCCTAAACCATATATGTGAGTGGAAGTATTGAGTAGCTTTTACTTGCATTTCTGACTATATTGAATTGAGTCAGAAATGTCAATATTATTTTTCTTACTGAATTTGGGGCAAAATCTGGGTGCTTGTAAAACTGGTCAGTATGCTGAGAGTGGGCCTGCTGCAGACTGGTTCAGTGATAACCATAACCTGTCCAAAGCAGCACGGACAACAAAGCTGCTCTAGAACTTGATGCTGGAGAACCCTGGTGCGGAGATCTGGCTGAGGATGGACTTGCCCTGACTCTGGCTCTTACATATATTCAGAGTAGGGTGAGCACCGGGATCAGAGGATGCTTTTACTCTTCACAGTTGTGCCAGGGGTTATATAGGCACAAACACAAATCTGATAAAATTCATTGCTAAGGGAAGAATTATTCTTTTGAATTTTGTACTTTGCCAAATCTTAAATCTTAGAAGATTGCCCTATATGCCATATTACTTCACATTAATGCTCTTCATCTTTTAACTCATTTACATCAGCATGCAATAAATAGTATTAACAGAACAAAATTATTTTCATCTTCGGCCTGCCATGTTTAGTTCTCATCTTTACAGCCCCTTGTTGTGGTCTCCATATACTTACAGGTCACTGAGTCAAGGCAGCACCAACTCAAACATGCTAGATGTTCAGGGCGGTGCTCACAAAAAAAGAGCACGCCGTAGCTCTCTGCTGAACGCTAAGAAGCTGTACGAGGACGCCCAGATGGCGAGGAAGGTGAAACAGTATCTTTCCAGTCTGGATGTGGAGACAGATGAGGAGAAGTTCCAAATGATGTCATTGCAGTTGGAGCCTGCATATGGTACCTGTGAGTACAAGTTTTCTCTTACGTGGCACTAAATAGCACAATAAAATAAAAATTTACTTCTCTAGAATTGTGCTTGAAGTACCAAGAAAATTAACTTTCACTCACAAAAGATTACTGGCATAAGCCAATAGAACATTTTTTTCAAGTACAAAACAAAATTCATGTGTGTCTGGGTCAAGGAAATCATGAGTTGTAAAAACAGAAATCAGAGATGATACAATATACTGTATTTGTTGTAAAGAAAATAAAGATATTAAATTATAAGTGAACTAGAGGCCTGGTGCATGAAATCGTGTATGGGTACAGCCCTGCCTCCTGCCATCACCCACCCGGGTTCCACTAGCAGGGTCACCCTAAGACCATCAGAAAACACAGATATTTACATTACGATTCATAACAGTAGCAAAATTGCAGTTATGAAGTAGCAACGAAAGTAATTTTATGGTTGGGGGTCACCACAACATGAGGAATTGTATTCAAGGGTCGTGGCATTAGAAAGGTTGAGAACCACTGATCTATACTAATAAAAGGATAATATGCTAATTAGATGGGGAGACCTTCCAGATGTCCGTCTGGACAAAGCCATGGTGGCAGGGCCGAGGTGGTTAGGAGTGATCAAGCCGAGAAAGCACGGCAGTTGAGGGTTATCAGGCAAGCGGGGGGACAATTGGGGGTGAGCAGGCTGTCAGGGGAGGCAGTTTAGGGTGAGCAGGCCAGCATGGGGGGAGGGGGCAGAGGGGGCGAGCAGGCCAGCAGGTAGAGTGGTTAGGGGTATCAGACAGGCAAGTAGGTGATCTGTTAGGAGCTAGCAGTCCTGGATTGCAGACATCCCCTGAGGGGTTCCAGATTAGAGAGAGTGCAGGCTGGGCAGAGGGACACCCTTCCTTCCCCCACTTCCCACCCCCATACACAAATTTCATGTACCAGGCCACTAGTAGAACATGATAAATGTTGACAGAATATTGGAGGCAGAATGTTCAGATTTCTATTTCTGTGTTTCTAATTGAGAGAAATAGAAACCATCATAGGTTTACTCTAAGATTGATAAATGGCATGGTATATGCATAGTAATAGAAAAAAACACATTAACAGGAAAAAAGAGAAAGTAAAAATACAACCAAATATTGATTTAAAAATTTTAGAAATAACAATGACTTTTAAGACATAGGGTAACAATTCATTCAGTAAATGTTCTAAAATTAATATCTTAGACACTTTTAATAGGAAAAGGAGAGGAGTATAATGGAAAGATCATCTGTGAAGGATGAAGACATAGTTTGGATCTCATTTATTACCATTTGAGCAAGGTGTTCTTCATAAAGCAAGGGTTTGGAGTATGTTTTATCACTGTGATTCTACATCAAACGTATTAAAACCCTGCTAGTGTGACTCAGTGGTTGAGTATCACCCCATGAACCAAGAAATCATGGTTCAATTCCCAGTCAGGGCACATGCCCAGGATGAGACTCAATTTCCAGTGGGGTTGTGCAGGAGGCAGCCAATCAACGATTCTCTCTCATCATTGGTGTTTCTATCCCTCTCTCCCTCTCCTTTTCTCTGAAATCAGTAAAAAACAAAAACTCACCAAGAGCTTTTTCCTTTGGATCACAATATTGATTTTCCACAAATGAAGCAATTTTTTGTTTCTTACTATGAGAGTTCTGTTTTTAATTCAGACATTCATATTCAAATATTCTAACCATATCTGATATTTCTGTATATAAATGTTGCAATAATTTCACTTACTCATTCAAGAAATACCTGTTAACCATCTGTTGTCTATGGTCATTGGACACATAGGGAGTTAGTAGTGAACAAGACATATGGTCTTTACTCTCACATTAGTTACAGTCTTGGGCAGGGGAAGAGACATAAATTGATGATCATCACACAGATTCAGGGGTTGGCAATACTAGGTTTACAGTTTTGAGTACATAGCTTATTCTTGTATTATTAATCATTGTATTTTCCATACGAACAACTGTAAACCTACTTTTGCCCCCTTTAATTTTCCGTGCTATGAATGAAAGTCACAAGATTCCATGAAAATATAAAACTTAGCTTCTAATCTAGTATATGCAGAATGGCAGGATATTATTAGGGAAACCAATAGTGGGTTGATGCCAGATCATACAGGCCTCTCAGGCCTTGTTTGGGGGATTTGGATCTTGATCCTCATAGTAGTAGCAGGTCATCTGAAGGTTTGTGTTGGGCATTTGGAAAAGGAAAGTAATATGATCAGATTTTCACGTTGAAAAAGTCAGCCTGCTTTTCTATGGGGAATGGCTTGATGGCAGTGGAACTGATGCAGTGAGGGGATATTTCAGTAATATAGGTGAGAGGATGTAAGCTCTTCCAGCCCAGGAACTTTGAGAGCTGCAGGCTTTGATGCAGACCTGGCCAAGTCCAAGAAACACACCACGCATAAGTAGTCCCCAAAATGGCACAGAAATGGCATCAAGAAACCCTAGCCACAAAGTTATGACTGTCTTAAGGATATGGACCCCAAATTCCTGAGGAACATGTGCTTTGCCAAGAAGCACAACAAGTAAGGCCTGAAGAAGATGCAGCTGACAACACCAAGGCCAAGAGTGCACGTGCCGTAGCTATCAGGGCCCTCGTAAAGCCTAAGGAGGTCAAGCTCCAGATTCCAAAGGGCAGCCGCAAGTTCAGTTGACTTGCCTACATCACTTACCCCAAGTTTTGGAATTGTACTTGTGCTCACATCTACAAGGGTCTCGAGTCTGATGGCTAAAGGCCAAAGCCAAAGCTCAAACCAAGGCCTAGGCTGTGGCTGTGGCTTGGTGTGACCCTGGGCTGCTGTCTGCATGGGCTTGGTATCCTCCTGTGCAGTTTGTTCAAAGAAACCTGAGACAGGATCTGTCACACTAAAAAAAAAAAATATATATATATATATATATATTTCATAGATAAGATTTTAAATTGGCCTTAGGGTGATGGTGGAGGTGGAGCTAATGAACTTAATGGATTCAAAAAATATTTAGGAAGCAAACTTAACTATAGTTCTACAAAAATTTTAGAAGTAATATAATTATGTGAAGTTATTTTTAGGAAAGTTAATCTATTTTTTTGTGTTGAAAAAGGTGGTTTTAGAGTAGCCATTTATTGTCAGTGGTAATAACCTTGCCTAAAAGTGCAGAATTATGTGTTTCTTTCTCTCTTCTTTTAGTGACCAAGAATTTAACTGAAAAAAGATCAGCCAAATCATCAGAAATGTCTCCAGTGCCTATGAGGTCAGCTGGCCAAACAGCCAAAGCCCATCTGCATCAGCCCCACAGAGTGAGCCAGGTTCTTCACGTGCCAGCTGTTAACTTGCACCCCACCAGGAAGAAGGGGCAATCAAGAGAGCCTGTCACGTTGAGTGAGTATTCACAGTCATTTCATTGAAATTCCCAGGGGAGTTGGAATGAAAAATAATTACTAATGTAAGTGCTCAGGAAATCAGCTATTATATTTTATGGAATGTAATCATCACTCAAGAATTTTAAAATGTTGCATTTTGCCTGTAGGTATTTGATGACAGCATACATATTTTAAATGCTAACATTGAGATTCCTATAATCATATCAACTGAAAACCTAACAGCAATACACTTGGGTACTACAGTCAAAGGTGCATTTAATCAATTACATAATGCAAATAAATGAAGAATAAACAAGAATGAAGTTGCTTATTCTAAAAGTGACTGTATGTTGGTTTTCCATTAAAGACTACTTCTGAAAACCCTAGTTAGAAGACAAGAACATCATGTAAAGTACATAAAGTATAAGCCATACTTTTTCCCCCTCTGTTAAGCCATGTAGACATTATCAACATTACTTTTATTTGTGGTTTTGACAGTATCACTATTTTAGCTTTTAGATGGGTAGCCCAATTAGATTTAGTTCCTAGTATTATTACTTAGTCTATGCATTATATACAGGACCTATTTAGTAGAACTGGTGAAATGTGAATGTTATTTGATTTTTTTGTGATCCAAAGTTGAAATGTCTCTACCTTTGCCAGTTGGTAACATTGATACACAAACAGATAATTAATAGAATGAGTTTGCTCTTATGCCAGGGGTCTGTACAGAACCTATAAAACAACAGAAGAGGGAGAGCTTTTAGGGTGGGCAGTGGTAAGTTAGAGTTTTAAAGAAGGCTTTTGGAGATAACACCAATTAGGCAAAGATTCCAGAGAAGTTGCTTCAGGCAGAGGAAAACCTTGATATCTCCAAGGAGCTAAGGCAGGCAGCTGCCTCTGGGTACTAAGCTGTAGGAAGAGTGTTGAGACAGTAATAATTAAAGCTGACACTTATAGAGCATTTACTGAGGGTCAGACACAGTTCTAAGCACTTTGCTAACTTGATATATTATATTCATTTAATATTTATAAGAACCCTGTGATAGGAACTACTCTCATTCAGCAGAGGAAGCCATGGAGGGTTTAAGTAACTTGCACATTACCAGGAAATATTGGAGCTGAGAGTTGAGCCGAGGCTAACTGTACAGAGTCTTTGCTTTTTTAGCCACTGTGCTAAACGGCCACCAAGGATGAAGAGAAGTGAAGTCATAAGCATGCTGAAATTGTAAAATGTGTGCTAAAGGGAAGTTGCCAGTGGGCAGCTATTGAAGAGATTTGAGCAAGGGAATGTCCAGTTCATGTTGGAGAACAAGAGTATGGGGTGCAGTGAGACTAGAGAGTGAGGCCTGGATGGGAAACTAGTATAATAATAAACTGGAAGTTGCTCAGAGCCTGAACTATTATAGTTAGGAGGATGTGAAAATGAAAAGAGAATTGGATGCAAAATGGAAGTTGATAGATTTGTTTGTAGGAGTGAAAATTGAAATAGGTCTGGCTCTGGTTTCTTACTTGGATGTCATCACCTGAGATACATTATTACATGTACCCGGTACTCCCCTGCCCTCTTGTTGTAATATGGCCGTTATCTATATAATAAATGCATTTATATTAAAACTAGAGGCCTAGTGCACAAACTCACGCACAGGTGCCGTCAGGCCAGCCCGCCCCAATCAGCGCCAGTCAGGCCGTTTGGGGGAGGAGCTGGGGGGGTTGGTAGGCCGGCCCTGACCCCTGTCGAACTCCTGATCGAGGGGACAATTTGCATATTAGCCTTTTATTAAATAGGATGGCATAATTAAGTAAAAGCAGTGTGTGTTTGCTGCAATTTGAATTGTTTCAGTGTTATAGGACTGCTTGTTACTGCAGAATCCTTGTCAAAGTTGGGCTTACTTTACTGTTGAGTACAGTGTCAGTAGCTCTTTGACATTTCTTAGAGATGAATGTAAAAATGCGAATATAAGGAAACCATTGCTAAGTTTGATCTGTATTAAACAGGACCAGCTTCTGGACAAGAATAATGATAGAACTCTGCAGGAATGTTTCCAGTGGGCTCCATACTATTCTTCTATAAATTCATGATTCTTTCTGTTGTCTACTTCTCTCCTGTAGTGTGAATTTAGTGCTCTTGAAAAGGGCTGGACTGGCAGCCCTGCAGCCTCTTCTGTGTTCCCACAGCACAGATGCACCACAGGTAGTCACAGTGCCAACATCCCTACACTGCTCCTGTCACATGCCTCGCCCTGACTTGGAGAGGCCACCTCTAGAGGGGAGGGAAGAGTTTGAATCCATGCCTTCTCTATTAAGACTTCCAACAAGTGTGTCGATTGTGGGGGCTGGGACTTAGCTGTGAAATCAATGTCCCTTATGTCACAAAACAAACAAAAAGAACTATTATAATCTGGTCTGTGCTGACTGGCTGAATTTGAACAAATAACCTAGAGGTGAGAATCTCTGTATTCCATTACCCAGTCATTTAGTCCCCGTTTGTCATTTATACATTTCAATTGAATACACTAGCCATTGTGTATCATGGCTTTAGTTCTGTAGTAATTTAGGCAAGTACTGACATTTAACTGCGAAATGATGCTTATTTTGGGGGCTTTATTTTTAGGTACAAGTTCACCTCAGAAAGTCTTAGGAACAGCTGAAGAAGTGAGTGGTAAGAAACATTCAGAAGACACTGTTTCCATGACATCGTCCGTACATTCCAGTCCTCCTGGATCTCCTCAAGGTTCCCCACGCAAAGGTAAGATGGTGGAACAGTTCAAGCTAGTTCTTACTTTACCAAACTGTTCTTCATAATATATTTTGTTTTTCAATCTGTCTTAATAACAAAATGTGAAGCAAAGCATAACTTCTGATTGAACTTTCATGTTTTGGATTGAATTGTTCATATACTTTCCAGGTATTAGGTAGGACTCCTGTAAGAATAAACAGTTGTTTTGTTCTGTGCATATTCTTGATGTTTCTATTCAAATTTCCCATTATTTAAAATTTCTGTGGAGTATTTTAAAATAAGAATTTCTACAAGAAGTTGTTTTTTAACCAACAACATTTAGGAAAAGAAACTGCCGGGGCTGACCAGCAGACCCCGAATGATAGGTGAATGATTACACTGACACATGTTTGTGTGAAAGAGAGGGCTAAGGTGCTATTTTGCTTTAGGAGCAAATAGCCCTGTTTGCCTGCCTCCTTAGGCTTTTATTGTAACAACAGCTTTAACTAAAATTAACCTCTGGATACAATCAGCAGGGTAAGCATCCTTGAGAAAACACCTGCATCTATGGTGTCTTTCAAACAAGGATGTTTTGAAGTCTAAACATAAACGTAAAGATGCTAGTAAAACACCCGGGGGCTCGGACTTGTTGGAAAAGTCAAGGCATTGTTCCCAGAGGCCTCTGGCCGTTCAGAGAATTCTTACAGACTTTCCAACCAAGTCCCATGTTTCTCCACAAGAAACAAATATTTACGTTGAAGCATTCCTTTCTTTAGTAATGGAATATTAACTTTTTACTAATCGTGATTTAAAATAACCAATATCCTATGGATTTTTACATTTATATTTATAATAGGACCGCTTGAGATAAAAAAAAAAAAAATCTGAAATCACTCTTGTTCATTTGCATGTTTTCATAATTCAGAATAAGCTCCTCTTGAGTAGCCTGGGCAGTGCCCGGAGATGTCATTATGTTAGCATGTAGCATTCTGAACGATGTGGGTAGATTTTACGTTGGCCCACCCACACTCTGGCTGTTCCCTGTGGGAAAAGGCCTCTTAGTCCTGGCATTGTCTTTGCGGATGTAAAAGAATTGCATCTTGAAGTAATCACAGTGCAGGGTAGTACATGACCAGGGAAGATAAGCTTATGAATTCTAGCAGGAGTAAAAGTTTCCAGAGCTTTCTTCAGCTCCTGTGTCCTAAAATTCATCTCACTTTTAGAGACCTTTTCTTATTTTCACTCCCTCTGTGGCAGCAGTGTGGACAGTAATATCAGACCTGATTTGGATCCTGACTCTGTCCCCTTCTATTGCTGTGTCACTCAAGCAACTGATTTATAAGGTCGGGTTTCCTATCTAAAATGGGGGGGAACTACCTGTTTTAGGGAACTTATATGAGAATTGGATGAAATAACAAATATGAAGGCTGATGCATGGTAAGTGTCCAGAAAATTGAGTGTCTCTTCTTTCCCTCTTTCTACCCCAGGCAGCATACTCCATTGCTGACCTGCCCTTTCCCCGTTCACATAGCTGAGACTGGCCAGAATTTTCATTCAGATTTTACTAAGAAAAGCTTTGTAAAAATCAAATAAGACAAAATATATATATATATATATATATATATATATATATATATATATGCTGTATTAATAAAACACAACTTTCTGATTCTGTTGTATGTAACTCATACATGATTTTGTGAAGCTCACAAGTCTGCTTCATCGCTTTACTGCCTCTGGTCCTTTCAGGCAGGAGGAATGAAGCTGGGGGCATTGCCAGTCACACAGATGGGCCGGTGAACAGTGCCAGTGCGCCTCAGTGTTCTCTGAGGAACACCGTTATACCCGCCACTGCCTCGGTGTTCAGAGTCCCACTGTAGACAGTTCTCTAGCCAGTAAGACTTGTAGGAGAGGTATTAGGAACAAGAATTCCCCTACTGCTCTTACTCCCAACTGAAAATTCACTCTCACTACTGGAAGAGGGAAGTCTTTCCTCCGTGTGTCCTCCCACCAGGCAGTCCTGATGTTTATTGTGAGCCTGTCATAGTCATGTTGAGAATCCTTAGGAACCTGAAGAAATTTTTTTCTTAAACAATTTCCAATTGTTCTTACATGTATTCCTTTAAAACCTCCCACAGAATATTTCTGTATATTTCCAAGACAGATTTTTGCCTGTAATCCTGACTGAACAAAAATGCTATTAAACTAAACATACATTATTAAGATCAGTTCCTAGTTCTTGCAAAACTTTGGAATTAGTTCTTTGTTTTCTAACAATTGAGAAAATAAGCCTATCTTCATATTTTATACAAGATTACACAAGTAAGAACTTTTTTTATATTTTATTTAAGTATAGTTGGTATACAAAAATATACTAGTTGCAGGTGTACAGTACAGTGATTCGATATTTGCATGCCTTTCAAATGTGATCAGGCCCCGAATTTTAGTAATCATCTGTTGTCAGGCAAACTTATCACAGTATTATTGACTATATTACCTTTCACCTTTTTTCACCTATCCGCCGACAAAGAAGAACTTTTAAAAAGTGTGAAGTGAAGAGTCCTTAACTTTGATCTTCCCCAGTGTTTAAAGAAGGCAACCTTTCTACTTTGGAGATATAATAGGATCAGAAATTGTGCTTTATAACAATTATTGTGTATACTATTTGTATGTCCTTTCTGATTTTGCTAAACTTTTTCTTAGCAGAATGACTGAACATTCTAGAGATAGTTACTTTTAAGAAATATTTTTAAAAATATTCCAGCTTCGCTTACTTCCATTACCAGCTTATTCTGATCAAGGCAGTCCTTATCCTGTGTTCTGTCTTGTGATGACTGCTCTGTAAACCTACATAGTAGGCTCTCCATGCACTAACTGATATGTGGCTAGATTTCAATTTCTCAGATATTATCAAAATGTTAGGGTTTTTTTTTCTTTGGTGGCGGGGTGGGATGTTAGAATTTTTAATAGTGAACTGTTATATAAACCAGGCTAATTGTGATTAATTGGAAAGAATTAATTGACCATGACAGGGTTTTTGCATCTCTCCCTCCAGTTGGCAGTATGGTATCTGACCACAGCATCCCGCTGCACCTCTCAGGGTCTACCTCATCCCCTCCCAGTGAGTCCAGCACCGAGATCAGTGGCCGCAGCTACCCCGGCATAGGTGGGGTTTACTTGCAAAAGAAAATCCTTCAAATTACCAGGAGCACAGCCAAAAGAACAGACAGTACCAAGAAGGCCACTGAGGAGAATAGAGACAGGACAAGTTGTGAGAACACAGCCAGAAAAAGAATGACATCCCCGTTTAGAAGATTTAGGGAAAGAACTCTTTCAAGGGAGAGACTAGCCAACAGCAAAAAAGAGGATGCAGATCACAATCAAGCCACAGAAAGCTCTGAGAGAGTGAAGGATGTTGGAAGCAACATCACAGATGAGAAAGGGAGTGCCATCTGCAATTCCAATAGCCGAGGCAACAGTAACGCTTTAAACTGCTTCCATACGCGATTCAAGGCTAAAAGGAGGAAGACACTCTGAAGTTCCTTACTTAACTTTAGTGTTAAATTTGTTTTATTTATTTAAAATTTGTTTTATTAAATGGAGTTTAAATTAAGTTATTTGTCGAACAAAACTTAGGCAAATAATTTAGTAAAATACTATTTATAAGTATTTTATGATTAGTGTTATAAATCTTCAAGTAACAAAGTCCTATTGAAATAAAGTGCCTTATTTTCACATGTTATTTTATTAATGTTAGTAAACTTGATATTCTTATATTCTGTAGTTGACTTTATTTCCTACCAGAAGCAGCTGGGTCTGTGAGTAAAGTAAGTAGAGAAGGCTTTTTAGGAGCCAGAATTTACTTCATCAAAACCCTGGCCAGTGTAGCACCATTGTAGCTCAATGATTGAGATTCGTCCCATGAACCAAGAGGTCACAGGTTTGATTCCTGGTCAGGGCACATGCCCAGGTTTCAGGCTTGATCCCCACTGGGGGGTATGGAGGAAGCAGCCTCTCAGTGAAGTTCTCTCAATGATGTCTCTCTCTGTCTCTCTACTTTCCTCTCTCTCTAAAGATCAATAAAAACATTTTTTTTAAAAAAAGAATAAAACTCCCAATAATGATCTGATCAGATAGAGCTTTTACCTCGGAGAATTTGATTGCTATCTTCTTCCTGCAACGACTCACAAGCTGAAGGAAAGGAGTGTTTGGGAGGCAGCAGACCGTATCTTGTCCACACGCACTTTGTCTTCCACTTTCCGTGCCTCTGGCTGGAGGGGGAGGAAGGATGGGCTGACATAGCAGGTCATCTGGAAAGCCTGTGAGACAACATAGTCACTCTGTTCCACCGCAGACCTCATAAATTTGAATTGCTAGAAATGGGTCCAAGAATGTGTGGTTTAATAAGCTTTTCAGGTGATTGTTAAAATTGATTATATTTACAAAATACTGAATTAATTAACATAGCAATGTTATCCCCTAGGCTAAAAGAAATTATTTTTTTCTTTTGAGAATTTTTAATTTATTTTTTATTACAGTTTACATTCAGTATTATTTTGTGTTAGTTTCATGTGTATAGCATAGTGGTTAGACAATCATATACTTTACAGTGTGCTCCCCCCAGTATTTCCTGTACCCACCTGGTATAATTATGATATTATTAGTGACTATATTCCCTATTTTGTGACTACCAATTTGTACCTGTTAATATCTTCACCTTTTTCATCCAGCCCCCCAGCCCCTTCCCATATGGCAATCATCAGTCTGTTCTCTGTATCTATGAATCTCATTTAATTTTGTTTAAGTTTAATTTATTTTTAATTTATTTACCACATCTTGAAACTTGACCAGTTAATTTCTAAGGGGCACTGATAAGTAGTAGTGAACCCCAGATTAGAGAACTGGGATAGGAATCGAGACTGACTTGTGCCTGGCCCCATAAGCTAAATATAAATCACACGTTTTCTGAGTCTTAATTTTTCTCTTTGAAATAGTTAATGAAACTGCTTGATGTGGTTATTGTTCAACACATTTTTAATGACTTGAATTATATGTATGTGATTATAAAGCCTATAATTCTTGAGATTACCAGGGATTGAACCAAAGGTTATACACCTATTGAACCACATTCTCTAAGCGTACAAGAAGATAATTGTTTGCATCTTTGAGGCCTGCTCCTTGCTGGGATTACTATAGCATTTTCTTTTATTTCTAGGCAAAAGAAGTTTGGTTACTTTTCTAACACTTAGGAAAACCAACTCTTACGTACACCTCACTCCATCTCCAGCCCTTTATTTCAAAGAATGCAAAAGAAAGCCTCTCTAGCTATATCTGCTGTGCAGTAAGTCGTAAAACAATTTAAAACAGATACATGCTGTGTTTTTTCATAACACATTCTTATGTCAGTTCAGCTGTTCAATAATAACATTCTGCAAAGTTGATGAAAAAAGAAAACTAGGTATAAGATTAAATCTAAAACCATTTTTTTAAAAAATACTAAAACAGTGGCTTTCAACTTGGAACAAGACTACTTAGGTGACATAAGCATGATATCTGGGTAAGTATATGTAGTTTGAAAAAGCAAAAATATTCTTTCCCTGAGTCCTGACTCCCCTCTCAGTCTGTAATATATACCCCTATGTCAGGGTGGTATATAGACACTCAGGTCAGGCCATGAAATATTTATGTCAATCAAAGGAAGGGACATAGAGTTAAAAAGAAGTTAAGAAACTCTGGATGTCTACTTTTTAATGCTTTCTAATATACTTAAGCCTCTTGTTTTATTAGAAGCTTATAACTCTATGAGAACCTGGGGCAGAGAGTTGGACTAGTTTCTCTGTAATAATGGACTTTTATTTTTTTATTTCTTGAATTTGGGGTTGAATTGAAATGGTGTGGGTAGGTAAGTGAATGAACATGTAAGGGAATGTCCTTTCCCAACCATATTCCCCCACCTGTTTTTTTAGCTTCATAGTTTGATCACTTGTCTTTTCTCTTTAGGTTACACACACACACCATCAGCTAAATTGGACTTGTCTGACTCCAGCCATAGTGAGATTTCTTCACGGTCCAGCATTGTGAGCAATTGTTCTGTTGACTCCATGTCTGCAGCTCTGCAGGACGAACGGAGTTCCTCCCAGGTGGCAGCAATCCCTGAATCCACGGGGCTGTTGGAAAGGACAGAGCACTCCTCAGGGACGGGAGACCATCATCAGCCTGGCCCCGGGTAAACCTCCTCGCCTATATTTATATCATAAAACCTAAGCCACGTGCCCACTGCACAGTTCTCCAGCATTGCCCCATGGAGTGTGTGCAAGAGGATCCTTAAAAGAATATGAAGGCCAAGCCTGTAGTCTCTATACTGAATATGCAAATAAGTACTATTTTGAAATACGTCATGGGTGCTCGTTTCTTAAGTGTTACTGAATTCAAGTTAACTTTCTATCACATGCACCTTTTCAATCATTAAGAACGAAAAGTGAAGTTGTTTAGATATGGGGATCTGGCTCTCAGGTTAGAGATTGTTCAAAAAGATTGTGTAGTGGAGCCGAAACCAGTTTGGCTCAATGGATAAAGCGTCGGCCTGCAGACTGTAAGGTCCTAAGTTTGATTCTGGTCAAGAGCATGTACCTTGGTTGTGGGCAAATCCCCAATGGGGAGTGTGCAGGAGGTAGCTGATCGATGATTCTCTTTCATCAATGTTTCTAACTCTCTATCCCTCTCTCTTCCTTTCTATAAAAAAATCAAAATATATTTATAAAAAAAAAAAAAAAAAGATTGTGTAGTGGGAGGTACCTCTACTGCAGTACACACTGTAGTCAGGTTGGGGGAGTAGGGCGTCCTTGATCCTTAGTCTCTGAAAGTGTGATTTAAGGAGTAAGAATTACCAGCCAGCAAAAGAGTTTAACTTTTCGCCAAAACCGATTTGCCTCAGTGGATAAAGCGTCAGCCTGCAGACTGAAAGGTTCCAGGTTTGATTCCGGTCAAGGGCATGTACCTTGGTTGTGAGTACGTCCCCTGTAGGGGGTGTGCAAGAGTCAGCTGATCGATGATTCTCTCTCATTGATGTTTCTAACTCTCTATCCCTCTCCCTTTCTGTAAAAAATCAATAAAAATATATCTTTTATTTTAAAAATCAATAAAATATGTTATTTTAAAAAAGGAACAAAATTTTTTTTTAAAGTTTAATTCTTAAATTTCTCATTAAAGTTGAGCAAAATGGAAATTTTTGAGAAAATTAATTTTAAATTGGTAAATATTGTTAGATCTGATATACTTTAATATGAAAAGTGTAAGCTGTAGTAAAATATTATCATATTTGTAAAGGCTTCTAAACTATGATTTTCTAGGCCAGAGGTCGGTCTTTCTATTGGTAAATAGTTTAGGTTTTGCAGGCCATAAAGTCTGTTGCAGCTGTTCAACCTTGTTTGCCATAACAGCCTTAAACAATATGTAAACAAATGGGCACGTTGTGTCCCAATAAAAGTTTATTTACAGAAACTGGCAGAGAATCTGGCCATAGGTCCTAGTTTGCTGGCCCTGCTGTATACTACAAATCGGGGTTCACAAACTTTTTTTTTTTAAAGGCCTAGATAGTAAATATGTTAGGCTTTGCAGGCTGCATATTGTCTTTGTCTCAAATTCTTTAGAGTATTTTGTTTTATTTAAACTCTTTAAAATGTAAAAACCATGCTTTATTCCAACCATACACAATGAGGCTGTTGGCTGGATTTGGCCCATGAGCCTTTCTTTGGGGGTCCCCTGCTGTAAATAATAGAATTCATTTAGTAGTAGGTAACTGGGAAAGTTGCTATTTATTTAGTGTTGTACTCAGCTGACCTCAGAGGTACACTAAAAAATAAGCTAACCTCAAAGGTGCATTCCTGCAGCTGGGAACTCTTAATTCTGCATGCATAGAGAATATCTAGCATTATTTTAACCAAGAATGAAAATGTATTCTTAATTTTATTCATTTTAAGCCACATTTTCCATTCTCGTTTAAATTCAATTCAAGAAAAATTCTGAGGAAACCTTTCTGTTTGTATTTCTTCAGTGTATGTTTCTAAGCTAAGTATTAACATTAATGCCAATAGTGATGATTGAGGATAGGTTGTTTTTTCCCACAAGGTTATTTTGGCATAAACTCTATGATACACTAGACGCCATGTGGACACATTGGTACACCAATGTGGTTTCTCGGCCTGGCCTGCAGGATCGGGCCAAAACTGGCTCTCCAACATCCTCTGAGGGATCCCAGATTGTGAGAGAGCGCAGGCCAGGCCAAGGGACCCCACTGGTGCACGATCAGGGCCAGGGAGGGATGCAGGAGGTTGGCCAGCCGGGGAGGGACCGCTGGAGAGCTCCAGGGTGTGTCCAGCCCCTCTCACTCAGTCCCAATTGGCCGGACCCCAGCAGCAAGCTCACCTACCAGTTGGAGCGTCTGTCCCCTGGTGGTTGGTACACATCATAGTGACTGTTCAACTGTCTGCCCCTAGTGGTCAGCGCACATCATAGTGAGCAGTTGAGTGGACTTAGCACATCATTAGCATATTACACTTTGGTTGAACAGACAACCGGGCACTTACTATATTAGGCTTTTGGATGGTCTGTAGTCTTTTGGATGCATTTAATACTTGAAATGGAAAGAAGAAAGGCTTCCAGTAAACCAGTAAATTATTTTTAATCTTGTATCTTCCATTTTAGGTGGACACTCTCAAAGCCATCTCCAATTAAGAGTTTAGCTGTCTCATCTTCTATGAGCAATGACGAGATTTCTCATGAGCACATCGTTATAGAAGCAGGCGATAGTGGTCGTGGAAGCTGGACTTCCTGCTCAAGCAGTTCCCATGACAACTTCCAGAGCCTTCCAAACCCAAAAGGCTGGGATTTTTTTAACTCCTTTCGACATACCCATTTGGGAGGCCCCATTGCTGAAGTTGAACCCACTGACTGTGAGCCCTGTTCCTGTCCTAAAGGCTACTCCAGAGCTTGTGTTCATTGTAAAGGAAGCCTAGAGGCTAATCAGAGGAGACAGAGTTGGGCCTCCTCCGGGTCTCTTTCTGACACGTACGAACCAAACTACGGCACAGTTAGGCGGAGAGTGTTGGAGAGCACCGCAGCTGAGTCATCTGAAGGCTTGGACCCCAAGGATGGTGCTGACCCAGTTTATAAAACTATTACTTCAAGTACAGAAAAGGGCTTGATTGGTAAGTTCTGTGTTCTCTGGTGCATCTGTGGCATTTAGATGTTAAGGGGTAAAAATGCATCTTGGTTTAGAATTTTATTATTGAAAAAAATCCCATCTCTCACTTCAACTCCTCTTCCCTCTTCAAATAATTTATTTTTTTAAAGTTCATGATTTCTCAGGAACTTTGGAACAGCTATTAAAACCTATTAAAATGAAAAGGCTGGTATGAAGGTATTTAATTAAGCGATATAAAGGTATTTAATTGTTTAGAGTTTTTTTGTTCATTGTGGAAACACTGCATTACTGTGCAACATTAATAAAGGGATTATATTCTTTGTCACCCATAAATTGTTTGGACCACAGTTGCTCTTCATACATGGAAGAAACTTTCAGTCTGATATTACTTTTAGGTAGTACAAGTGAGAAGAAATGTGATAAGGAAATCCAAAGCATTTTTTCAGAATACTTTTCTGAAACACATCATGGGTGCACAAACTCCTGCTGTGGATTCCGTTCTAATTACACACAGCTTGCTTGGTCTGTTCTTTTAATATTCAAGTCATCAACTACATTTTTTCCTTTCTTCCTTAAATTATGTAAATATGAATATAACAGCTCTGGTTTTTCTATTTATGTGGAATGACTTTGTACCAATTATATCATAATCAACTCAATTCTATAGCTTATGATGTCACTTGAAATTCTTAAATTTCAATTTAATATTTATTAAATATTAATACTAAATTTCAATTCAATTTAATGATTTTTATAGCACATCTATAGCACATTTGTTTTATATTGGTAAAATTACCTTAGTTTTTATTAAATACAATTTTTGGGTGACATTGGTTAATAGGATCACACAGGTTTCTGGTGTGGGTTTCTGTTACAAGATTCTGTATATTGCACTGTGCGCCCACCACCCAAAGTCAAACCATCTTCTGTCACCTTATACGAGGCCCCTTTCATCCCTTACTCCCCACCCCTTCCCTCTGACAACCACCATACTGCTGTTCGTGTTCACAAGTTCAGTTTTATTTCCCACATTGAGTGCTATCATATGGTTCTCAGCTTTTTGCCTGACTTACTTCACTAAGCATAATATTCCCAAGGTCCATCCATGTTGTCACAAATCGGGGTATTTTGTGTTTTCTTATGTCTGAGTAGTATTCTATTGTATATATGTACCACATCTTTTTTTTTTCTTTTTTTTTGAGAAAGAGAGGAAGGCCAAGGGAAAGAGAGATATAAATACCAATGAGTGAGATACATCAATCGGCTGCCTCCTGCACTCCCCCTACGGGGGGGATCAAGGCCATAACTCAGGCATGTGCCCTGACCACCAGGAATCGAACCGATGACCTCTTGATGCATGAGTCAGTGCTCACCACTGAGCCACACCAGCCAGGTTGTACCACCTCTTTATCCAGTCCTCTATCAGGCGATAGTGGGCCACTGTAATGAACATAGGGATGCATATAACTTTGTGAATACATGTTCTTTTAGTTTTTCAGGTATTTTTCACCTAAGAAAGTGATAGCTGGGTCGTATGGTAGCACTATTCTTAATTTTTTGAGGAGTCACCAGTCTGTTTTCATTCCAATGTAAAATGTACCGATCTACTTTCCCACTAGCAGAGAATGAGAATTCCCTTTTCTCCACAACCTCTCCAACACTTGTTATTATTTGTTTTATTGGTATAACCATTCTAATAGGTATAAATAAGGTGGTATCTCATTATAGCTTTGATTTGCATTTCCCTAATTTCTAGTAAGGTTGAACTTCTTTTCATATATCTGTTGGCTGTTTATCTATCTTCTTGGGAGAGGTGTCTGTTCAGGTCCTGTACCCATTTTTTTATTAGGTTGTTTGTTGTTGAGTTTTATGAATTCTTTATATATTTTGGATATTAAATCTTTTTTGGAGCTATCACTTGCAAATATCATCCCCTATTTGGTCTTCTGGCTCTTTGCTTTGTTTTGGTTTCTTTTGCTGTACAGAGCTTTTTAGTTTGATATAGTTCCATTCATTCCTTGACTTTGGGGTCAAGTGCATAAAATGTTCTCTACAACCAAAGTCCATAAGTTTATTACCTGTGTTTTCTTCTATGTAATGTATTATTTCAGATCTTATATTTAGGTCCTTGGTCCATTTTTTTTTTTTAAGAGAGGAATAGAGAGGGATAAAGTATTAAAAACATTGATGAGAGAGAATCATCAATCAGCTGCCTCTTGCACAACTCCTACTGGGGATGTCCCCACAATCAATGTACCTTTGATCGGAATCGAACCTGGGACTTTCCAGTCCGCAGGCCGACGCTCTATCACTGAGCCAAACCGGTTCCGGCCCTTGATCCATTTTGAATTAATTTTTTGTACATGGGGACAAATTAAAATCCAGTTTCATTCTTTTGTATGTGGCTTTCCAATTTTCCCAGCACCATTTATTGAAGAGGCTTTCTTTATCGTGTATTTCTGGTTCCTTTGTCAACAATTATCTGTTTATATACATGTGGGTTTATATCTGGGCTCTCAGTTATGTTCCCTTGATCTGTGTGTGTTTTTCTGGCAATGCCATGCTGTTTGGATTATTATAGCTCTGTGATGTATAAGTCAGATTGCATTATTGAGTGGGTTTTTAGTTAATTCATTTTTTGCCGAGGGTTTTTTTTATTAAAGTTTTCTACATAACCATAGGATAGATATATAAACATGAGTATGAATGGATATATCCTTCTTGTCCATTTAGGATAATAGATTTTTTAAAATATTTTATTCTTTCATTTCTAGATGACTGGTCACATTACTTTTATTCTTCACTCTTGTCTTTCTTTCTTTCTTTTTTTTTTTCTTTTTTTTTAAAAACACATGTTTTTACTAGAGGCCCAGTGCACGAAATTTGTGCATGGGGGCGGGGGGGGGGGGTGCAAGGGTCCTCAGCCCACCCTACCCGGGCTCTCTCACAGTCTGGGAGCCCTCAGGGGATGTCCTACTGATGGCTTAGGCTCGCTCCCTGTGGGTCTAAGCCATCAGTAGACCTCCCTCTGCAGAAGTCAATCTGGCTGATCAGGGGAAGGCGCCGCCCCCATCACCCTGCTGCTGATGCTACCAGTGCTGGCCACTGCAGCCGCCAAGGTGTTTTCATCAACACGAACTCCAGTCCCTTCACCATGAAAAAATGACAACTTACTTTAGGCATTTTCAAGAAGTCTCTTTCATAGGATAGGGCATTTCTTTCTTTATTTTTATTATTTTTTTTTTTTTTATCCTCACCTGAGGATATTTTTCCATCAATTTTTAGAGAGCATGGAAGAGAGAGGGAAAGACAGAGAGAAACATCAATATGAGAAGGACACTTTGATTGGTTGCCTTCTGCATGAGCCCTGACCTGAGCCCTGGCCAGGGAGGAGCCTGCAACCTAAAGTAAAACTGCTAAATTGGACACAATCTGGCTAATGTCCTATAGGTCAGTGGTCAGCAAACTCATTAGTCAACAGAGCCAAATGTCAACAGTACAATGGAAATTTCTTTTGAGAGCCAATTTTTTTTTTTTTTTTTTTTTACAGAAAGCAATAGAGAATTAGAAACATCGATGAGAGAGAATCATCGATCAGCTGCCTCTTGCACACCCCCTACTGGGGATGTGCCCACAACCAAGGTACATGCCCTTGACCGAAATCAAACCTGGGACCTTTCAGTCCACAGACCGACACTCTACCACTGAGCCAAACTGGTTTTGGCGAGAGCCAAATTTTTAAAACTTAGACTTCTTCTAACGCCACTTCTTCAAAATAGACTCACCCAGGCCATGGTATTTTGTGGAAAAGCCACACTCAAGGGGCCAAAGAGCCGCATGTGCTCATGAGCCACAGTTTGCCAACCACTGCTATAGGACAATAAAATCATCACTTTTTGAATTGGTGTGTCTTCTAGACAGAAATTAGTTAGTAGTTTAAAAGTGTAAAAATTCTTTTCATCTTCTCACTTTGCGAGCTATGTGTTTCATAGTAAAGGAAATAATCTTTCTGTGGGCCTCGAATGCCCCAATTATACTGAAAGGACTTGCTGTCAACTTTTTACTCTGGATCTGTGCTGGGCCACAGCCTATGCTCCCAGGCTGCTTGGCAGAGCTGTCCTGGCCTCCCAGGGCCAGCAATGGTCCAGGAGCCCGGAGGCATGGCTTGGCACCACCACCCTCGCCTCCCGGGGCCAGTGATGGTCCCGGGAGGCTGCAGGCTTGGTGTCCATCATGGGGACCCAGGCCACTTGGTGTCACCCTGCCCCCAGCTACTTTGCATTTGCATATGCAAATTAACCTGTCACCTTCGTTGGGTTTATTTGCATACTCATTTCTAACTGGCTGGTGGACATCACAGCGGTACGGTCAATTTGCATATTTCTCTTTTATTAGTGTAGATTGATTTCAGAGAGGAAGATGAAGAAAGAGAAACATCAATGATGAGAGAGTGTCATCTATTGGCTGCCTTCTGCACACCCCTTAATTGGGGTTCAGGCCCACAATGCAGGCATGTATCCTGACTGGGAATCGAAGTGTGACCTCCTTGGTTCCTAGATCAATGCTCAACCACTGAGCCATACTGGCCAAGCTTGTCTTTTTTCTTTTGACATCATCTCCATCTCTTCCTTGTTCCATCCTCCACAGATGGGAATGAAAATCCTTTCTGACCTTGATACTACATGCAAATTTTACAGTTCTAGAAATTTAGTTGTGGACAAACTTGATCCTCTAAAGGGAGAATTAATATTAGAATTATTTAATTTTTTTTTAATTTGTTCTGCTTAAAAGAAGTTATTGTTTGTATTTTAAAAGTCACTTTTATGATCAAGGAATTGTCTTTTGTTCTGTGGGTTCTGTAGACTGGTCTTAATTTCATTTAAAGAACTTGCACTCTGTGTAACCTATTTCTGATGCTTTTGAAGCTTTACCTTAGTCCTAGGGTTTATAAACTTAGGGAAAAGAATTTTAAGTCACCATTATTTTTAACGTCCACTGAAAATCAGAGAAACTTGATTTAAGATGGATTTCCTAAAATTATGTTAGTTTTTTTTTGTTCACTTAATCACCGAGTAAAAGTTAGAATAAGGCCCTTAAAGGAATTGTGTCTGCTCATTCATTGTGTCTGTTTTTTAAGGCTCCTTCATTATACCAGGAGAGTTAAAGTGGTTTATATGCCAGAACCAACGACTTCGTCTAGCCAGGAGTTCCGTAACACAGGGGGGAAGGGAGAGCATCCCCTTAAAAAGAGGGCCGAAAGTGATTTCTGTGAAAACCCATTTAGATATTTAAGGTGGACTCTTAAAATGTTTGTGACTCAGTCATCTTTGGGGTTACTATTCCTTGAGGAGTTTGTCACATGCTTCTGTGATTTGAGGGCTGAACTTCCGAAGGAATCTGTTATCTGTCATCTCTGTCTCATTCTGTTTAATGTTTATAAAACCTAAAGTAACACACATATTTTAAAAATAAGTTTAAATATTACATTTGTTAAGCTTTTTAAAAATGTTTTTAATCTGCTATCACTGTATTCAAATATACATATTCATTGTGTCTGTTTTTTAAGTTGTTTTGTCATTGTAATAAGTTTCAGTATTTTTTTTAATTTCTTATATTTTTCATTAACATGTCCATTGCTTATTTTCCGTGCCAGTGTACTGTGTCACCTCCCCCAAGAAGGAAGACAGATATAGGGAGCCGCCTCCCACTCCTCCGGGATACATGGGGATCTCGTTAGCAGACCTAAAGGAGGGACCCCCCCTACACCTAAAGCCTCCAGAGTACAGTGTGGCCGTGCAGAGGTCAAAGATGATGCAGAACAGCCTGTCTAGACTGCCATCGGCATCTCTCAGTAGCAACCTCACGGCCTGTGTTCCATCGAAGACTGTCCCTCAGCCTCAGAGGCATAGCGTGCAGCCATCCCATCCTAAGCTAGCAGACGCGGCTGACGCAGACAGCGAAGCAGACGGTATGTTGACAAACTCCCTAACGGCTCTTAAATGAATTGCTGAACACGTTAAATGGCCTTTATAGTGGCATTTTAGATCATCAGAAATGTTTTCTTAAATGCCTCAGAAATCTTTGTTAAAAAAAAAAAATCTCTACAGATGATGGTGTGTTTTTTGTTTTGTTTTTTTATTGATTTCAGAGAGGAAGGGAGAGGGGGAGAAAAAGAAACATCAATGATGAGAGAGAATCATTGATGGGCATGCCCCGAACCTGGGACCTTTCAGTCCACAGGCGACACTATTCACTGAGCCAAACCGGCCAGGGCGATGCCATGTCTTTTAAATGAAAGAGATCAAACTGCTTGGTTGTGTGCCCATTCCCCTTCTTCCAACTCACATGGAGTATTCTTATATATGATTGACAGCAGCTCAGTCTAATTTTGAGAAGAGGGACTTGACATTATTGGAGTCATGGTTTACATAAATGTATGGAAACTTGAAACTGGAAGTGTCAAAATGCAAAATTATTTGAAATCATGCTATTGGTATAGCTTCTTTTAAGAGCAGAATCCTTCATTGACTTGGCAGCTGTGGTTTGCTTTGTTAAAAATAAATTAGTAAATATCCTCTTAAACAATAGAGTAATAAAAATAATTAAAAAGAAGTTATGAACTTCCAGTTTACTGTCAGTTTTCAGTGTGATCAGAACTCATAAATGTCATTACAAGAAAATCTGGACCTTGATAGGATTTCTTTGTTGAAATTGACTAATTTTATAACATATCTAGATTATTCATGGATATGCTGATCTATCACTTACTTGTATTTTTATTATTTTTAGAAAATGAACAGGTGTCAGCAGTCTAGCCTTTGGATGGCCCATTTGACGTCGAAAAGTCCTGGAGGAAGGAGTGGGCAGAGCCACCTCATGGTTCCACAGGCCGGCAAACAGCACCCCGCTGCTGCTGCTGCTGCTGCTCCCGCTCCCCAGAGGTGTCACTCCCTGTCCTCTGAGTCCTGCTCCTTTCATCAATCCCTGCACATGTGCCGTCTCCTCAGCGGTGGGTGTCGTGCCTGGATACGTCCTCACTTTACGCACCAGACCTGCCTTGGGACCAAGTTACTAGAACAAATCCAGACTCAGAGTCCTCCTCGTGTATAATATTAGCTTTTCCTTTAACAAATTATTTTTTTAAATAGGAGTGGTAGTATTTTTAAGCCATAGCTTGGGCTAATGGACAAATTCAAAATGTCTGCCAATATTGAAAATATTCTTGTGTATTTGAAAAATAACTTATTATTTGAAATTTTGTGCTTTTGTTTGTATTTGGAAGCTCTCATTTGTGGATGTTTGTTTGAGACCATAAAACTGTCTCTGGTCTGGCCTCACAGAAGTCGCCTTTGTAGGGTGATATGCTTGATCTGTACAGAACTCTAGCTCCGATGCGTTTCAGGTCTCAGTCTTGGTGGAATTGGATGCCCATTGCACTTGAGATGTAGGAAGAAAAATACTCATGTGCTGGTCTCGATGTGGAAGGCCAAATGCACTGCCAAGGGGTTTCTCACCAGTCCTTTGGGGAAGGGAGGAGCAATCCTAATTTTCAAAGAATGAAATCTTTATGTTAAATAATGTATACTAAGGCTTTTTGAACTTAAATTCATGCTGCATCTAACTAAAAGTATAAATCCAGTAAATAGAGAATGGGTTCTAGAGCATTCTACTCCATAGAAACCCAAACTGAAAGTTTCTCAACTCAGATATGGAGTTCTTTTTTAAAGGATGTGTCATCCTTGCTGGTGGGACCCTGAGGACGGATTTAGCTGTGGGCAGTCTCTGCTGCACCTCCCCATCTCGGCTCCGAGCTGCTGGCAGTGAAGCTCATTAGCTCACGAAGGTACATAATTGGTTGGAATTTGGAGGAGGGGAGTGCTAGGATTATGGAAATGAATTCTCTCTCAGTTCCCAGTCTAGTCTAAGACAGAAAGGAAATATATTTTTTAATAGCCTGTTGGGCATGGCACTCATAGGTATTTATTTTAAATTTTAGTGGTTGTTTAGTGGACAAGCTAGACTTTCCACAATTTTACAAGTAAAATATAATGTGTTCTCTATCTTACATTTTTAAATGTTTTTTTGTTGTTGTTGTTTGGTATTTTGTGTGGTTTGTTTTTTTTTTGTTTTGTTTTGTTTTTGTTGTGTGTGTGTGTGTGTGTGTGTAAAGACAAGTGAGAGCTTAATAAATTTCTGTGGCTACCAAAAAAAAAAAAAAAAAAAAGCCAAAGCTATTGACGTGCACTACCCAGATCAGCTTGGAGCCAAATGGGTTTACCTCTGCGTGCTGGTCCCCACGTAAATGTGTAGGGTTTCGTGTTCATGACTTAAAGTGTGTGCTTTTTCTCCCAGCCGTGTCGTCCCTGCCTCTGTGTTCTGCCTGTCCCCTTCCGTCTAAAATCCTAAGTCAGTTCCAAGTGGTAAGTGGCAGTGGTCCATCTTTTCCATCTAAGCGGTGTCTCTTCATTTTAGGAAAAGCAGCATGTCTGAAAAATTCCCCTGGGCAACATAATGTCGACCTGAAACATAAGCCTTAGAAATACACCCCAGGTTGTTAGAATGATGCTGATTGGCCCCGTAGCCTTCTGGGTCCATTGACATGGAAAGTAGCCCAGACCAGAATCCGGGTTTGAAAGTCACACTGCTGTGATTTGACCTGTAGCAGACGTTCTCTGATCACATATATTTCCTTCACTGATTTGCTTCATTGTTTTCATGTTCAAAGTGAAATATATTTTGGCTACAACCATCTTTTCATCAAGGTTGGGTATTCTGACATTTTCCATTCACCACCCTGGAAAAACGTGCTCTTTGCACAATGTCTGTTTATTTAGCGGGTCTTTCAACACAGTGGGAGCTTTACACAGCGTTGTCCTTAGTGGCGTCAGTAACATCTTGTTCAGAGAGTTGGAGGCTTGTGGTTTTGTTCTTGCACCTTGTAGCTGCCTTTCTTTCATCAAAGCTCAAACTGTATTTGGATCGGCTGATCACATTGATCAGGAACTAAAGCCAAATGCTTTGTAGTGTGATGTGAATGTATCCCTTAAAAAATCATGGACTTTTGATTTTTATATTTTATTTAGGGTACATTCCTGCCTTCTCGTCACATGGCAAGACCAAGAGAAGCCTTAATCTGTATTTGATCCCATTATAAATCCCTATTTGCTTTTGTTCTTATTATAAAGGGACCAGACGTCCCGCTTTTGGTGGGACAGTCCGATTTTTAACAGTCTGTCCCTCAGCATTTTAAAAAAGTCCCGAAGGGACAAATTGTTTAAAATCGGGACTGTCCCACCAAAAGCGGGACATCTGGTCACCTTCTTATATAAATTTATAACTTTATTAAGACTCATGCCTTCATCCCACCACAATTCTGAATTTGCCAGGACTACTAACTAAAGCAGGAAATCCGTGGTGCAAACTTTTGCCAAATTAGTTTCAGCATAGGCTCTTCAATGATGAAAGATTTGCAGAATTAGTAAATCCAGTACATGCTTCCATAAAAGTTTATTGTAGTTAATAGATTTTTGCTCCCTCCAAATGATACTTTCAGTATGATTTTGGGGAGGAAAAGCCGTAAGCGGTTTTCCATGAGGGTGAAACATCACATCTGCATTGCCTCCTGCAGGACTCCCGGCTGGACTGGGGCAGCGGCCCAGGGGGTTAAACCTAAACGAACCTAATTTTTATAAAGTGTTTCCTTCCCTGCCAAGAGCAGGTCATGTCCCTGTGTGTTTAAAACAAGGATTGTTACTCTAATATGTTTTAAATTTCTAAAAAAAAAAAAAAAAAAAAATTAGATAACTCAAGTAGATGTGTCCTTTTAAAATTACCTTAAAAGCTAGAACAAATGGAGAAATAGATTTTCAGAAAAGTGTCATAGGACATTTTCAAATTTAAACTTGGTCCCAGTTCATATTTAGCTTTCATTGTGCTTTTTAAAGGCTTTTTTTATTTTTTATACACAGAATGCAGTTGTACTTGATCTTTCAAAAGTGAAACATGAACTTCAGCAAGAGACAAAAAGCTGCACAGTCATAAAAGTTTAATAGCAATTATACTGCACAATTCAGTGATTGTCGAGTTTCCTGTAACAAGCAATGTTTGTCTCCTATTTTGATACCTCTTAAACTTATGTCTTTTAGAAAGACGGTGCCTCTGTATGTTTTTTGTATTTTTACTGAGTGTAAATATTTGTTATATTTTTGGTTAAGAGAATATAAAGTATCATTTATTATTACCATATCTACTAATACATTGGTGAAATCAATAAAGAATCTACATTAGCCTTCTCTGCACTTTATTGCAAATGTTACGGCAGCGGATAAAATAATTACACTGGCACTGAGGGCCAGTCTAGGACCCACATTGGTGTGAAGGCCTTGTTTTTTAAGTCTTCAGGGAAATTTGAATGGGCCAACTATATTCATAGTATCTATAAAGATCATCTCATTTTTAAAACAATACTTAGTTTATTTGAGTACAAACCCAATAACAATGGCTTAAACCTCGTTGGGCGTGTTTTTCTCTGATGCAGTGACTCCACAGTGACTCAGGGTCCTAACCTTTGCACCTTGGGCATCACTAGTGCATCACACATGAAGGAAGGGCTGAAGGGGAAAGGTGCATGTGAGTCTCTTTATTAGCAAAACAGGTTTTCCTGCAGCTCCACTTGCATATTTCTGCTTGCATTTCACTAGAACTGTGTGGCGTGCCTGCTAGCTGCAAGGATTCCTGGGAAATGAACTAATTGGGATGAGCAATTGATGACCTCAAATAAAAGTGGGATTCTTGAGATGCGGCAGCCAGCCACGCTGTGTGTGGAGCGCCTCCGCCTGGTCCTCGCTCCTCGGGGCACCACGCGCCTGCCGCACCGGTGAGCCTCGGCCCACAGCCAGGCCCCGGCTCTCCTGCACCCTTGCTTGGCACTACCTGCTCCTCCAATGGCTCCTTCTCTGGAACCCCGTGCCTCATCGCCAAACCCAGCAAGACTCTTCTGAACTCCCGGCCTCTGACATCCCTGCTGCCTGTCAGTGTGCGGGTCTGTTCTCCCCTCTGACCCGTGACTCATCTTGGTCACCAGCACCCCGCATGCGGGGCACACAGGGAGCTCGGGAAGTGTGCGGAGTGGGTGGTGAGGGTGTGGATGGGTGGTGAGGGGTTACCTGAGGAAGTCAGTGAGGGAAGGCAGTGTTGGGGTCGCGGAAGGAGGAACGCACGAGGCCAAAAGGGGTGAATTGTAAATGTGTTACATCTGCTAGCGGAAGGGCTGAGGCCAAAATGGCATCAGCTGGGAGTAGGGGCGGTGTCTCCCGTGAAGGTCAGGGTCACGGGTCAGGCCAGGGGCAGGTGGGGCCAGGTGCCAGCGGTTTTCTGGAAACTGAAGGCTGTTCGTTAGGAAACCTATAATGAGAACAACAGGGACACCACTGGGAGGACAAGAGCCCCCAGTGGGCTTCATGCAGCGCAAGGATGTGCCCGCCGCGTGGGAAGGACTGGGGCACCGACCAGAATCAGGTTTAGGACGTGAGGAATGGAACGGACACGGAGCATCCCAACTTAGTTTCTCCAACAAAGCAAAACGGGCGGCGGCCCACCTTCAAACCCCACCAAGCCCGCCGCTCCCCCGGAGCTACTGGTCAGTCCAGAACCCCAACCGGGACCCACCGAGCCGGTGTCCTCGCCACCGGATTCCCGCTCCCACAGGCGCGCCGCCTATTGGCGGGACGGGCGGAGACTGGCATCTTTGAGAGCCTATCTCTCTCCTATTTAGGCCGTGGGCCCCGCCTACTAAGAAACGAGCCTTGAGTGGCCCAGGCTAGTAGGAGTCGGCTTGTCTATTGGCTGGATCGCAGTGACTGACGTTATAATTAGCCTATCATAGCTAGGCTCCGGGGGGGGGGCGGGCTCCTGTGCCAGACCCGCCTCCGGAGCAAACAACAGCTGGAGGTAGTGGAGAGGGAGTTCCCAGAAGTCAGTGGGCTTTCTGGCTGCACGAACCGGGCTGTTTGCTGCAGGACCTGCCTCCCAAGGAGGGATGGGGACTGGAGAGTCCAGGCTCCTTGGTCCTCAGGAGGCTGGAGGCCCAAGACAGGAGGGGATTGAGGACCCGCAGGAGGAGGAACGAGGGGCCTAGACTTCTGGGTCCGAGGGAGGAGGGAAGGCGGAGGAAACTGGGAACCTGAAAGGTTGGGGGTCAGGGGTGGGTACTCCTTGGTCCTCAGAGTCGGTGGCCTGTCCACAGACGACAGATTTGAAGTTCAGTGTTTCATGCGGCTATTTATGGGATTGGAGCCAGGCCTTGTCCCCAAGCAAGAGTTCTGGATTCTGAGGTGGCGCTTGCCTGGAGAGGACGGGGAAGGAGCGCAGGAGTCGCTCTGGCCTCCATGTGCCCTTCCCTCATCCCTACGAGGGGAGCCGGGGGCAAGGTGCCATCTGCACAAGGAGCCGACAGAGTGGGAGGAGGCCTAAAACTCACCTGGAGACAGAGAGAAAAGCATAGATGCCAGAGGCGACATTAAAGGGTTGAACTTTTTCTTTAAAAGTGGGATTCTTTTCGGAGGAGCAGGAAGGTGGATACTGAGGGGGCACCCACGGCCTGCCTGCTGCTCGCTCCTTTAGGAAGCGTGTGTGGACGCAGCAGCTCCTCTTATGGGATCAGATCCCAGGACCTGGCAAAGGAGGAGGGAGTTCGGCCTCCGTGTCCCTTTCTAACCCTTCCCCACCTCCCTCTGCACCCAGAGAATGCCTCCTCCTGCTTCACCCCTTCCCAACGCAGCAGGGTTCCCAGGCCGCTGCTTCTCCAACCATCTCTCCACGGTGCCATTCGTTCATTCCTTTACTTGGAAAACATTAAACTCAAGTGTAGTAGGTTGAATAATGGCTACCCCAAAGAACAAAGCCCCCTCCCTGGAACTTTAAATGTTACTCTGTTTGAGGAAAGGGTCTTTGCAGATGTCATCAAGCATTCTGAGATCAGGAGACTCCTTTGGGTCATGTGGGTGGGCCCTAACTCTTTCACCAGTGAGCTTAAAAGAAACAAAGGGAAAGCACAGACATAGAGGAGAAGGTCATGTGAAGACAGCGGAGAGATGTGGCCACAGTGAAAGGATGCTGACGGCCACCGGGAACTAGAAGAGACAAGAGATTCTTCCTTTGAGCCTCCAGAGTGCCACCCGGCTGACACCTCGGTTTTGGACTTCTGGCCTGTTCTGGTAAGCCACCCAGTGCTGGGTGATTTGTTACAGCAGCCCCAGGAAACATACACATTGCTGTGTTTGTGTGACATTGAGGACCCAGAGCCTGGATTAAAGGGTGTGGTGATCCCCAGGTATACCTCATGAACCACCTCGCCCACCTCCACCCCCTACCCTCCCACCCCTGACTAGAAATTGGCAACAGAAATTACAAAATTTGGCCCTAGCTGGTTTGTCTGCGTGGAAAGAGTGTTGATCTGCAGACTGAAGGGTTCCAGGCTCAATTCCGGTCAAGGACATGTACCTGGGTTGCAGGTTCAATCCCTGGCCCTGGGGGGGGAGGGGGGGTGCAGAGACAACCAGGTGATGTGTGTGTCTCTCTCTCCCTTTCACTCTCTAAATATCAATGGGAAAATATCCTCAGATGAGGATTCACAACAACAAAATTACAAGATTTGGAAGTTAAGAAATGTACATCCCAATAACCCAGGGGAAAGTAGAAATTATTTTGAACTGACTGAAAATGTGAATATCAAAATATTTTGGGTGTGCTTAAAGCCATACTTAAAGGGAAGTTTGTAGCCTTAACTGCATCTTAGTAGAAAGGCTAGCGGTCACTCTTGGATTTCGGGTCAGGGCGCATGCCCGGGTTGCAGGCTGCAGGAGGTTGGCCATCAGCGTGTGAGTCTCATATTGCTGATGGCGAGACCCTCTTGGGGGTCTTGGCCTCGCCGGTAGTTGGGAGGGGGGGGGGTGCAGGGGAGAGCGCGGCGGCCTGAGCAATGGGCTTGTGGCCGGGATCTCGGAGGTCCCGGCTGCAGGGTGTGG